TATTAATTTCTGACATTTGTCTTAGTGTAATTAAGAGATCCTGGGTACTACTAGTTGCCCTGAATCTATACTGTTCTGTTCCACACTGATATGATCTTCTTCCTCCTCTATCTTATTGGTATGTCCATCTTCAGTGTTTTCACATTCAGGAATTCCTTGAAATATTCAGCCGATCTATGCATGATTTCTTCGTGTCTTGTAAAAATGTTCCCTTGTTTATCTTTGATTCACTTGAGTACAGGTTATCACTCTTTGATCACGTTTCATAGCTCTCTGTAAAATAGTTTTTGGTTGCCTTCCAAACTCTTCCCATGCTTTCCTTTTGGCTTCCATGACATTGTTTTTCACTATTTACCTTTGGATTACATATTTTTAGTAACAAATAGTGGAATTCATTTTTTTTAACTGTTGTTTCCAATATATATTCTTCCAGTTGACTTCCTCTTTGACCTCCTCATTCCTCCATGCGGTTCTCATTAGTCTCTGTCCTGTTCTTATTTTACCGCATGATATTTCTGCTGAGTCCATCAGAAGTTTCTTGAAAGCTGACCAGGCTGTCTTGACGTCCCCAGGATAGACTTCACTACGGACCTAATTTTCTATTGTATTCTGGTTAACAATTGCCGTTTTTTTGTTCTTTAACTTGTAGGCATTTATCTTCAGTACCTTTTGATGCCTCTTGTTTATTTCTATAACCCTTTATGTTGAGTGGTTATAACCAGCAAGTAAGTAGAATGGGGGGGGGGGAGATGGAGAAAACTGATAGCCCCTTTATTTTATAATAAGACCACTCCCAGGTGTCACTCTACAAAACAAAAAACAAAAAAAAAAAGATCTGGTGGAGTGGGCGCATTACATAACTTTTACTTATCAATCAGAGTAGATAGGTATTTTCATATCTAGAGAAGTCAAAATAAAAAGGACGGTCTAACTTCATATAAAACAATTAATTAACATTTTTTCCCAACCATTAAATCTGTTAAATTTATATATTTGCATCACTTTCCATTCCCTTTATAACTGTGTATAGTATCAAACAAATCTAATGATTCTGGGAGAAAATGGATCTTTCGAAAAATCCATGGAAAAAGATTTTCATCAGAAACATGTATCGCGAAAATTGTAGAAAAAATAACTTAATTTTAGTAAATATTGAATATTATTAGGTTTATATTAGTAGATCATCAACATTAAGCATGAAAACCTTTTTTAAAAAAACTATGGATAAGTGATAATAAATGAAAGTTAAAACTTTCACCATCACCGATACTTCTAATATAAGCTCAGGAAATCGTTGATATTGATGATGATTTGTATTATAATGAAGTGTTTCATTTTAATTATGAAATCCATACTCATAGTGTGTTTTTAAGATTAGTGAATGAACATCAATGATTATTTTAGAGACAGGTTAAGTAGTTGGCTGTTGAAATTACAAGGATGAAAAAAATTGTAAGGATTTGCAGTCAAAATTTCTTTAACTGGTCAAAATTTCTTTAAAATAAATTTCTTTAAGTTTATTTTATATTTTTTCATTTTTAGCCCACATGTTTAAGCAAAACATCAGCTAACCAACCCATTTAAGAAATATTGACTGCAAATGCTGAAAAATGTTTTCATCCTTATCAATGATTATCCTTTTTTATTCAAAACAGATTTAGATATGTTTATTCTCACTAACCTTTTATATGTATTATATAGTAAGGGGAAGTATTGCGATCGCGAAAATTTTCGAATTTGAGTTTTCAATGGAAACACATGTTTTGAAGTCCCCTTTGTTCAAATAACCAAGTCCTGCAAAATGAAATTTCGCAAAAAGTCGTACGAAAGTGAAATTGTATATATAAAGTTTTGATATTCCTAGAATTTACAGCAACTTTTTCATCAAAGTCGGGTACCGAAAGTGGCACTTTATATCATCGATTTAACAGATTATAAAGATTTTTTTCAAAAACGGCTAGAAAAGATAGAACTTGAGATAAATCAGCTTAAGTGCCATTCCAGGAATGACACCAAAGAACCCTCTGTATCGGACGTTTAGCGGAATTTTCGCGGTTAACAAGCTTAGTGTCAACGAAGACATAAAAATTAAATAAACATCGCTCAAAAAATACGGGCAGCTAAGTTTCGAGATGAATCGGAGGTTCACAAAAATAGAAGGCCATCTTAAATCCCAAGTGAAACCTCTTGAAGAACTCACTTCAGAAAATAAGGTAAATCGATTAATCTAGAGCTAAAATCCAGAGTGAGCGTACTTGAGGTGTACGTTAACAAAGCCGAGTAGGGTCTACTTTGAAGATCAGTAGAAATACGCGGCACGTAATTACGCGTGCGAGAGACTCATTCGACGAGATTCCTTACCTCAGCTTCGAGCTCATCGATGACATCGGGGATCACCCAATGAGTTATGGTGACCTAAGGAGTTGAGGAGAGAACTGAACTGGACATTGGATATGGATCTGTTAGGAAGGCAATATGCTGATGAAGGGGTGACCGGAAAGGAGAAGGTTTTGATTAGAAAAGCGGTTGATAGTAGGTAATGAAGATAGGTGATGAGAGAGGGATCGGTGTATAATGACAGAGGTACCGGCATGTGCTCTACTGTCCGGATGGTCAATACGGTATGTTATAGACTGTCGAATTTTTAAAAGCTGTTTTCTGGTCAGTGGAGTTTCTGTAATTAGGGCTACATCAATGTTTTTGTCTAGTAGTAAAGCGGTTAGTTCGTCGACGTGATTTCTAACACCATTCGCATTCTAAAGGAGAATAGATATGCGTTAAATGAGAGTCATTTAAGGATTTGTTACACGAGGGATGATGTGAGATACGAGATTTGTAAGGAGTGATATAAGTGAAGTAACCATTAACTTGATTGAACGATGACAATACACTGGTGAAATCTGTGGCATTTGAGGGAGGTGGAATTTGATGTTGTTGATGGTTAGGTATGTTAGGATGAACAGGATATTGAGGTTGGAGTTGAGTTCGTTGTTGCGGCAGGGCTTCACATTAATTGGTTAGATTCTTACATCCAGATAGTTCGGAGAATGATACATTATTGTTCACTATTCTAGAAGGTTCTCTTCTTGGTCTGGATTTCTCATCTTGAATCCGGGTCTTCTCAAATCTGGATTTGAGATTCTTATACGTTTGGCAGTCTTTGTAGGGTGTCCCTTAAGGCATAAGGCACAAACTGCAGAATCTTGTATCGGTTTAGTGCTTTCTGGTGATTTGTGTTGATCATCGCAATTCACGCAACGTGGCAAGTGGTGGCAGTAAGTCTTCGTGTGGCCGTATGCCTGGCAATTGTGGCGCTGCGAGAATTTCCTCTTGGGGTATGGCTTTTTTATCATCACGACAGAGTAGTACAATTTCTTGATTTCATATGTTTTCTCGATACCAGGTGATGGCTCTAGGTCCACGAAAAATAAAGGTGGTTCTTAAATTTTTAATCCTGGCTGCTCCTTATTTTCCTTCAAAACGTTGGTTACCTGACCTACTTTGAAACCAAGCGTCCTCAGTTCTTCTTTTATCACTTCAGTTGGGTTTGAGGAGTGCATATTTCTTATCATTACTCGTAACGCTCTCTTCTATCTCAGCTGGTAGCATACAAATTCGAATTCGTTTCTGAAAAGTATTTCACTATTTTTCGGTAGATTTCAGCAGTATCTGGTTTTATATTTGCATCGTTAATCCGGTTGAGGAAAGAATAACTGCCAGAGCAGATTTCGTTTAGTTGTTTACGTAATAACTGGAAATTGTTGATATTTTTTACAAATATCGGACGAGGCCTTGGTTCCCCGAGTATTGCATTACACTTCTCTGTCATTCTGAAATTGGAACGGGTTTGGAGTAAAAAAAAGAGATTCTTCAGCAATTTCTTGCGAAGACTTATCTGGTTAAGGCTAAGGTTCTGGTTTGGAAATATTCACTGTGGTCATTGGAGGTGTTTCTCTTTTGCTGCGACTACTTCTTTGCTTTGCCGGTGAACCAACAGGGGTAGAGCCGTTATACCGAGTTCTCTTAATGGGCACCTTACTGGGCATCACTTGGTGATAAGACCGCATATCATAAGAGAAGAAAAATAAAACGGGAGGGGAGGGGTAGAGAAGAAAAGGTAAATGCGACAGTATAAACAGTAAATGTCAACTGCTCTGTCGTACACGCGAATGTAAATTCAGTGAATAATCAGAGCGATTATAAGTATATACTACAGAGACGAGTTGGGAACACAACCTTTCGTATCAGCTGATCGATCCGCTGTGTCAATAATAATAAACACAAACATCTATGATAAAAACAACGTGAGAAAATTGTACTAACAATTGTACGACATTGTCAGCTGTAGCCTCAAAATCGAGTTCTTAATAACTGCTAATTAACTAACTGCTGGTTGTACTTTTGTACCTTACTGTATCTACTGAATTTTTGAAGCTATGAACAGACTTCAATGTAGATAGAAGTAAATGTAGATAGAAATTAAACTGAAAATAAATTTAGAAATAACAACACTGAACTCATATTCAGTGACTCCATCCATCCCAAAAGTCGATGGAGTTCCTTGACCATCGCTGTTCATTAATGAATAGAGGAACGTGCTGAACTCCATGAATGGTTTCCATCGATGGTGGTTCCCGATGCCATAGATGAGCTCAACGCTGATACTAGCATCGATTTTCTTTTTTGATGTTCCAGTTACTTGAACATATCTTATGATTTATGTTACTTTTAACTTTATATTAAATGAAAATTTATCCACATTTCATTAAAATTTCCGTTCCCATGTTTCGCAAAAAAAAAAGGCAATCCGAATTTCAGTAACAAGAATCCGAAACCTATATTAGAAAAATATTTAGTTATCCAAATGATAAGTATCCAATAACTATTCAATTAATTTGTCCACAAAGGCTACTATTGCTAATAAGGCTACTAATAAGGAGTTTGTATACTGCACTTCTACTATTGAAAAGGCCTTGCTTTTGACGTCAGAGTCGGTTTAATTCAAATTGTAACGAGATTGTCCGTTAGGAAAGAGTACCTATGCTAGCTTTATGTTAGTCGAGTCGTTATTGTTGAAATTTTACATCTAGCACAGATATTTATTATAAAAATATGGCCCAAACAGATGTTTTTAATTTTCAAGCTCCTCAGTTTATAGAATCTTTATCTGAAGTTAAATTGGATGATGGCGCTGATACTTTCTTTGGTAAGAGATGTGTGTGATCTTTATTATCATTTGTTGGCACCTAGAAATAGAGATTAAATTGCAATTTTTTATACCTTGAGTTGTTTGTTATAAGTCTTTTTTCTTGTGTATTTGATATGCAAAGTGACATGGCTGTAGGAGTCTTGTTTTTATAAAGCCAAGTCACTTGGTCTTTTGAAAGAGAAAAACAATTAGATATGTAATACACAAATTGATTTTATGAAATTACACTAACGCCACTATTTCTGGAAATATTTTGTTTGTATATCATAATTCTGTTCTTATATATTTAACACCATAGATGCTACCGAATCTTCCCCTGAAAATGATGTTCAAGATAGTAATGAAACGAATGGATCAGCAGAAAGTAAGGACAATAATGATGGTGAAGAAGAAACTTGTGTGAAATCCGTTATCGGAGAAGTTTCAGATTCCAAAGAAAATGTTAAAGCGAAATCAAAGAATGGAATTCCTTTAAAAGAAAATGATGAAAATGTGGATCCTGAGTTAGTATTTTATTTCTAGCTTCAGTTAATTTATTTTGCTTTCTTATTATAAAAATTGTTGTTTAACATTTAGATTGAGTTCTAATGGACCCGTTACAAGGCTGCAGAGAATGTCAATGAAAACAAATGGATCACTAGGTTTAAAAAATCAATCTAAATTCCTGTCTGTTGCCGAACAAATTCATAAATTCCATCATAGTACACCACCTAGATTCAAAAGAAAATCAAGTTAGTATTTTTTTTTTTTAGATTAATTTAATAATTTTGTTATAAGAATTATTATTTTACATAGTGAGTTGATCTTTCACTATTTATTTTTAAATTATTGTAATGAATAATTTGCTTAAAATAAACTAGTTTTGATTAATATGTATTTGTTGATTAATGTTTCAAATCAGAAGAGCTTAATTATTCAAACATTATTAATAAATTTGCTTCTCAGTTCCACAACGAATTGGGTATCAAAGTGATCTGAGATATCTTATAAGGATTTTTTCCCATCATATATTATTAAAAATCCTTCCTTGTTCTTTAAAATAAAATATTGTTCTTAGTTTTGGTAAGGTGCCTGCTCTCTTTGTTGTTATCATTCGCTGAAGTTAATGTTGTCATATAAACTATATCATTGTTATTATTTATTAAATAATGGTTTTATGATTACGAGCATCCTCCTTTGTGGCTTCTTCCATTTTCATAAATAAAGTACTTTGAGAATTTGGTTTAATAATTGAGGTATAATCTTTTAAAATCTATTTTGGTACTATTTGGAAGCGTTGTTCCACTTGGATGGGTGGATACAAGATAAGTTTAAACTATAAATGGAATTCCAAAAATGACCAAGTATTTATGTGTTTATGGGTATAAATACCCTTTATTAAGATTATGATTTAAGACTCCTGCATACTCCCAACTAGTCCTTTCCAGTTAAAATCAATGCCTTATGTAATTAGCATTAATTATATCACCGTATTCCATTTACAGTGTGATCTTGAGATCTCTGTTGCACATAAAAATCTGAGTATAAATTTAGAGCACCCAAACTCTATATCATTTTTATTTTAATAAAGAAGGTTCTATTGACAGCTATAAAGACAGTTTTTGATTTAAAAAAATATATAAATAAAATAGAACAATTTATGTAAAGTTAAATGTAATTAAAAAGTTGTTTACCGAAAAAAAAGTGTTACATTCTCTTTTAGTTTTTATCACAATTTCCCTGTCTTTTCCAGGTCAGGCACCACCCTGACTGTTTATATAAAAAAATCAAAAGTATATAGAATAAAAAAATGAATGTTTTCTATACTTTGTAGATTTAAAATTTTCAAAATTTATTTACAAATATAAATTTTTAAAAATTCGAAATATTAATTTGAAATGGAAATGGTTGAATTTGAATTGGAAAAAGTTTAATTTATTTGAAATGGAAATGGTTGAATTAGACGAAAAAAATTGAATATGACTTGGAAGTATTATACAGAAAAAATCTAAAAAGTTAACATAAATGTATATGCAACCCCATTATCATCATTTTTTTTGATAAATTGATTTGGTGAAGTGGATCTCACAGGTCCGAAGCGACCTTCCATGTTACTCTAAGGCTAGCGACCTTCGTAGTGTCAAGAAAATTTACTGATTAGGATATTAAACCAACATCCTCATTCCTCCCTCTTCCAGACCCTCTGCTAGTTCCTGTTTAAACATCCATTTCGAGCCTCTTAGTTTTTGTTCATCACTTCCAATTTTCATTTTACACTGATAAGGCTTATATAATGATATAAATTTTCAATGATGTTTTTGAGTAAAATTATAACTTCACTTGAATTCGCTAAAGTGTTGGAAAGTTTCAAGTTGAAATTTATATTTTATGTGATTTTTAGAACAACACTTTTGTTTTTGTTAATATCTTAAACCTGTCGATTAAAAGTTGTAGCACATTTCTCGCTTTTTTTTTAATGTATACCTAATATTTCATTTTGGGGGTCTGGAACTCTCACAGTAAGTATAATATTAATGTGTGTCCCGATACATATCAAGCCATAATGTTGATTGTCACGTTCTCATACTCGCTGTCTCTTATTTATTTATTCAGATGAAGTTCCGTTTAATGATTGATCAATGAAAGTAGTAGAGTTAATCCCTAAATAATAGTGATTTTAATAGATACGTACAATAGGCCTTCATGCCGCTTTAAAAAAAAAAATCATTTTAATTATAAAGGGTTACAAAAGTTAAATAAAATTCTGTTGAAGAACTGCTAGGGATTAACTCTACTACTTTCATTGATCAATATTTCAAGTAAAAATAAATAAGGTGAATACATTTTTGTAATCCTTATTTATATTCTTTGTCGGGTGATAAAGCAATAAAAAAATTATAAAAAACTTTCTCTAACCTAAACTTGACATCAAACATTTTAAAAGAAACTAATGATTTCAAATGTAAAAAATAATAATAGTGAAATCTTTTCTTCGTTCTTAATACTTCAAATTTCATGTTAATTACTAAATAAGCAAGACATACATTACCGTTTTAAAACATTATATGCTATTGATTCCAATGTAAGAAAAGAACTTCATCTGAATAAATAAATAAGAGACAGCGAGTATGACAACGTGACAACTAACATTATGGCTTGATATGTATCGGGACACACATTAATATTATACTTTCTGTCAGAGTTCCTGACCCCTGAAATGAAATATTAGGTACACATTTAAAAAAAGTGAGAAATGTGAAATAATGAAAAGGAACTGAAAGAGTTTCAAAGAAAAATTCTTAGAACATACAATTTGTAAAAATCATGGAATGTACGTTTAAGGAAAACACTGTAGAACTACCCCCTTTCGGAGCATTCATAGACTGGAATGGAAAAGTGGTAGCTTAGCGAGTTCTAGCTACTGCCAAAATTGAGCTTCTTATATTTCTTCAGACACAAAACCTTAATTTTAATTGGTCATGAAGTCTTTATTATACTATTTATGAAAGATTTAACATAGAAATACCTAATATTTAATGTTTCTATATGCTATTAACGTTAATTTTAAAATGTGTGCTTATATTTCTTTAGCTATGTTCAAGTCAAAGAGCTGCAAGTTTCTTCCTACAGTTGCACAATCACCTCAACTGAGGACAAAAATTAGAGCTGCTAGGCCTAGTACAGCACCTACAATAATAGTACCTGATGAAAAGGAGAGGTATGTCTATTGATTGATTCATTTTTGTCAATGGATTTTTATGATATATGTATATATATATTTTTTAAATGTGTATTTTATATATATTTATAATGTATAGCTTGTATGCTTTTATTTATGGTACTAATCCAAATTTTATTCATTATTTTTCTGCGATAAATATCCGTATTACCAAAAATAACAATAAAACAGTAAATTATAGAACTATTACAAAAAATAGGGTGCGTGCAGTGTGCGTATCTCACAACTTTCACTTACCCCACCGTCTTCTTAGCAGAAATAAATATATGTTCAGACAAAGAGAAGTGAAAGTTAAAATTATAGATCGTATGAAACATTATTTAAACCTATTAATTACCATCTGTTTTTCATAGCTGTCTAATATATTATATTTATTTGATTATAATAATTATTTAAGTGCCACGAATATTATTTTTTAATAATATTTTAAGTCTGACAAGAGTGCCACTGATAAAGAAGATCACTATATTTATTTATATTTCATTGTGGGTATTTTTTTTTTAAGTACCAACATATACAAATTTTAAATTAGTTTATATCACTGTAATCTATAATAATATTAATAATAAGGCTTAGCGAACCCGAAGGTTCGATGACGACACCACCAATCGCTTGTTACACACCTCCTTCCACCGTTCGCCGTTCAAACCCAGTCCCTTCAGATCGGCTTTAATGCAATCTTCCCTCCTTCGCTTCGTTCTACCCCTCGGACGCTTACCATTCGGCACAGCAAATATTAACCTTTTAGGAATTCTCTCGTTACCAAGCCCAACAACTTTACAAGCCCATTTGATTCGCCGCTATGAAATTACCTCAATTATATTACCCGGATACAGCTCACGCAATTCGGCGTTGTGTAACCGTCTGAACTCTCCGGTTAACTCATCCTTCTTCGGTCCGAATATTCTACGCAATACTTTATTTTCAAAAACCTTAAGACGCTGCTCATCCCTTAATGTAAGCGGCCAAGTTTCGCATCCATAAAGAACTGTAGGTAAGATAATTGTTTTATAGATTCTAATTTTTAAGTTTCGGGACAAGAGGCGCGAACTGAGTAGTTTTGTCACAGAAAAATAACAAGCATTCCCCGCCTTCAGTCTAACCTTAATCTTTCCTTCAATTTCGTTTTTTCTAGTTATCGTAGAACCTAGATACCTAAATTTATCTACCTGTTCAAACATATTACCATCTATATCGATATCACCAGTAGTATCGCCATTTTCGCAGCTAACCATATATTTTGTTTTATCCACGTTTATTTCGAGTCCTAGTTCTTTACCGGCTTTCATTAACGTTGTCATATTTAGTTTTATAGTTTCAACGTCTTCGCTTAACAGTACCAGATCATCAGCATAGCCCAGCACGGATGTTGTCCCGCCCAGATCCAACCCTTTCTCGGTTCGCATTACCTCCCTAATGGCATGTTTTAATGACAAATTGAACAGGATAAGCAAAAGAGAATCCCCCTGTTTTAAGCCCGAACGAACCTCAAATTTTTCGGACAAATTATTACCGATTCTAACTTTATTGAGTGTCTCCGTCAAGCACATCCTGACTAGATTTACCTAGTTTTTTTGGAATCCCCTGCTCGATTAGAATATTATACAGTTTCTGGCGGTCAATAGAATCGTAAGCCTTTTTAAAATCTTTAATATTAAAATATTTGCCGTAAAGAAAATATTTGATCAATAGTCGAACGATTCCGTCTAAATCCGCATTGGTAGTCTCCAATAATTTCCTCGGCGTATTCCGTGATTCGACTGGTTAAGATTAAAGTTAATATTTTATAACATACTGGAAGGAGTGAAATTCCTCGATAGTTATTACAATCCGTCCTCGGACCCTTTTTGTGAATCGGAATAAGAATAGATTCTTTCCATTCTTCAGGTAATTTCTCGTTCACCCAGATCTTTTTAACCAACCTATGTATTTTAGAAACTCCAGCGTCCCCCGCATGCCTTAATTAGTTCAGTTGGAATATTATCGATTCCCGCTGCTTTATATGATTTTAATTTTCCGATAGCTACTTCAACTTCCTCTTTACTTGGTCCTTCTATTAACGGTTCAGCACTCTGGTACTCAGAAGGAGGACACAGATCATAATTTCCCGTATTTAAAATATTGTCAAAGTGGTCCTTAAACTTATTCAATATGTCAACCGGATCGGTCAGAATATTGTTATTATCATCCCTAATTCCAGACGTTACGGGCCCTACATATTTACGTGATCTGTTTATACCTTTGTACATGTCTCTTACGTTATTTTCGATTCTATTAGTTTCTATTTCAATTATTTTATTTTTAAGATACTCCCTTTTTTTATTTTTGAGCAATTTTGTCGTTTCGTTCTTTGAGATTCGGAAGTATTCCAGATTGTCCAGATAGGATTATTTAGAGCTTTTAATTTAGCGGCTTTTCTTTTTTCACACATGTTTAAGCAATCTTCATCAAACCACGGTTTGTTATTCTTATTTTCCTTTTTTCCTAGACACGAGTTACCGACCGCTTTAATATTATCCCTGATCTCTATCCATAACTTGTCAATATCCTCGTGGTCCTCGTCAGGAAGCTCTAAAGCTTCAAACCTATTCTTAACATCTAGCTCGAATTGGTTTCTAATTGATGGATTTTTTAATTTTTCCAAATTAAAATTCTCAAAATCGAAACGGTTTTCTTTTCTCTTTTTTATATTAAGTTTTTGTCGAAGTTTCGCGATTACTAATTCATGATCCGACCCACATTCTGCTCCGCGATAAGACCGTACATTAATTATACTGCTTTGCCAGCTGTGTTGTATCAAGACATGATCGATTTGATTTCGTGTTTGCGAATCCGGTGATGTCCAAGTATATTTATGAATATCCTTATGTTTAAACGTCGTACTTTTAATTATCAGGTTTTTCGAGATGGCAAAGTTTATCAGACGGATCCCATTATCATTACTATATTCGTGCAAACTTTCTTTACCAATCGTCGGAATATAAACTTCTTCCCTTCCTACCTTTGCGTTCGCGTCACCTACAATTATTTTCATGTAGTTTCGTGGTAGTTTATCATAAACCCATTCGAGTTTATCGTAAAATTCACTTTTGACTTCATCGTCACTGTCTTCGGTCGGACAATGTATGTTTATTAATGCGATTTTAAACCAACGTCCCTGAAATGTAGCTACCGAAATTCTATCACTAAAGAATTGTACGTCCCTCAAAGCGGATAGTAATCTACGCCTAATTAGAAACCCGGTACCTAAACAATGATTCCCGCTTCCTCCGTACCAAATAGTGTACTTTCCTTCCCTCATCGAGCCCTCCCCTGGCCAGCGAACCTCTTGCAGAGCCACGACATCCAAATTGTACCCATTTACCTCATTCGCGACCGATTTTAGCCCCCCTGCTGTGTTTAAACTCCTTACGTTCCACGTACCAATATTTAAATCCATATATTTCAACTTGCGCCATGAATCCCCTAAAGCAGTCCCCACCCGGAGACCCGAACGTGGGACTAGTTTACCTCCGGATAATAAGCGTTTTACCTTAAGGAGATCCATGACTTTTTGTGGTGTTTGGTGAACTAAAGATATGTGAGTAGGGCGTTCAATCCTACATCACACCCTCCAGCAAGTCTGGTGGGCCCCTACCTCCAGCAAGTCTGGAGGTCCCCTCCCTCCAGCAAGTCTGGGGGGCCCCTCTCATTGTTGGTCAGCGAGTCCATCGGACTTAGCCGGGAGGAACTTCCAAGGAATTTCCACCAACCATCCCCACATCCGCCACCCGTGGGACGCTCCCCATACGCGGTAATGAGCCTGCGCGAGGATCACTGTAATCTATACAATCAAATATTAAATAATACAAACAATAGCATTTATGAAAACTGCATGTATTTATGTATGAAATCCAGCTCTAAACTTTCGTGTGAGCTCGGGCATGCTTGTATTCCTTTGGTTAATTATCAAATTCTTTCATATTTTATATTTAACTATTTTTTATATCATAGTTAATTGTAGAGTGTTTAATTCTTTCAAATTAAAAAAATTAAAGGTACTTTAAAGGAAGAAATATTGAAAATTAGCCATTTAAGTCCTGTTTAATAACATCAATAAGAATAAAACCTACTCCAAATTAAAAACTTCTTAATTTTACACTGATGTAATGAATGTAATCAAAATTGTTTAAACAGTTTTCGATAAAATTGTAACAATGTGTAAAATCGATTATATAAAGTGTCACTTCCGGTTAGCTGATTTTGAGGAAAAAGTTGCTATTACATCTCAGGTATATACAAACCTTAAATATGCATTTTCACTATCATTCGACTTCTCGTTTTTGAGCTAGGCTGTTAACTTACAAACACACACACACACAGACCATTTAACGGGGCTAGGTTATTTTTAGGGGACCTCAAAACGTGTAGTTCGGTTTAAAATGTCTGTTTATGTCTGAGAATTTATTTTTCTTAATAATGTTTGTATTTATTTGAAGTTGTCCTAATTCTTCTGAGATTTTCAATAACATTTTTTGTTTAGCAGTTGTATAAAAATATAAATGTCTGTCTATAGTTTTTATGTTTTCTTAGAGAAAAGATTTATTTCAAAATATTATTTTAAAATTCTATTTAGATCTAAATTCCACCAGAAATAGTTTTTGGTGTATGAACTTCAATGTTGCACTCCTGATTAGCAAAAGCAAACAAATTTAAACTTTTTCTTAAATATCAAACCTTATTTCTAAACCAATAAAAGGATTTTCATAAGTTTGAATTGCAAATGTAAGGAAGTGGCTAATATGTCTGACAATCATCCAATATAGTCTGTTGTTAAACTTATAAGGCCGGTATATCAGAAAATCCTGACAATTTAATTTTTTTTAATGTGATTACTATGAGATTTAGAATTTTTTTTCATTAATATTATTATTTTATTTTGTATTTTTTTTTTTTTTTTATACTGTACTCTGTACACGCATATTACAAGTTATTAATGAAATTCTATTTTAACATGAATAAGGATAAGAAAGTTTGAAACTGCTGTCCATGAAAATGTAATCAAAATTTTCTCCTGAAAATCAATCCTATGACTATATAAGTTATTTGTGTATTTTGTATTTAATTATATATATATATGAAGTACATACTTAATGAGTAATTCACTCACTGAGGAGGTTATATGTATTATTATTATTAGTTTACATTGTTGACATTTCTTCTTAATTTATTTCTCATCCTGATTAATCATTGGCCCAGATTTATTTTAAGTTAATTTTTTTTTCAGGTCAGTAATTAAGAAAAAGGAAGTTATGAAACGAGTTGCTACTATTAAACCAATTCCTAAGCCACCAACCATTCCAGTGCCATTTAATTTAACAATGCCAGGAAACAAAAAACAGGTTTGTTTTGTCAAATGGGATTAGTCATTATTAGTAGCTCTAATTCTATTTTCAAGTAATATAAACATTGTTCCTTTCAGTAAATATGGATTAAAATACATGATGCAAACCTCTTAACAACTTGATTCAAATCTAAGTATTCATAATATAGACAATTATAGATATAATGGTGATTTTTTTTTTCAAATGTCATTAATATTTTAGTTCTTAATATTTAGATCAAATACATTTTATTTTTTACTTAATATATGAGTGTCCTCGTGTCCAAGATGGATATCTGTCATTTTCAGAAAACTGAGAAAAGGTCAATTTTATGGTTTTTAAGTTCCACTCAAACTGTTTTTGATAACTTTATTTAAGAATGTTCGAGTTGAATCATAAAAAACAAATCATTAAAATAGGTTAAAATTAAAGCTATGCTAAAAAAATTGACTTTTTAAAAGTGATAGATATCCGCCTTTGATATGAAGCCACTCATATTTTGTTTTTATTTTTTAATATTTCAATTTTATTCCATTATTCTATAATCTTATGTATTTTGTGGATAGTTTGGAAAATAATGGCAGATTTTGATTTTTCTTTAAAATTCCCCTCTATATAACAAACTGTTTACGTTTACTAGATTATTCATTTTTATGAATGTCAACACTTCCTCTTCCAAATGATAATGTTTGTTTACCTCTGTACCATTGCACTGCTTGGGAATAATTCAATTTTTAATAAGATGTCAACGCATGATTTTCGTATAATTCTGTTTTACAAGCTTAAACTCGGCTAGAAACATCAATCAAATCTTAGGCGAGAGCAGCATTAATGAGTGCACTGTTCAACAGTGGTTCAAAAAATTTTGGAATGGAGACTTCAGTCTTGAAGTTAAAAATTTTGGAAGGACTTCCTCTCTTGATGAATATGTTCTGCAGGCTTTAATGGAAGAAAACCCCAGAACAACTGTTTGAAAGCTTGCCGGCAAACTTAACCTTAGCAAATCGAATGTTGATGACCACCTCAAGGTGATTGAAAAGGTAAAAAAGCTTAAAAGTTGGGTACCACATACATTAAACAACCCTCCAAAAAACAGTGTTATGAAGTTTGTGTTACACTTCTTCGCCAAAACAAAAATGACCCTTTTCTGTCCTAAATTGTTACTTGTGATGAAAAGTGGATACTTTACGATAACAGTAGACGCTCTAGACAGTGGCTTGGCAAAGGAAAAGCAGCAAAACATTTTCCAGCCCCCAACTCATCCAAGAAAGGTGTTAGTTACTGTTTGATGGGCTTATTTTAGTTTGATACACTACAGCTTCTTAAATCCTGGAGAAACTATCAATGCTGAATCATATTGTAACCAACTTGATGCAATACATCAGAAATTGGCCACAATGAAACCATCTTTGGTCAATCGGAAGGGGGCCCATTTTGTTGCATGACAATGCCCGGCCACATGTCTCACGCGCTACGTCACAAAAACCGTCAGAGGTTGGATATGAAACTCTCCCATGTACGCCCTACTCTCTGGACCTCTTGCCTATGGATTATCATTTTTTTAGACATCTGGACAACCACTTGCATGACAAAAAATTTAACTTTTTTGCGTCCTCTTCCTTTTGGAATTTCTTTCCATTCATGGAGTTCTGCAGAGACCGAAATGAGTGGTCACTTGGAGCTAGGTCTGGTGGATAGAGAGGGCGGGGCAAAAAATTCTATCCAAGATTCAATAATTTATTACAAGTGATCAATGAGGTGTGGGGCCTCTAGCGTTGTCTTGGCGGAACATCCTTCCGCTCATTCATAACTCTTCAGGATGTTCTCCAAATTCGATGTTATTATACTATCCGTTGGAAAGCTGAATTATTGTATGAATGGTATTTTTGATTTAATGTCTACATTAGGAATAAATAAACAAAAAACTCCTTATAGGTATTAATTTTTTATCTCCATTTGTAGTTTAGTTACGAAGGTCTTGTTGATGTCATTTTATGTAGTTTATGTGGGCATAAATTCCTGCTAAATTTCTTGTAGATAGCTAAAGTCGTATTGAAATTATAACATTTTTTTGTGATTTCAAAAAAAAATCATGTGAGGAAACCAAACATTAAGCCTGAAAACAGCAGAACTTATGCAAATGGTTTTCTACGTTTGTGTGTGACACATTTAGGGCCATAGCAATCTCTCTCACTGATTGGGTGAGACTTTGATCAACAATGGCCTTAACATTGCTTTTTTAAAGTTCATGTGGGCGACCAAACCGTTGAGCATAATTGATGTCAAAATTTCCTGAATGAAATTTAACAAACCAATTTTTACAGGTACGTTTGGTTAAGGCATCATCCCCATAAACATTGCAAATTTTTCTATGAGCTTCTGCGGCACGCTTACCTTTTTTTTAAAATAATGCAACAAAATATGCCGAAAATGAATATTTTCTTCCATATTCACAGTGCAATAACAAACACAATACTAAGCTATTTTCAACAAGAGTTAACAGATATAGTTGTTGACATATTACAAACAGGATAAATAATCCACTTTAGGGATTAATTCCTCAGATAAGAAGTGAATCATAGTGACATAAAAATAAACAGAAAAACCGAAAGGACTTATTTGCCAACCCAATAGTATTTCTAATAATTTGTTATTTTCACTTGTTTATTTTGCTTTGGCTGTAATGATCCACAGGATAATTGATATTTTTCTGCAAATTGGTTGCCATGATATAAGTAATTCATCATGGATACCAAAAGTAGTGAAGAATCAAAAAAGTAAGAACTGGTCAATAAGTATTATATATTAGTAAAAAAAAAAAAAAAAAAATCGTTTGATTCCATTGTTGCTAAACCTTGCGGGAACGGAACCATGAATATGTTATTGTTTCAATAGTTTTTATTGTGCTGTTTCAAACTGGTGACCGACCAGTATTTTGTTGTTTTGGTGGTATTTTTAACTATCAACATTCAACTAAAATTCAAACAACAAAGTAAACTCAAGATTTAACATCATGAGTATATTTACAAAACTGTCTAAGCAAGGTTATACATTTTTTAAATTTTCTTTTTATTGATCAAACAGATCATATTAACAACTTAATACCTTCACTGCTGCAAAAGACTTTATTGAAATCTCTATTTTAATTTTTGCTATTAACGAATGCTAATGAAAAATGGGCTATCCTTTTTTTACAGTTGATGAAATATAAGTCATGGTCATAGAAATTGCATCACATATTTCTTTTTATTCCTAAGTTCATAACATTGATTCCATTGATTATTTTTGTTTTTCTTTACTTATTTAGTTAATAGAAAACTCTAACAATGTTTCTCAGTTCAGTTTTAACTAATGCCAGGATGCTAGTAATTATTACCAGTTACCAAATACTGACCTCATATCAGAAAATATTAAAATTGTAATGTGGATATACATGAAGCAAAAATTTTTTTATGGGAAATCGTTACGAGGATAGTGTACCCACAAATCAACGGTAGTCACAGTTGATAAAAGGCACCATGGAGTGAAAGAAAGAAACTGATAGGAGAAAAACCAAACGAACAATTTGACTGCTTTATAGTGTGAACGTTTTTAGAATATTGTTTCAAAACTGACAAACAAATATTCAGAGATCTTGTATATAGCAATCTGCAATAAAATAATATTTAATGACATTTTTTACTGGGTAATGCAATTTCTATGTTTTTATAGTGTATTTTCTATGATAGAATGTTTTGAAAATTGTTTATAGGAGGAAAAAAAAGAAGATAAAACCGAAAATATGAAAGAGACTAATGTGAAGGATAAGAAACAAATTGAAGGTACTCCAAGGACAATGTTAAGAAAACCTATACCACCAAAGAAAAAACATTTGGAGGTTATTATTATTGTTATTGTATTGTCTATCATTTGCATTAATTAAAGTTTTCAATATATTTTATCTATTTAAAATAATTCATACCACTTTTTCAAGTTCTTATTTTAATGTAACAACTTAAACTAATTAAATTATTTCAGATACAAGATAATAAAATAACAGTGAAAGAAAGTTGGCGGGTTACTGGAATTAAAGCTATACAAAAGCCAAATAGTACAACTAAAACTGTTCCTTTCAGTTTTGAAAAGCGGAATCAGGAGAGGCTAATGGAAAAACAAAAGAAAATTGAAGAAGTATGTTACTTTCTGTTTTGAGTTGTGCATTTTATATTAAATTTCAGGCTAACTTGTGATTAACAATGAATAGTTGGTGTGATGTCTTCATCCTCTTGTTACTTCGTTATGTTTATGAAGAAAAAGGGGTCTTTTCTTTATTATTAAATTTGGACATAGCGTAACAAAGTTTATATCCTTATGGTGTCTTCTTTTCTTTTGCAAAAGAAATAAAATGCATTGAATTATAAAAATTAAAATAAATCTATTTCTCAACAGCCCTAGCTGATACCTAGGGTTTATGCTCTGATTAAAGTACTCAATCCTCTCCCTTATTTTATTCTTTAGAGAAAATGGAGGATTGTAACTTGTTTTCCAATGACAGGCACAAGCGTCGGTGCGCCCATTAGTAAATTCGACATTATTTGATGAAAACTTTGAAAGCACTTTTTTGAATGTTTATAACATTTATATTGAAAAAGTGAGAGTCCGCCAGTCGGATATTGCTACCATTAAAAATGGCAGCTGATTTAATGAATATATCTATATATATATCTTTTAAAATAGAAATATCACTAAAATGACATTACTGAAAAATGTTGAAATTGGAGTTAGCCATAAACTGATAGCCCTGGAGCCCGGGCAGAAAAATCTATCTCATCGCAGGCGAAGATTTGATTGTAAATTACGAAAGTGTATGTTATTCTGAATAAAAAGAACCTTGTCTGCCGTTCCAGAGCCGCTGTTTTAAAAAATGACAGCTTATTTAGAGAATATTAGACTAATAATTAGAGGACCCAAACGGGAAATCGATTGCAAAAAATGTGGAGAAAGTTTTTGTTTTTCTAACTTGTTTATATTGGTTGTGACATATAAAATACAAAATTGCTGACACGGGTCGCAAATGGAAAAGTTTTTATGGCCAAAAAAGCCAGATTTTTTTGTTTTTTCCCTATAACTCCTAAACTGCATTGAAGCGAAAAAAGTTTTCTTTAAAAAATTAAGAATGTTAAATTTTGCGTCAAACGAGTATATAAACTTAATAATTTAGTCAAGTGCTATAATCGATAAGCATGGTTAATGATAGCTGTAGGTTAATGAAGTGGTAGGATATTGAATTGAGTACTAACAGTTTTAATGTAGAACAATTGTATCTCTCGAATCGGGATTCATTATTTCTTTATGAAATTCTGATTTTTTTAAAAATCTCATTCCTCAAAATTCTTCGGTGCTGAGAAGTGGAAAAGAGTTCTATACTCTATATACTAGATTCTTAACAAGAATAAGTAGAATAGACACCCACACTGTTGAAATATTTAAAATCACTGATATCTTCATTACCAATTTCCAGTCATCACTATTCACTACCAATTTTGAGCAGCATAACTTAACTACATTAAAACTGTTGGTACTCAGCAGATGCGGAATTCAATGCTCTACAACTTGTGTTCTATGATTTTTTTTTTCTCTTGAAAAACTCCTTTCCAAACTGCAGTACTATTTATAGTAATTTGTATCAGTTTTTGATGAATTTGGTTAAAATCAGCACTGGTTGACCGTGGTCATTGACCATACCACTTAATCAAATTGTTAAGTTTAAGTACTCGTTCGACGCCAAATTTAACGATCTTTAATTTATTAAAGAATACATTTTTCACATTGATGCATCGTTTAGGAGTTATAGGAGAAAAAAAAACAAAAAATATCGAAAAAATCTGTCTTTTTTGGCTTTAAAAAGTTTTCCCTTGGTGGCCCACATAATTTTGTTTTTGACATATCTCTACCAATATATATACAGGTTAAAAAAAATGATAAGTTTTTATTCCACTTGAAATGAATTTTCCGTTTTGATTCTTAAGGTACTGGTCTAATATTGTTTAAATAAGCTGCCGTTTTTACAGGTAAGAAGATCTAACTGGCAGACTCTTATTTTTTAAGTAAAAATATTACAAACATTAAAAAAAAAATTGTTTGAAGTTTTCATCAAATGATATCGATTTTTTTCTCACAGGCTCTGAGACTAAAGCTTAATTTTGTTATTTATTTCATCCCATCCTTATCTCTGCCCTACATAAATCAGAATTTTTATAAGAGTATTTTTGGTAATATATTTAAAAATTAATATTCTCAACTCATATTCACTGAATTACATCTAAAATAATTGAAAAAATTGAAAAAAATATGTTTTACTTATACTAAAAAAAAAAATTTCTCTTGAACTCTGTTGACTGACGCAAATGTCCCATATAGTTCTCCTCCTAGAAAATACGATCAATGCTGTTTTTCAACTGCTTATACCTCTGAGTTAGGGCCTAGAAATGGTGTCGTTGCAAGAGAAGGTTTGTATGTGAATTATGAATGAAAGTGTATGTTATTTTAAGTAAAATGAATGTAGTCTGTTGTTCCGGAGCTGCTGATTTCAAAAATATTAGACTACTCAGTTGAGGATTAAAATAACAAAATATCATTTTTTAAGATATTTTTTTGGTTTGTCGTGTTGAACTACTGAACAGAGCATCCAACAGAAAAAGTTAATCATGAAGAATATTGGATTGTGCTTCAAACGAGTACCATAATTTAATGAATTAGGTCAAGTACTCTCGTAGTTTACTATCTCTCGATGTCTGGAAATTGGCTTTGAAAGAAATGACTGTTTGGGTGTTTATTCTACCGAGTTGTTCTTGATTAGAATCTACTTAATGTTTTATAGATCTCTTTTATGGATTTGACAAACTAGGTGTAAAGTGAAACAAATTTTCATGGACATAAAAATGTTAGAACTACGTGGACACAGACTCGAATACTCTACAATTTTTATTCTTTATTTTTTTTGCATTTGCTTACCTATATATTAGTCATGAAGTAAAAAAAAGTATTGCAGTCATGATAAAATTTCAAGTCTAAGTGTAAAATAGAAATATACAATTTGAGGTTTCCGAATCCAAGTAACTAAATCTGCATGCGTGTTTGTGTTAGTGTCACCGAAGATATTACAGGAACTGTTTCGTTGAAATTGATTTTTACAATTTTCTCGTGAATGGCTCTAATGATTAGAAATGAACTTGTAATTTCAATTTTAAAAATATGTGGTCTTTAATATTAGGCCAATAATATGCACATTAAGTCTGATGAGGCTTAAATACTGAATTTTCAAAATTTCATCCTGTAAAGTACCTTAAATTTTGCTTACTTAAAATAATTAACCATTTCACTATCAATTAAAAATGGTTATGTATTAATTATGAATGAATGTTGTAATTGACTAAAAAAGAAATAAGGAATCCTTACATACAAGTGAGAATAGAGGCACCCAGCACAGTCGAAGGTGGCCGATAATAGCCAAAAAGTTTCGATTACTTTCCAATGTACGGTATTTTGTATTAAAGGTGAGAAATGCATTGACACCGATAGGTTATGTGCAACTTTCATTAATTCTATCCATCCACACACCATCTATAGCATCATGATAATCAAACCAAGTAACCGGTTCTATAAACCTGAACTATATATCTTTAATGTGTTAATCTATCTCCATTTTCCCTTCCTCGCCCTTACAATGTTTGCCTTATTTATTATACATGTTATAAACATCCAAATGTTTATTATGTGTTTCTCGTTACAAACCTCAACTCTGGCTTAAACAAATTTAAATCAGTATCTTTGGAATGGTAAAACAGTATTCTTTTTACTGAGAGTAATATAAATCATCATAATTCATATTCAAACCTTCTTCTGTTATCAGTACCCTGCCCTGTCTCCATGGCTACTTTAAGTTTAGTATTCATATCTTATGGTGGTATAAAGCAAGGACGTATTTGTTGGCAAAGTCGATTCATTTTCTGTAAAGCGTAAATATGGAGGTGTTGAACAAAAATTAAACCCTTGTTAATCCAGCAATGTACTCTACCAACATCTACTGTATAATTACTTCAATTATTGGATTTAAAGTAAAATTAAATACTAAATTCTGTTCTAAGTGAGAGTTTTTTTTTACTAAGCATTATTAGTATTATTAATAGTTACTTGATTTATTAATTATTGCTTACAAATTATGTTTTTCTTTTATTTGTTATAAAAGGAACAAAATAAGGCTGCATCTGGTTCAGCTATCCCAAGAAAATTACCAAGAGCGAGCGTAGCTTCACATTCTGGCATCGCTAAGCCTTTGTCTCAGGTAAAGTCTATTGAAATTAATTTTTATCAATTCTATGATTCACTATTTTTTAAAAAGAAAAGCATTTATTAATAATGTAAACGGACAGTTTAAAAAAAGGTTCCATTTCGGCTCAATCCAGTGGGACCTCATTTATTCCTTAAATCCATTGACGCCATGGTAGAAATCCTTACCAACCATCCTCGACTGCCATGCTCCTCTCCTAACTAAAACCATCCGACATCTCCCTGCTCTTTAGCTGAAATCCACTCTGAAAGAGTGCATAGATGCTGCTAGACGGCGGTTTAAATTTACCCAACTCCCAGAAGACTTCAAGCAACTTCGAAACAGCACTCGGTCAGCTATACGCCAAGCCAAATCCCGTTATTTCCATCATTCCTTATCCAAACTCCAAGGCCAAGTGGGCTATCCTAAAAAAACTGACCATTTGTAACGCACCTCAAACCCAGTTCATTTCCTTTTCTGCTGATGATCTTAATGCTCACTTTGTCTCCTGTCCCTTCTCATCCTCATCTCCTGCGACCATACCGGCTCCTATGTATTCTCCTTTTAATTTTAATCCTGATCACTTTCCCCCTCCCCCCCATATTAACTCTGATGACCTCAACTCCATTCAGAAATCACTTACCAATGATTATGGACCTGATAACATCCCAGTTTGACTGATCAAAGCTTCACTATCATCCATTCTTCCAATCCTCTACCATATCTACAATTACTCACTACAAAACGATACCTTTCCTACACCCTAGAAAATGCACTAGTTCTTCCTATGAAGAAGACTTCCAACCCATCAACCCTTAATGATTTCCGTCCAATTTCTCTCCTCTCAAACCTTTTCAAACCCTGTTATCTGACTTTAGAACAGAATAAGCTCCTAAATCCCAACCTATCTACTCAACTCATTCTGCCCTCATCAAAATTTCCCCATACCTTCATACAGCCATGGACCAGCAGAAACTCACCATCCTAATTCTCCTTGACTTCTCCAAACCCTTTGACTCAGTAGACCACAAAATTCTCATAACTAAGCTTTAAAATATCTCTTTTTCTACTAGAGTACCCTTAATTGGTTCCAATCCTTCCTTACCGGCCTTTCCCAGTATGTTGTAATCCCCAATGACCCCCCATCAGAATCTTTACCCTTGTCCAGAGGTGTCCCACAAGGCTCCTCCTTATATCCCACTCTTTTTCCATCTACATCAATGACCTCCCATCCTCTATTCTACACTGTCAATACCATCTATATGCCGACGCCATCCAAAAATTACAAGAAGATGTAATCGGAATTTGCACCTTGGCAAACCATAATAGAATTACACTAACCGCCAAGAAGACAAAAGCCATCCTGATCGGATCACCCTCACTCCTCAAATCCTTATCGACACTCCCCAATCTTTTCCTAAACAACTCACCTATCTCATTCCATACTTCCGTAAAAAAACTTTGGTGTTACCTTTGATCAAACCTTGTCCTCAAACCTTGTCCTGGAAACCACACATCATCCAAATTTCCCATCATACTATCTCTACCCTGAAACAGTTTAACTGTCTCCGATATCTTCTTCCATATAAATCCTGTCAACTCCTGATTTCCTCTCTTGTGTTCGCCCTTTTTGACTATGGCTGTCTGGTGTACGATGGACTCTCAGGAGAATTCGAGGCCAAACTTAAAAACCTAATGAATTGCGTAATACGTTGTTTTTTTTTCGGAATCTAGATACGCATATAACTAACTCAATATTACATCAAGTTGAAGTGGCTTTATCCATCCAACAGCCATATGTACTTCCTTTCCACCTTTCTATACCAAGCCATCAGAACTCAGCGACCTTCCTTTAATTTTTACAACCTACAATTTAAATATTCCATTCAATCCTGTCCCACTATATTCTGTACTTCTGACCTATATCCATCTCCTCACCGAACTGCTGCATTTGACAAATCCTTTATAATTCAAGCCGTCTCCTTCTGGAATACCATACCTCCCGGTATACAACATACAAAATCAGTTTCCTCATTTAAATCTCTCCTGCTCAAGCAACCTACTCCTTTCCCAACCCGATTGACCACGACAGACATTTCATCTGTAACTATAATTTGTCCTAAAGGGACAACATTCCCAGGATGATAAAAACATATTTTCAATTCATTTGAAAAATACTTTTAAATATTTATTCCTGGCATTATTAATTTCTTAATTTTCTTTTTTTTTTTTTTTACTTCCCCTTATAGAGAAAAGATAGGTAGTGACTATATGAGGCATGAAATTGATAATGTATAATTAGGAAATCAGTCAAGATTTAAAAATGCTAGATTGGGAGCTTTAAATATGTGGTGGGTTCCTAGATCCAGAAAAATGTTTGAAATTCGGAGGTACTAATTTCTCTGAAGTACCGATTTACACAAAAATCTTATGAGCAATAATTCTGGAGAAAAAACAAATTGTACGGGCGACGGCTCAGGTCTTTATATGAAAGAACTCTTGGTCACCTGTGATTGAGGAAATTGATATTGAAAGATTTGGTTGGGAAATGAATCACAGCATGATTCAGTATCAAAAACTACATAGAAATCATGTTTTCCATCTTGTATTTCAGAAAATAAGAAAATATTGCATTTTATGCAAATTGCAAATTAAGTGCAACATTTAACGAAAGTGAGGTGTTTATTGTTTATGAAATTTGATTTGGACTCTTAATATAAAATAAATATGAGGATCTTAATTAGCGAAAATAAAGTTGATGAAAATTGCGAACATTTCACATTAATTCTTGACACTTGCAAAGTGGTGTGTATGATAATTTTTTTTTTTTTTCAATTGTACATCATCTTTCGCACTTTGATTTGCATTTACAAAGTGTGGGGTAGGGTAGGATTACTTTCATTTTCAGTTTTGGATAAATTTAAATATCTTTCATTTCCCAACCAAATCTTTTAATATCAATTTCCTCCCAATCTAGCATTTTGGAAAGTTCATCTCTTGGTCATCCATGATAGAGGTAATTGATATTGATAGACTTGATTGAGAAATGAAAGATACTTACATTTATCCAAAAATGAAAACGAAAGGAACCCTCTACCATCAGGTACAACATTATAAATCAAGTAAATGAGGCAATATATTTAGACGAATCCTCTATAAAACTCTGCACTTGATTAATACCAAAAAATATGAAATAACAAAAAATTTCCAGCATTACCACACGAACAATTTGAGACCAAATTCAAGCCTCTATGGTGATTGATTGTCGAGTTATAGAGGTTAGACGAAGAGCTTCACTTCAGCGCTTGTCCCCTTTCTGCCTAAACCTACCACATAACACTGCGGATTTTCACATACTCAATCATAGTCACCTTCTAGACTATCATGTATGGGTGGTAAGTGATGACGATGGGATGGCCGAGCAAGTTGGGACGTGGGTTCCAGAATGAACAGTCCTAAATGTTGTGTGGGTTCCATTCCCACCTGTGTCAAGTTAATTTTTATTTCCCTGGAGGTCCTGGGAAATGGATTTTGACATTCCCACTCTGGTAAGTACGTGGTGGCCATCTTAAAGTAGCCATCAAAAGTTTGCAAAAAGGACCACGATAGGGCCCACTTGCTGTGGTACTGGTTCTCCACACCGAGTACCATTACCAGTATGGTTAAGTAAAAGAGGGCGGGGTGGTGGCCAAGTGAGCTAACGTGAGTGCGCATTGTCCGGCAATCTGATAATTGAAGTTAGACACGATAAAATAATTACGAATTTGCGTTTCTTTGCCAAGAGAGGCTTGTTACTCTGGCATTAATCTCACTCGCTCGCATAAGAAAACCCCATATAACCTATAACCTAAAAGGCCAGGAGGGGAGAACAAAAAAAATTTGGTTAAGTGAAAGTAAAAATAGAGATCAAATAGTAATAAGCTAAATGAAAGAAAACTAAGGAATTATAAGAAATGAAATGAAGATGCTTTAACAATAGCATAAAAGTAAGGATAGGAATAAGATAATGTAAGAATAATTATACAAACATGTAAATAATAGATAAAATTAGTCAGATCAAGAGATTTCAGCAATATTTTCTTGAATACTGAGGTAAACAGCTTACTTTCGGCAAGGAAGGTATATTGTGAGATGAGGTTATATTCATGTCATGCATCTATAGAGAAACTGGAAGTTGTTTTTAGAGCGATGTGTTTAAAGTAGAAATAATTTATTGCAGTTATGTTGTTAATTAAAGTTTCTGTCAAGATTACATAATGAATTATTGGTTTTAATTAGAGTTTTTCTGTATTTTGCAGGGTAAAAATGAAAGTAAATCTACTGGAAGACTTTCAAGGAATAACGCTAAATAATCTTTTTGTCTAAAATTATGGTTGTTCCATAATATCAAAGACCATTATAATATAATATAAATACTGATTTGTATTCCATAGGATATTAAATATTTTAAATATGTTTTTATTTGTATTATAGATTGTTGTTACTCAAAATGACGTAACTTGATGTAATTAAAGTAATATTGTTAAGATTCAGATATATTTATTGTTAATAACAAATATTATAATTAGTTTAGCTTTTTATTAAATGATAAATCTCATTTCATTGGTGATTTTATTATAATTTAATCCTGCACATTAAATGTTATTAGGGATTATTATATGTTCACCCCTAAATTTCCACTTAAATTTCAGAAAGGTCGATTTATTTATCCTAGTATTTAAAGCTGAAGGGTTTGTTTAAACATGGTTCTTTCAAGACTAGCAATCCAATTCCAGCCTATAAAAGTTGTATACTATAACATCACACTATTTTCCATGAGAATGCAGCAATAACCATAAACCTTAATCAGTCTTGAACATTAGGTAATTTAACTAACCCAGCTTTCAAATAAAAAAGCAACATTTGAAGTTGCTTTAAATAAAGGGGATGAACAAAAAGTGAATCTTTAAATAGTTTAAAGTAAGCATAATTTTACTTAGTTAGGATATGGAGGTTTATATGGGTCAAACAACTGGCCTGTTAAGAGAGTTAGCACTTCTTTTTTGATGTACAACTTTGACCATCCTTTCATATGAGTCAATATATTTAAGCCCTTTCACCTAACCATGAATTTTCATCATGACTCAATAAGTCAAAAGTTTATTATTATATAATAAAATTTTAAAAACTGTTTAAAAAATATGAAATTTAGTTAAAAGTCCAACAAAAGGTTACTACATTTATTTCATGAGTTGTTTAGCGTAGAAAGCTCATTTCATAACTGAAGAGTTATGAACATTTGATTTTTCAATGAACATTTTTTTTTCAATACAAGGCATGACCTGTAGTACTTGATGGAGGTCTCAATGCGACCCACTTAGTGGAGGTCTCATGTGCCAAAAAGTTTGGAGATCCCTGTTCTCAGGCACCACCGTCATCATCCCAATTACAGTTTCTCCAGTCAATGATTGCTTAAAAAGATACTGAGGGAAATGAACACAATTTTTAACTTGAGGATTATGTTAGACCCTCCACATATTATTGATTTTTATTTATTTATTGATCTGTATTTTTATTTTCACTTACTTATATATGTAATATATAGTAAGGGTAAGTATTGCGATCGTGAAAACTTTTGAATATCAGTTTTCAACGGAAATACACGTTTTGAGATCACTTAAGTCCAAATAACCAAGTCCCACAAGATGGTCTGTGTGTGTGTGTTAACAGTCTAGCTCAAAAACGAAAAGTATGGAAGTGAAATTGCATATTTAAGGTTTTTATATGCTAGTGATGTTACAGCAATTTTTTCGTCAAAATCGGCTAACCGGATTTGGCACTTTATTTATATAATGCAATAAATACATTTTTATGATTATCTCGAAAACTGCTTTAACGATTTTGATTAAATTCATCATATTGTAAAATTAAGCAGTTTTAAATAAAATGTGGTTATTATTCTGGTTGATGTTTTCTAACAGGGATTAATTGGCTACTTTCAATATTAGCTTCCTCTAAAGTACCTTTATTTTTTTTTATTTGAAACAATTGATCATTTCATATTAATTTATAATATGAAAAATGGTTAAATATAAAATATGAAAGAATTTGATAAATAACTAAAGGAGAAATCAGAGATCGTAACGGAGAATAGTTGTAACTGAGGAACCAAAGTAATACGAGCGCATCCAAGCTCGCCCGAATGATTAGAACACGCTTCCATCCATATCATGAGATTAATATAATACGGACTCCGACAATATTATATAAACATACGTATGTGGTTTTCATAAATGCTATTGTTGGTATTATTTATTAATATTTAGTTCTATAGATTACAGCGATATAAATATTAAAATTTGTCTATATGAGGCTACTTATACAAATAAAAATACCCACAATGAAATATAAATAAATATAGAGTCTATAATTTTTACTCTCACATTGCTTCCTCTGAAAATACTTATTTCTGCTAACAGGATGGTAAGTGAAAGTTGTGTGATGCGCGCACCGCACCAGATATTTTTTTGTAGGAGGTAAACATACCACTCCTAGAAGAGCACCCAGGTTACGTTTTTCATTTTGCTTCCTCACTACCGAAGATAGGGAAGCATTGTATTTCTTTTTCTTAAGGCAACGAATCATTAAGACCATTAAAATGACAAAAACCCTATTTATTACATCACTATTGTATGCAATAAAAATCTCATTATTCCATCTGTTTTTATTAACCACATAACTTCAGTCTCTGAGCTATGTGTGCCTTTCAGTTTATGACTAATTCCAATTTCAACATTTTTGAGTAATGTTATTTTAGTGATATTTCTAGTTTGAAAAAATATATCTATACAGACAGTGAGTAAGTAGATTCCAGAGAAGGTGATTGCAGTGTTGAAATATAGATCTGTGAATAAAGGTATAAATTTTCCCACTGGAAACATCACTAAAATTAATAAAGAATGTTGAAATTTGAGTTAGTCATTCTGTCAACTGAAAGGCCTAGATAGATTTGTAAGTATTTCTCTATATTCAACCTATAAATGATTATGGATTGTAGGTCTATTAGTTACTAAACTATCATTTTCCATAATAAAGTTTAGTAAAATGAAATTACGAGATTTTCATTGCCTGCCGTGGATAGGTCAAAAGTTACATTGATTGTTAATGGATAATATTGGGATTTCACAAAGGAAAAATTCATCAAATTATTCACTAATTTAATTTTCTAAAACGTTACTTGATTTTTTAGAATAAACAGCCAATAGATACTAATTATTTTATATAATATCAGATATAGAGTCATTAAACTACAGTAAATGTAATTTAAGGTTATAAACATATCCATGAAATATTTTTATATGTCACTTATTCTTTTATATAAGTACAATGAAATAGTATTTTAAACAATGTCATTGCCTTGATTCAATGGATTTTAAATACTTTTTCCAACATAAAAAAAAAAATTAATGTTTACATTTAGCAAGAAAATTGTATTCAATTTCCTTGGAAACAGGTGCTTTACGTTAAATAATGTTAGTTTTAAGAAATTATTATTTATATATTTTTTTTGTCACTCCGTTACCTTCTACAATTTTTAATGAACGTCTGATAAATATTTTTATGTTATTAAACCACACCTAGAAGAGCACATAAAATAGTATTAATTAAAAAATACTTATTAAAAAAATATGATATAAAGCTTATAAATATTTTACCTTCTGCTTAGTACGAGTCAGAAACAAGAGTAGATGTTGTTATGCAGTACAGAACACATCATGTGTTACAAGCACAAGTCCAATTTAATTCATGACCGAATTTTAACTCTAATGCATAGTGTCCTTCAAGTTAAATTTTTCAAATTTTATCAGAATGTAAATTTCTCATAATTTTTAAATTATTTTGTTGTTATTTAGCCTCTAAAGTATTGAGGGCGATTTTTATATGAAAATTAAATAAAAATTCCATCTATGGGGTTATTAGGTTTTTAGATTGAACTAAATGATTTGTGGTTATATATTAGGTGCATAAAAAAAATGACCTTTTTATCAAATTCAAGATTTCAAAGGACTGTAAATATTTTAATCTAATTTAATAATCCCTTTATAGCATTCTCTGAGCTTGTTTAAACCCATTCAATTTCTTCAAAAAAAAGTCTCAGTTTAGTTATTTATTTCTAAGAAGAAACATGAGTGTCTTGAGAAATTCTCGAAATTTTAAGACATTACTATAAAAAAAATTCCACAGCCTTTGAAGCAACTCATGAAGAAATTATAAAATATGAAGGGGAGGTGTCCTTGACCAGCGCACTATGCGGCGTTGGTTAAAAAAATTTAGCAGTGAAGATGCGACGTTCTGCAGGATGCTGTTGAGTCAAATCCGTCCATAAGTACTCGCGAACTAGCCAGGGAGTGTGGTGTATCGGAAGATACTGTTAGTCACCACCTACTCTCCGTGGGTAAGGTGAAAACGAGCTGTAGACTGGTCCCTCACGAACTTACTCCTCAGCAATCAAAGATGTTAGAAATTAGTGAAAATTTATTGAAAAACCCTTCTGGTATGAGATTATACCGGAAGATTGTCACCTGTGATGAAAAGTAGGTTTACTGGTGAAATTCGAATACCTGTGAGCAATGGCTAAATCGCGGGTTTTTCCGGATGCTACAAGGGGGCAATTTGAAAAAAAAATCCATGCTTTGCGGTTTTGAGAATTTTGAAGGTGTTATTCACATGAATTTGTTTTTGATGGATGCTCTATGAATAATGAACTATACTGCAAACAAGTGGAAGGATTGTACACAAAGTTGTCCTGTTTTAATCAACTGAAAAGAAATTTTATTCCAACAAGACAATACTTGTTCCCACACTTCCCGTCGAACTCCTGCCTCATCCACCATTAAGTCCAGAACTCGAACCATCGGATTATTACTGTTTTAGATCCATAGCCCATTTTCTTTAAAGAAAAAATTTGATAATTTTGGGGAAGCTGAAATTGTAGTCCAAGAGTTTTTTGACAGCCATCCCAAAGAATGTTATCAGCGTGGGATCGAGCTTTTGGCTAGCAGATGGCTAGTGACGGTAGATAACATTGGACTTTACTTTGACTATTAATTGTATTTTATATCAAATAAATAATAATACACATATTTGGTTGAAAAACAGGCTTTTTTTTTATACACCCTATTATTTTAAAACAGGATTATGATACTAGTGAGCCCACTTGAACGTGACTCAGCCTCTTGGATGATTCACTTTAAACTAACCTTGAACTATATTCAAATGATAACCTTCATTTGTATAACTGGATTTTCATGTTTGACTGTATTTCAATCTTGAACTACAATTGCACAACTGGCCGTTAGCATTTTTGGTACAATTTATATTAAGTTGTAACACGTAATATCATGAATAGTTCCCTAACGAAATTTGAATGAAGGACATTTTATCAGCAGGATTTCAAAATCTTGGTATAAATAAACTAAAATATATCAGCAAGATGTTATTATGTTTAGGTGCATAAATGATCGATTGTTTTACTTTTTTAGTGTTTATTTTCATTATATAATTAATTAAAATAATGATATTCAATTTCTATAACTTTAGTCTCAGTATCTGGAGCAGAAATAAATGAATAAATAATTATGTTAATTAAAAAAAGTAGTCATCATTTAAAATAATTAATAATAATTTTATTTATAATACTTTTAAAAAAATGTTCATGAAACGAAAACATAATAGTTTGTATTATTAATTGGATACCTTTCACAAATCACACTGATAATGTTTATATAATACAATTAATTACATTCTTATGTTACAAAAAGCTGATTTGCCTACCACCAGTTGTTTAAAGAATGAATGTTTACTTTCCATCAAATTTGCATAAATAGTAAGAGAATTTAATGTACAAAGTTTTCTACAAATCCAATAATATATCATTAGTAATAATTACTTTGGTTTAACTATTTGTAATCACAAATATCTTTGTCCCATTCAAGTAGGTTTGCAAACATAAGGTCTTCAATATAAATCAAATTTTTCATGCTCCTGTGAAAAATTATGACACTAATTTTCTAGATATTTTTCTTCTAAATAATAACAATGAACATAGTTTTCAAGTGCAGGCAATAACATTAGTAGATATAAACAATACAAAACAGTTCTCAAAAATAAGTTTTGAAACCACTCCATATATATATTTTTTAAAATCTAATAATTATAATATAATTTCAATATTCATAAAAAATCAAGAAAGTATTGAAAAAAAAAATAAATGAAAAAAGAAAAATAACAAAAATTAACCTATAAAACAAAAGCGTTGATTTTATTTTATCTCCATTATTACCAAAGAAGTTAAACAGGATGATCACAAGATCATTTTTTTTTAAGGATTGAATCGCGATGAAAATGTTTAGATTAATTTATCATTTTGCTAGGATCCAAATATAAATTATTGTATCTATAACTATAAGCAATTTTTTTTATTTTATTAAAAAAAAAAGGTCTAATTAAATCTTACCAGAATTGGTATTCCAATAACTGCTAAATAACTTTTTATATTACAGCAAAAATACTTGGGACAAGAAATAAATATTAAAATTATTAAGAGCTGTCTTCCTTAATAAGCATATAACAAAATTCAAACAAATGTACCCAATTTTTATAATTAACTTTGTATTCAAGTATGAAAATCCTTGTATTCATTCACAATATAATTTTTTTCCTATATTGTAAATAAGTACAAATGGAATGTGCTCAAGCTCTATTCTAGAAAAAAAATGTTGATAAAACCTATGCAGCAGATTTTTCCTAAATAAAAAAAATATTGAGACTTCACATCTCTTATAATAAAACATTGGAATATATAATAAAAGAAATAACAATCTTGAAATTATAATCTAAAACAATATGATTCGACCACTGATATTATGTCTAATAAGACCTTTTTTAAAATCTTTAAATATGAAAATAGTAAGTAACATCTATATATTAAGAACTAATTCTGGTTATACACATTGGTATCAAATTGCCCTCAATATAACACTTTCATCTTAGTAATGCATATTTTCTCTTTTTTTTTTTTTTTCTTTTTCCTTTTATATATATATGTGTGTTTATATATATATAAGCAAAAGCCTTGGAACTTTAAAAAAAATTAAAACAAGGAAAACGACACAGTAATAATTTACATGGCTTCATCCTTCTTGACCAAAATCTTCTTTGAACTTATCAAGTTTTTTCATATCTTCATCATTCACAGTTGGTTTTGAAGTAGCTAAAGACCTTAGCATATCACTCTGAAACATTAAAAAAAAATATATATACATATATAGCTTTCCAACCAAAAGCAGCTCATATCTTTATTATTTTTTTTTACTTTCACTTACCTATTCATGAATTACATAGTAAGAAAAAGAATTGTGATAATGAAAATTTTAGCATTCAAGTTTTCAACAGAAGTTATCCATATATAATGTAGTGATTTTTAGAGATGTTAGTTGAGAATTGCTTACTTGTAAATTGTTAAATAATAACCACAATTTTTTTTTATTTAATGTTATAATGAGTTTATGAATAAAGAAAGTTAAAAAAATAAGGAGAAGGCTATAGATGGCTGGCAATAAGATTTAAGGAAATCCCAAGGTCTATAAACCATAATCCAATAACTTTAGTTCCCTGTGGCCCCAGATGATCACAATGACCATTTCTTATCCTTTCTCAATCTTTCTCCTGCTGCTAATATTGAACATTACAATTCCAATTCGGAAAACTTCTTTTTCTCCCACGTGTTCTATGATGAACGCTTTACTACTAACCTAAAATCCCATACTAATGATTATGGTCCTGACAATATCTCAGTCAAACTAATAAAATTCTGCCTTCCCATCCTTATTCCTCCACTTAACCATAAATATAACTTCTCATTACAAAACTAAATACTCCACTCCCATCTTCAAAATAGAAAGCTGCCCTACTCCTTTGAATAAAACTTCAAATACTTCTTCACTGCACGATTTCCGTCCTATTTCTCTCCAATCCAACAACATCCATTGGTTTCCGAAAATGGACCAGATTCTACAAATTTTTTTACTCATATCCAGCAATACAATAGGAGTGGGGTATCTCATTTTTTTTTTTTTTTTTTTATCCAGCAATACAATATTGCTTTCAAATTTCGTCATTTGGTACAACAAAAGTTATTAGAGATAATTTTATGCCTACTTTCAAGGTAAGTATAATGGTGAACAATTAACTTTTATCACCATTTGGTTGGCGCAAAATACATTGCCAGCTTTCAATTGACATGGTAAAAAGTACGTTGCCAGCTACATCGCAGTTTAAACAATTCACTATATAATTATCTATTTAACCTTGCAGATTTAGGGTCAAATATATCATCGAAAAGGTTCCTTATTGCCAATGCCGGATAGTGACAACAAATGATCAGCATTGTACACACAATTCGGTGATAAGGCCAATTGTGGAACAACTCCAAACATTTTTCCATCAACACAACAAATTGGTGACATTATTCAAGACCGCATGACATCTGATAACCACAAAATTGTCATCAGAGCCTATAAGATGCCTGCAGGACAACACGCAAGACGTTTTAATGCAACAACAATTGATGAAGTCACTATTGTCGTCATGGGTGAAAATTTAGAAACCAAGATACACATTGATCATATGATGCATTATAATATCCTCTCTTATTTTGGCAAGGTGAAGATGGGTATCATTTTTCAATGAAGATGATAAATCCAGTTACAGGTAAATAACCAATCTACATTAACTACCTTAATCCCGTTACTTTATCTTACAAACACACGGTTGAAACCGAGTGATTGACATTTATCAGGTTGAACCAGACAAAACTCTGTTTCAAGGAATACATTCATCTTCGGGATGCCATCAATGCTGATGGAAATGCACATAATGACTATTCTCCCAGCAACATACGCCAGAAATACGTGATATATGCATGAATAGGCTCAAGATGCACGTCGTTATGGCATACCAAATTTGTTTATCATCTTAAGGTGCAATCCCCAGTGAACAGAAACGCAGAGGGAACAGTGTAGATGCAGCATGGGTGAGAGAGAGAATATTTGTTTGTAAATAGTTTACATTGTGTTAGTCTGCTTTTATTGTAAATATTGTGTACAGTGTGTGATATTTACACATTTGTTTTTGTAAATGGTTAGTATATATTCTTTGATTGGTATATTAGATTGGTTGTAACAATTAATTCTTGATTCTCATGTTGTACTGATTCAAAGTGATTATTTTATCTTTACACACAGTTTATCTTTACACACAGTCTTTAAAAATCTATATTACTGCCAATTTATATTATTTAATTATAATTGTTCTTATTGCCAATTAGTAACCATAATAAGGAAGGAATAAGAAGTGTAGTGTCTTAGTTACAGTCCGTCTTGCTTTATATATGTAAAATACAATATGAGTCACTAAAAACTTTTACATCATATTTAAAAGATCCTTAAGAAAATTCCCAATACAAGTAATTTTTTTATGTTGACTTGTAATTGTTTTTTAGTATTTTAGATTGTCCTTTTTTTTTGTTAATAAAGAAATTTTTTCAATATTTTTGAAGTGAAAACTTCTTTAGGTACGTTTTGCACTTTTTTTTTGTGGAGAGTGAATTAGATTGATCTGTCAGATTTCCGAATTATACTCGGGTAAATTCGGCTAGAGTCGACTTGTAATGTTTTTATATATGGATTAAACTATCTCAGAAACTAAAAATCGGACCTGCAAACTGTAAGCGAGAAAATTGTTCAGCATTTCACCCTCTCTGTAATAGACTACAATTCAAAATTGTATCTTAATGCAACGCAGGAGAAAAGGAAAAAAAAGTGTCGGAAACCAAATGAAAACGAGGTTAGTTGAACATATGGATTAAAATATTTCAGATATTAAAAATTGGACCAGTATACTGTAAGTGAGGGAAATGTTCAGCATTTCATATTAGTAATCTCCCCTTGTTGATGTTTTCACTTATATCATGTGGTCTAAAGCACACACCTTAAGTTTTTTTTTGTGAATTTGATTATATGGAGTTAACCAGAGACCATTTAAGTTTAAAATTATCCCTAAATTCCATATGAGCTCAGCTGACCATTTTATTTATTTAATAATAAATTTGTATAATAATTTTAAAGAAAAACTTGTATGGAATATGATGGTTGAAGCTTCCAATTAAGTCATAATATACCATTCTTTGTTGACATCAAATAACTAAATTTTATCATTAAAAATCAACTTAGCCGAAGATCAAAACTAAAATTAAAGTAACTTTAACATTGTTTGATAGTCTTCAAAACAGCTCTTATAAATAAATTTACAATATTAAAAAACTGTACAGCAAGTAGAGCATTAAACATTAAAATACTGACCATTGTGACTGGAGGTTCATAAAGCTTATCACTCGGAACTTCCATCCAAGACATTTCAATAGCACCAGGACTACCTGGTGAGCAAGGAGTTAGGAGATCATCAACTATCTCATCCGGGTTGGTCCTTGATGGACCTTTTAGTTTCCGAAAGTGAGTGGCCATCTGAACCTTCCTTACTGGTTGCATTAAGGCATCCCGGACTACAATACTTATATCAGCGCCAGAATATCTGAAAAAAATAAAACAAAATATATAAATAAAATTGCGTAGAAAAAGTGTGAAATAAAAAAAACAAATTGAAGATATAGAAAAATCACAATCCCTGATTTTACATGAAACGATCAATAAATATATCCTAAATTTTCTTTGAATAAAAATTCAATAATCCAAGCTGATGGGATGTGCATATGCATGCACCTTATATGCATAAGGTTAAAGGTTGTCTTATTTAATAATTTTACTTTCTTTTTTAAGTAATAGAAAGTATTCCTCTCATACCATAGACAAAAATGTTGAAATGTAATGATATTGATGCGTAAGAGTGATTATAAGAGACCAGATGTTTATTTTTATTTTATTCGCTTGCATAGAAAAACTTTAAACCCAATCACCTATCCATTTCACGATATGTAGAATAAAATATTGAAATTCAGTAATGCACAAACAAAATTGCTGTTTTTGGTCTACATTGCATGATATTGATTTTCATTGGACTTTTACAGATTAAATGATTTATAAATACAAATATATATGTATGTTTAAATATTTTTCTTTTTATTAACTATCTTGCCCAAATCATACTTATAATTTAAGATAGAAAAATGTGAGAAAAGTAAAATAATGATGTAACTAGCAGCAATTCGAATTTAATGCTAAAAGAAGTAAACACAAGTGGGGAATATTCTTCAAATAGAACTTGCTTAATGCATCAGAGATGAATAAAGTTTTTTTTTTTTTTGGGTTCTCCCCTTCCTCGCCTTCAGGGGTTTTCCCGCGCCAGGGGGTGTGGGCGGGGATTTAAAAGACTTCCCCGGCACTGGGACGCGAACTCGTGACTATTTTAAATCCATTGTATCATAGATCAGGTTGCCGGGCAACGGCGGTACTGTGCACACACATTAGCCCGTTCGGCCACCCCGCCCACTAAAAGAGTGCCTTCCTAAAATAATCTGTCTTGCAAAATGGTTTGTGTGTTTATGAACAGTCAAGCTCAAAAATGATAAGTCATATGAAAGTGAAATTTTATATTTAAGGTTTGTATATGCCTGGGATGTTACAGCAACGTTTTTTGTCAAAATCGGCAAACCGAAAGTTGCACTTAATATTATCGATTAACACATTTTTATGATTTTCTCAAAAACGTCTTTAACAATTTTTATTAAACTTTCATTAATGTATAATTATATGGTCTTTAATATCATCTAAGTCTTATCCTCATTGATGTCACTTAACAGGGCTTAAATGACAAATCTTGAAATTTCTTCTAATAAAGGACCTTTAATTGGGTTTATTTTAGATATAGATAATTAACTGCCTCTCATTGTTAGGAGTAATAAAAAAAGGAAAAATGTTTTTTTAGGACAAATAATAAATTTCTGGGTATCATAGTTGGATGGTATAGGTATAGTATATCGCTGGAAAGCTGAGAATTAAAAAAACAAAAAAAAAAAAAAACAATATCTGACTTAGAAAGTCAAAGAAGGTAATGGAGAGTGATAAAAAAATTATAAATTATAATTTCTGAAAACTAAAATTATTTTATGGAAACCACGTGTTTCCAAGGAAATAAAATGCCATTTCCTAACTAAATGTAAGTTTTAAAAATTATTTTTAAGTTTGAAAAAAGTATATAAAATAAAATCCAACGGATAATGGCAATGACTGTTTAAAAAACTATTTCATTTTACTTGTGTGAAAAAAGAAGTAAAAATAAAAATATTTGATGAATATGTAAAATAAATGTTCATAACCTTAAATACATTTACTGTAGTTTAATAACTCTCAATCTGTAATATATCTAAATAATTAGCTATCTATCGCCAGTCGATTTCGAAAACTCATCATGTAACATTTTAGAACATTCAAATAGTGAATAATTTGATGTATTTTTCCTCTTTGAAATCACAACGTTATCCATTCACAGTCAGTGTGACAACTTTTGTACTATCGATGGTAGGCAATGAAAATCTCTTAACTCCATTTTAATAAACTTTACAAGGTGAAAATAAGAGTTTAATAACTAAAAGGAGTACAATCCATAATTGTTTATAGGTTAAATTTTAATCTATAATATCGTAGTCATAATGCCATAGTCATTGGTCATTCGACCATCCGACATCTTGCTGCCCAATATAAGTTTGATTTTTTTATTAATCATTCACATATGTTTTATTTCTTATCTCCGTCAAAGCAGGACATTTGTCTAGGTGGTCTGCATCCATTTTTGCTTGTTCACATAATTTACACCTATGATCCTCAGCCACGCCTATTTTGTGGAGATGACTTTGTAGATAGTTGTGACCAGTGGCCAGACGGAAGCAGGCTACTGCATCTCTTCTTGGTAGGTCAGCTGAGATCGCATTTTCCGCCAAACATCCATAACGCCTCCCTTCCACCTTGTCTTTGTGTATATTTTTGTTTCCTCCTTCACTACCATCCTCACCATTCGTCAGATTTTGGATGGACTGTTTGAAGCAATTCTGCTCCTCTCCTGGTGAGACTAAATGCTTCCTTATTTCCTAGAATACGGCAATGGCTCGGAATCCACTGTAGGACCACATTGGTGTCTCGGAGTGTTAGATCGTAGAGAAGGGATTTGCACTCCAAGATAGCACTTACAGACAATTATTTACGTCGGTAATAGCAAGATTGCTGCTTGAGATTCGACAAAGAGAACAGCGCTCTGAACTTGCCTTTCTGATAGTGTTCTATGAGGATCGCTGCTATCTCACCATCAAAATTCGTTTATAGGTTAAATATACAGAGGTACTTTCAAATCTCTCTTGGCATAAATAGCTCAGAGACTGGAGTTACGTAGCTTACAAAAAAGATGGAGTTACGAGGTTTTTATTGTCTACCATCAATATACTAAATAGGATTTGTGTGATTTTAATGGCCTTACTGAGTTATTACAGGTTAGATGCAAGATTTAAGGTCTAGCTCTGTTAAATGCACTTCAAAAAAATTATAATAGCCAAAACTATGAGGCAATAGACTGAAAATAATTTCTATTTAAAGTAGAGTGGTAAGTAAAAGTTGTGTGGTACATGCACCAAATTTTTTTCTGGTTAAGCATAATTTTAATTCAGAAGCTCAATAAAATATAATAAATTAAATGAAACAAATAATTTTTGCACGCTTTTAGGTGTTAATTACATAATTTTAAATATTTTTGGATTTTGTCTGCACAATTTTGCAAATTTTGAGTTTGTTTTTCTTACATTATGGATTAGTTACTTACAAATGAAGAAACAACTGAAAATATTTTAAGGCTTTAAACTAACTACATAGTCCTCAAGTTCCTTATTCAATCCATTGGTTACTAGTAGATTTTTAAAAAACACATTTCAATTGCTCTACTGCCATGTCAAATTTCTACACGCTCCATACAGATTCAACAAACAAACAAAAAATTGTATTTATCCAGACTTTTTTTTTTTTTTTTGGATACTCAGAAAATTCTTTGTATGGATATTTAAAGTGGCATTTTGAATTTACCAGATGTAAAAGAAATAAAGTTGTAAATTTACTTAACAAAATCATTACCCATCTGTTTTCTGGGCTAGTATTTTCAGTTCTTCTTCAGACAGTTGATGAAAAGTATTCCCCAGGTGGAGTTTGAACATAAGTAATCGTGCATGTTCCTCTGGAAGAGAAATGTAGATTCTTTTTTCAAATCTTCTCCTAATGGCTGCATCTAACACCCAAGGTATATTGGTAGCTCCCAGAACTAATATTCCATCATTGTCATTACCAACACCTAGATAATAAAAAATGATAAGAATGAAAATCATAAGTTCATGCAACTAAGAAAATCACTGTTCAAAATACCTAATATAATATATAATAAATACCTTGCATTTGAACTAGAAACTCAGTTTTTATCCTTCTGGCTGATTCAGACTCATTATCTGATCTTGATGAACATAAAGAATCAACTTCATCTATAAAAATTATACTTGGTTTGTGGGCTCTGGCAAGTTCAAATAGGTTCTTTACTAGTCTCTCAGACTCACCGAGCCACTTAGAAACAAGATCAGATGAAGATATAGAAAAGAATGTTGAGTTATTAGCTTCAGTTGCTACAGCTTTGGCAAGGTATGATTTACCTGTTCCTGGAGGCTGAAAGAGGAAACAAAAAATGAATTGGTATGTTCAGCTTTCAACTACAAAACTGTAATACTTTAAGGAGACAATAGTTAATAAATGGTCAATTACAGTCTAATAAAAATTAAATAGTAATCACAAAGGTACACCAATTTAATCATGTAGAGATGGTTGACTGTGATTATAGGGGTGTGGTCAACTATATATTGGCCGCACCCCCTGGCCAACTCATTCTCATAAACTAATTTAAGTTTTGTGATAAAAGTCATATAACATCATATTTTAACAATACTCAAATTTCATCCAACTTTGATGCAAATCGAACAAACCGTTTTTGAAATGTGAGCATTTTGAAAAAAATACATTTAAGCATGGTTAAACAAAGGTATTGAGTGGAATTTGATGAAATTAATATCAGACCACCTACGTATAAACTCACATATATCTTAAAATTTCATAAAAATCGGATGGACAGTAGTAGGTGATATGTCAGTCATATGGATCTGACTATAACAGACAGGCTAAGCAAGATATCGCATATATAAAATGCACTGCCCGGCAACCTGATAAATTGAAATTTATGAATTTGAATCTCGATGCTGGGGGAGGAGGAGGGGGGAGGAGAGACTTTTAACTCTGGCATCAATCCCCCAACATCTCTGTCCTGGGAAGAACTATGTATAACCAAAAAGGTAAGAAAAAAAAAATAATACCAACAAACAGACAGATAGACAAGGAACCAAATTTGATTATCAGAAATGTTCAATTCTGAGCACAAAAATTGTATTATCCTCTCACACAAACACAAAACTTCTCAACCTTCAGTAATGCAATATGAAATTATTGAAAGGTTTATTTAGATAAAAGTTATCGATTATGAAAAATAATGGTGAATTATTATTTAAGTTATGTAAATGAAAATTTTCCTCTTTAAACATTCAATATTTTCCCAAATTTATGAGATTATAGTAGATTCACACCGCTGCGTTCCGGTGAGAATTTTAATTTAATATAGTAAATCAATAACAACAATAGATAATGAATTGTTAAAGATAATAATTTATTTCACAATATTGCCTGAAAAAAAGTCTTTTATTTAAAATATTATAAGCAAATATAATTGGGGATTACAATTACAACAAAATTCATCAATTTCACTTTTAGTCCAGAAAGTTAAATTGTATTTTATTAATATTTTTATCAACTGAAACTTTTTTATGTCCATTCCATTTATCAATTCCAGGTTATCGATATACTAGATTTTATAAGCTGATGTTTATGAACCGTTTACAGACCAAATTCATATCAAAATCAAATTTTGTAACATTAATTATAGCAACAGCCAGTTAAAAAAAATTCTGGTATGTCCACTCACACAACTTTTCTACCTATTTTAAACAGATTTATACAATTTTAAATATAACGCCAGACCACACTAAGCAATAATCACACATCAAAAGTTAGTGCAATTTGGCTGGGATGTTTTATTAAACCCACCGTATTCTCCAGATCTTGCAGCACCCAACATTACCACTTATTCTGGCCACTCTAAAACGCCCTTAACGGGAAATCATTCACTGATGAGAGAGATATTAAAACATATCTTGATCAGTTTTTCGCTTCTTAGCTTCAGATGTTTTACGGAGCTGAATAATGAAATCGTTAAAAAGATAGCAAGAGGTCATTAATAAAAACTGCAATTACATTATTGAATAAAATTTATTCTTTATATGAAAAAAACTTTATTTGTTTTATTTCACCCTTCAAAAACTGAACGAATGTATGGATCCACCCAATATTTAAAGAAATATTCCATCATTTTTATTTATTTACTTATTAACCAGTTTAGTTTCATTCTAAGTGTTCAAATAATATCTTGAGGGAGCTTAACCACCTAAATAGATGGTTTATATTACTTTATATGGGTTATATTACTTTAAATAACTTAGAAATAAAAAATATTTGTATATATTTTGTATTTTATTCATGTTATGCCTTAATAGAAAAAAATTCAAATACACTTATAATTTTTTTTTTAACCAGCATACCCACAGTATCAATATTGATAACATGTCAGAATTCTTTTCCTTAACCTTCAGGTATCAAGGCGAACGAATTGGGAAAAGATGAAATCATATAAGATAAATAATACATACCCCAAATAGTAGAATACCTTTCCATGGTATTCTTTTCCCAGTAAACAAGTGAGGAAATTTAATTGGTAGGATTACTGCTTCTTTAAGAGCTTCTTTCGCTCCTTCTAAACCGGCGATATCAGACCATTGTACACATGGTTTCTCAACCACGATAGCTCCTTCTAGCCTTGACTGAAGTTTCTTTTTCTCAGGATCATCTGAATCACTATCACTGTCACTTTTCTTTTCATCTGATCTGAAAATTAAATAATATACAGGAAATATAAATAATGAATCCTTGATAATAATATAAAAATCTAAAATTGATATTCTGATACTTCTTTCTATTGAAATCTAAACACTACTTATCAACAACTTATGGAAAATAAAATAAAATTTATTAGAATATTGTTATTGAAAATAGTATAATACTAAACTGATGGATAGATAACTTGAAGTGAAAAGGTGACAGTGTTACAGGCATTAACTTTGATTTATCAGGTCTTATATAATCACCATAGCAAATGAATAGCTATTTAAAGTGTCATTTCCAAAAATATAAATAAGTACCACTATTATCTCTCTCATTACAAAAAAAAAAAAAAAAAAAGAAAAGATAATTACAGTGTTATTTTCTTTAAGCTGGTCAGATCGAATCCCTCATTGATGGATCTATAAATGGAATTCAGCAAGTTCCTTTATTCATCGATTGAATTACCAATGGCTCAGTGGTTCCATTGGCTTTTGAGGTTGATGTCGATACATCTCAGTGTTGATATTTCTTAATTTACCTTACATATTTAACTTTATCCGTCTATACTTTTTATTAAAATTTATTTGTTTTGAAATAAAAAAAATTCTTCAGTAGGTAAATATTAGATTGAATATTGCTTCCTCACTACCGAAGGTAGGGAAGCCTTGTATTCGTGCGAGAGATTACAAAAAATTTTGTGCTCAGAATTGAAAATTTCCAACCACATTTACATTTCAGACATCAAGGATCAAATTTGGTTAGGTAGTCAAATTGATGTAACAGCCATATCACCTACTACCGTTCATCCAGTTTTCATGAAATTTTCAGGAATTGTGCGGGCTGGTGTCAAGACAGTCCCATATCAATTTTATTAAATTCTAACCAGCACTTCCGCTTACGCACGCGCAAATGAATTTTCGTAGATATTCCAATATTTCAGAAATGGCCCGTTCGATTTGGCTCAAAATTGGATAAACAGTAGGTATTTGTGAACAAATAATGTAGGGTCAATTTTATTGAATTCTGTTCGTTGCTTTCACTTATATATGTGCAAACGCATTTTCCTTGATTCGTCTAGTCTATATCTCTAAGACCGCCAATTCGATTTGGCTCAAATTTTGAGGGATATAGAGATTGGTAAATGTAAAATGAAATAGGCATCAATTTTATCAAATTCTATCTACTAGTCCAAAAAAAAAAAAAAAAATACTTCAGCTTTCAGATCAGGAAATGTGATATTTGATATACCTATAGTTTGAAAACAGCGCATTCGATTGGACCCAAACTTGGACGAAATTTGGAGAACAGCATAGAAATTACTTAATATCAATTTCATTGAATTCCATTTAATAATTAAAATTAATATAAATAATTGTTAACTATATAATGGCTGTGAAATGCTGAAGGCACTGATCATATGTAGTGGGAGTTAGGTCATTACATATCGAAATATTGTTAGGGGTTATAGAATTTTAGGTTTTATTTAAAAAATTAATTGATACTGTATTGTTTGGTCGATTCCAAATGTTACTGGTTTGACACTTACTGCTGTTACTAAGATTTCGGGTAATTTTCAATACATTTAAAGTAATTTATACTCTGAGTTTATAAAAAAAACGTCTTATTTGTGATTGTGTTTATTTTCATTGAAGTTTAACTAGTTCGTCTTGTTCTGGATTTCTTTCTTAAAAATTAATGTTATGTGAACTTCACCAATAATTTTATATTTATTAGTGCTAAAGGTGACATTTTGTAGTCTGCAACTGCTATAAGTTGTTTGCTACTATGGAAAATAGCAGATGACAATAAAATATGAAATTATACTAATAAATCATAAAGAAATGAGTTTTTATGCACTCTAGCAAAACCACCAATTTTTACATAAGACCTTTTGCACTAACCGTAGTGAAATGCATGTTCAGTATGCATTTTTTTATTTGATTTTTTTAAATTAAGGTTAATCAAATATGGAATCTTCAAATACGGCACTCTTTCAAATTTTAATATTAACTGATAAACGAAATCCGTGGATATCAAACCCGCGAAAGTTGAAGGGTAACTGTATTTCCGAATCAGCTTCTCCCAAAGATCTTATTCTCATACAAAAAATTGTATAACTTGTAATATTTTAGCCAATGAAAACGGTGAGGATGCTATATTGACCTTACTTGGCAGACGTTTTTTTTTTATTTTTCACGTGTTTTCTATCCTTCCGCTGGAATCCAGGAAGTCATTCCTGGACTCAGCATAAATCACTGTCCAGCAATGCAAGATTCATTCGATAATTTTTATTTTATTTTTTTATTTGATAATAATACAATCTGCCACTTTTGGAGGGCAATAAGTATTAAGGCTAAATTTCTAATTCAAACAATATATATATAAATAATAAAGAAATGACTATTAACATTAAAAAAAAGTAAATAAATAATACTAATAAAATAAGAAGTAAATAAAGAAATCTTTTAAACAAATTCATACCTATGTAAAATATATACATTCTCCCAGGAATCTCCGAGCCAAACTTTGTCCTCCACACTTGAAGGCAAAGTAGGACTCCAGGAGATCCTAGTGCCACTTTTTCAGCCATGTCACTGGTATTAGAAGCCAGTGGAGACTGAAAGAGGGCACTAGAGCCACAGATGCTCAGGACTGAATCAATAGATGGATTCCTTAGACAAAATTAGTGCTCAGTATATGTATGGGCATTCATAAGTAGGAGCAAGTTCCTAAACTCAGTGCTGAGTTTGGAAACTTGCCCACTGTTACATTGATGAGTTTAGGAACAACCTGATGGATTTCTAATGTTAATTAGTTATCTCAGTAATGAGTTTAGGAACTTGTCCTCTTTTTGGATCATCATTATAAAGAGAGATCAGGGCATATTAATTAACTGATATGGAACAAGTAAAATTTTAGAAGAATAAGGCAGGACATTTATAAATGTTAAAATTGTAATATAACCCAAAATGATAAAAGAAAACATTACTAAAAATTGGATTTATCAAATGTATATATCTATTTTACAACACACACATACTTGGAGTTACTTTCTCCTTCTTTCACAGGTTTTTTTTGTTTCCCTTTTTTTAAATATTCTTTGAGTTTTTCAGCTCTTTCTAAGTATTGTAAGCATTTGTTTCGAATACTTTCCTTAGCTCGCTCGCTCTGTGCTTCATCTAAAAATATTAGAAGATAGCATAAATATAATAAAAAGTATACTGATTATATTAAGACAAATAAATTTCATTTAAAATTTACAAACAATACTTATTATAATAATACTAGACAAATAAAATTTATCTCAAAATATAGATGAAATTTTATTAATAAATTACTTTCTGACAATAAACATTTATAGAATCGCAACATTGTGATTGACTTCCATTTTGATAGAAAAAATAGATGATTATAGTGTCGGCTTATTACAAAAAGTCACTAAGTAGACTTTACCCTGAAGGTACACAGTTGTTAATTATGATCATATTTATCGATACAATAACTCATTAAGTGCACAATGTTCTGACTTTACAGAGCAAAAAGTCACTATCTGGAACTTAATGCCTTCTTTCACTGGATAAATTGATCAGATGGTTAATAAAAATAATTGAGTGAGATACGTCTAACTCACATTCTATGTACTTGCAAGGTTATCAAAGTAAGTTAGTGTTTTGTTTGATCATGATAATGTGCAAAAAGTCGTTATGAGTGTTGTAGTTTCATGTTTTTTCATTGTTATGTGTATGTTAAGTATTTTAATTAATTGTCGAAAATATAATACGTATTTAGTTATACATATTTATTTTTGTAAATCCAAATAACAGAAAATAAATAATCAAATTGCAATCTTAGTATTTTTTTTTTTGTTTATTATTTTCAATAATGAACCATTGTAATCCAACGAAAAATTCAAAAACTTAACCCCCTCACAAAATTTGAAGATTTATGTTTCAGGATACGTAGAATTCGAAAAATGAATAAAAAATTGTTTGTCCATCCGCGCATTTTCTCCCAAACTACTGGACCGATGACTTTTTCCAATAAAGTGACGATATATATTCAGGACAATCAAGAAGATAAAAGGGACAATCTCAAATTGATATAACTTTTGCATAATGAATTAAAATGAGTTATTTTAAAATAACTCTTTACACTATACTCAAATAGATTTAAACTATTTATGGGTACTCAACCACGGTAAAATGAAAACTGGAGACAGAATTTCCAAAACTGAGACTTTTTTTTCTGGGACAAAGTTCCTTAAGAATAATAATATTGTTCATACAAATTAATATTAAATCTGGCCAAAATACTTAATACAATAAAGAATAACTAAAACATAAGTAATAAGAAGAGTATATATTAATAGATATGAATATATATTAAAGAAAGCAGATGAGCAACAGAGTTACAATACTGTAATATAGCTGCTAGGTATAATAACTAAATAAAATTGGGAAGGAAAGTTAAATTAATTTTATAGGCAAAACCATTGTAGTGAAAAAAAAACTGAATTAAATAAATGATTTACATCTGTTCCTTCAGAAGTTTAAATGAATACTCATAATGGTATTGCAAGAAATTAGAAAAGTATTGTAATTTACTTACTAAGAGGTAGATTGAAAGGAGAAAAAGTATAAATGTACATTAAAGTATCCTCTAAGTTCCTTCGTTTTTCTTTATTTGATGTTTAATGTTGATTTACTGTATTACTTATGACTATGATATGATATTACATACATTAAATATTACATAAATGATATGATTATTATATATGACTACTATATTACCTTCTTCCATCTCTCATCATGAAGTCTCTTATACCGATTTTCCAATATTGTTGAGACTTATTTGCAAAATATTCATCGAGAAGTGTTTTTATTTCGCTTTCGGATTTGTAACATTTATTAAGGAAAGAATTTTTAAACGAAAGGAACAAGTAATAATCGGATGAGGCAAGGTTTGGTGAGTACAGAGGATGAGGTAAGTCCCAATCGGACTGTAAGGGTTTCTGTTTTGTGACTAATGCAACATGCGGCATTGGCCTTATTAAGACAGAAATTCTGAGAATTTGATTGGAACTAGAGGGTCAGGGTGGCATGTAGACAGCATCATGCATTGCCTGGCAACCTGGATCTAAGATAATTGGATAAAAATAATTACGAGTTCGCGTTCCGGTGCCTGGGGAAGCTTTTAATTCGCTGTGCCCAGGGGGGAAACCCTGTATAGCATAAAAGAAGAGAAAGGGAAGGATAAAAAAAAAAAAAAATTTGATTGGGACTTTCTACCTCATTCTCCCTACTGACCAAATCATGCTCCATCTGATTATTACTTGTTTCTTTCTTTAAATAATTCTACAACTGCTAATATATAATACAGTAAATCAATGAAGAAAAATGAAGGAACTTATGGGACACTCTAAAATATATTTATAATTTTTTCTCCTCACAATCTACACCTTCGTATGTGGATTGCAATACTTTTCTAATTTCTTAAAATACCATTATGAGTATTCATTCAAATATCTGAAGGGACAAATGTTTATGATGCATTTTCGGAATTTCGTTCATAATGTGATCATGAGATATTGTGTCCACCAATCAAAGTGGAGCAACACTTTTGAAGTAGTGTCCTAATAAATATTAATAAATCGGTTGTACGAATATAACAGGAACAACTTTTGTTAAAACTAAAAGTCATTTTAAACAGAAAATTAGTAAGTCGATAAAATGAAAAGCTGTGATAAAATTATTACACCAATGCAGAAACAGGAAAAAATTTATATGTATTAATTTTTTGACTCAATAAAAGTGTACTTTATTACTTTTACCACAATGGGTAGGCACAAGATCTATGACCACACTCCAAATGGAATTCCAAAAAAGGCACAAGGATGACCAAAAGTAGATTGGAGGTGTCTAAATCATCTATCAAGAAACTGACTTCAACTGAAAAGGGCCTGATTATCACTTTTGAGTAAGAGTAAGTCAAAAGCAATGATGTGATTAAAGTTATTTATGGTACCAATTTTAACTGAAAAGGAACAGTTGAGAGCAGAAGACATAAATTGAGATATAAATAATGGGAGGTCATACTTGTGAACAACTCATCAATACTCAGCCATTCTTGGAATCCAATTTATACTGCGATCATGAAATCTTGTGTCCACTCATCAAAGTGGAGCAACACTTATGAAGTAATACAAATAAATATTGCTTCAAAAACAATTGCAATGTTATTCTTTCTCAAGTTTTGGGAATATAACTTTTCCTTACATATTCAATGACCATTCTCATTTAACATTTCTCTTGCTTATCACAAAAGTCTGATCAACCACCACACAACCTCTCATATATAAAAAAAATCTTTTGTTTATCAAGCATATTACCTTCTCTACTGACAATCATCACCTATTATTAATAATGAATAACGTGTTTCAAAATAAGAGCTAATGACTCATACAAATCTTTCTATGAGTGACATCAAATATCATGAACAAAATAAAAAATTCTTTAATTAATAATAAATCTATTGATATACTTCTAACCTACATTTAATGGCATGAAGAAAATATTCAACTGCATGTTCATACAATCTTAATGCTTCTTCATAATTTTTATTTCTGTCCTCATCAGTAGCTTTTGTAACTAGATCAATAGCTTTCTATAAAGTAACAATACAATTAATCATAAAACAAGTTTTAAGTACTAAAACTTGAACAACTCTTATCACATACCTGCAAGGTTCCACCAATACTCATAATTGATAATTATATAGCCTGTGAAAATAAAAATCAGTTATAAAAGTCAATAAAAAGAAAAGATGAAATCACCAGGATAGAAAGTAATTCACATTAAGAAATTACATAGTTCCAAAGGTTAACACTTGTTATGACATTTAACAGAAACTAAAAAGTGGATAATTTCATTAATATACATACTACAATTGTATCTGAACTGTATGTTTTATTTGAAATGAAAACCATGAAGCTGATATCTCATATCTCAAGACAATCCCAAGAAAAATAGGGTTGGAATTGACTCATTTGTCTTCCGTCTTCATCACAAGTTGTTCACCGAACTTTTTAATACACAGCACCAAAGTTATTTACAGTCGAAGGAAACACTATATGATCGATTACTTTAAGATATTATTTTTTTTTAAACCAACTACTAAAATTTGACAATTTACCCACAAAGGGTACTGCCATACGGGAGACAGCTGACTAGATTAAATCTATTTCATTAATAAAATATTTTCGGATACAAATTTACCAAGGAATCAGAATGTAAGCATTAAATATGCTGATGAAACAATTATAGTATTAGAAATATACTAAATGTAAATTCAAAATTTAACATTTCAAAAACTACAAGTTGTCATGACGTCATTATAGCAGGAGGCAGTAAATTGAAAACGCATGCGTACTTCGTACTTTCTGTATCCAATATTCCGGGATCTTCTGTGAGGTTTTGGAGTTGAATACATTGAATATACAGTGTGATAGTTTAAGTTATATTGACGATATGGCTAAACGAGAGCAAGTTTTGATAATAGAGCCAAAACATGAACTTAAATTTCGAGGTATGATTTATTGTTTTTATTTTAAAATACCGCCGTCAAAATCTGTCTTCTGTTAAACAGCCTCGAATATTTGCTCAGCAATAAGTATTGTACCTTTATTTTTTTCCACTCCACTTTGTGTTATTAATCAGTGGTTTAGGAGTCAATAAACTACAAAGTATACATTTACAATTTTATTAATGTAATTCATAAAATGTTAGTATTTTAAATATCTTTGATTCAATATTTAGAACTGTTTAGTTGTTACTTATATTATATTTAGATGTCAATATGCACCATTTAATTTTAGTATTTGATTATGTTTCAGGCCCTTTCAAACAAATGAGTACTTCTCACTTAGAATTAAAAAATCCAATAGACTCACCTGTTTGTTTCAAAATAAAAACTACTGCTCCAAAAAAATACTGTGTTCGGCCAAACTCTGGTATTGTGCTACCTAAACAAACTGTTGTAGTTGCAGGTCTGTTCTTATCTAAATTATCTTTATTTATCTATTTATCAACTCATTCAAAATTCTCCAAAAAATAAACTTTATTCAGTTGATAAAATAGTAATTATAAGATTTATAATTAACATTTCTAGTTATTTTATACCTGATAATATTTTTCTTTATCACCCTTTTGTTTCAATGTATCTCCCTTTGTAATGATAACTTAAAGAGTAAAATTAATTGTTTAATTTTTCATTTTTGAATTATTTGTTGTTCTGTTTAATATTGAACTATTTATATTGAAAAATGAATACCTTTGTTCTTAAATGTAATTATTCAAAGATGAATCATCATTTTTATAGTTTGTCTTCAACCATTTGAGTTTGACCCTAGTGAAAAAAGTAAGCATAAATTTATGGTGCAGACTATGATTGCTCCAGAGGGAGAATTTAATCAAGATACATTAGTAAGTATAGACTTTTATTTTTATTAAGATGACAAAGTTGGTTAAATATTACATTTGTAATTGGGTATTTATCCACACATTTTTCTATAATATAGTGGAAAGAAGCTGATGCAGATAGTTTAATGGATACAAAATTAAAGTGTGTATTTGAATTACCAACTGAAGGAGAAGTTGGATCCACTGTTCCTGATACGTCAACTAGGGAAGAAGCCAAAAACAGTGGAGATTCAGTAAGTATAATTTTCCAGTCTTTCAACATGGAATTTGGGTGTAATAAATAATCTTGTAATTTATTCATCTAATTATATTTGTTGATTCATTTCATAGGTTCATCTAGTCATTGGTTCAATTATGCCAACTCATATTTAAAAGCATTGATCTTAACTGACTTATTGTTTTTTAAAAAATAACATTGACAAAATTTATTGATATACTAGTAGAGTTTATTTTATTTTGTTTTAAGTAGCATTTATTTTTTTAAATAATAACATTTTGTTAAACATAAAAATCCATAATTTTATTTATGGTAATTAAATATCACAATTTCTTCTTAAGGTTAAGGGTTTGACTATCTGTTCTTATAAAAATAAATTTATAAGAACAGATAGTCTATTTCACATTTCAGGATGAAATACAATTTTTTTATTTATATTCAGCGACTACACTTTATATTTATCTTAAATATTTATTAGATTTCTTCTACTGAGTTATGTCTGAATTCATTGTTACACACGATATATTTTTATATGGTTATTCTAACTATATAAAACTTAAACTGATTCCATCAGTTTTGCTTTTCTGCCAGAGAATAAGTAAATTATTTGACTATATGATAATTAATTTGTTTAAAATCATTAGGAGGTAGAAGATAACTTCAGCATTGTTTGCAAATATCTACTATAAAAAAAATTGAAAGCCATCCCAATAAAAAAGTCATTTATTGGGAGTGATGAGAAATCATAATGGTTTGAATTGTTATCTTGTCTGAAAATGACAACTATACTTGATAATACTTTTCAAGCTCTATCAAATGAATTATTTCTTAATATTTTGAATTCATGAGAATTAATTAGTATAGTATTTTGATAAGCTGAGGTTAAGCTTTAACGGCTTTTTATGCAAACTTTAATATTGCTAGAGATGGATACTGCTCTCATAAACTGATGCCATAAGCTACACAAGAGCATTCGAGAAGGAAGGATGGTTGATATTTTGTGAATCGAACTTCCTCTCCTCATGGGTCATATACTTAATTCTTCCTTTTATAAATATAGATTTTTAAATGAGTATAAAAGTGCATTTCATGTTTCTTTGGTATTTAAAATTAATTGATTTGTCTAAGCTTTATATGGAATTACATTATTCGGAATTTATATTGAAAAATCCAATGGCTTATCAACATTGTCAAACATAGTACTTGTGCTTATTATGTTCTTATACCAGTAGTTTAATTCAGTTCCATAGTATTTTCTTACGACATTTTTGAACATCAGAGGGATATCAGATCACTGATCACTGTCAGAACAACGTTGTCTTAGGTTTTTTATATCTCTAAATGTAGCCAAATATCATATTTCAAGAAACTAATGAAATTGTCAATAATTATTTGACAACAGCTTAAATAGAACAAAAGTATCCAATGATAGCAGAAAGGTCTGGTGAAGCATTCTGAGTTATTTGATCTGAATACTGCTGTGTTAAGGCTTCACTGGACAGGACATATCTATGCTTTAAACTGAGAGCTTGTGGTCAATTTTAGTATAAAAAAAGTCACTTATTTGAATCCGTTTTTAGCACACTTCTGGCTATTTATAACAAAAGATAATTAATATTGTATAGGGAATGAAACCACCTTTTGGAAGTAATATCTAATTAGTTTTGTGTTAAAAATAAACTTGATCATCTTTGAAACTGGGATACTCACTTATTTTTGGTGTGTATGTTTTGCATATTTAGTTTTCCTATTCTGTTCCTTTTGCTCACTTCTGTGAGAAATAAGACAAGTCTAATCAACATAATTTTTAAATGTTATGTCCAAGCTGGGTTCCATACTAGTGACTAATACTTGGCTCTATATTCTTGGAGTATTTGCTGATGTTAGTCGGTGAAAGTACTGTCCAGCATTGGGGTCAGCCCTCGTGTTACGCATTTCCGAGCAGTTTTACTTCACACATTAAGGGAATTACTTCCTGCCATTGTCAAGTATTTGGACACGAACTACATATATGATGAACCCCATTTGCTTAATGGGTCGATAATTTTGTCTAAACAATTTACTCTAAAACTGTTGTTTTGAAATTATCATTATTTATAACTTTTGGTTGTTGATTAGAGTAATAATTTGTAATTTGTTCTTTTCTACTTTCACATATCTATGTATGAAACATGTAATAAGGAGAAGTAAGTTTTGCTACTGTGAGAATTTCAAATTCGAGATTTCAGCAGAAATATACAATTTGAGGTCCTCTTAAGACCATATAATCAAGTCTTGCAAAATGATCTGTGTATGTGAGCAGCCTAGCTCAAAAATGAAATCTCGTACGAATCTGAAATTGCGTATTTAAGGTTTGTATATGCTTGAGACAGCAACTATTTCATCAAAATTGGTTAACCGGAAGTTCATCTTTATTTTATATCATTGATTTTACTCATGATTACAAGAAGTCTCTCAAAAAACGGCTCTAACGCTTTTACTCGCTGTATCAAGGTAAAGTCAAGTGATGTTTAATATCAGGCAATGAGTTGAGGAAGATTGGGTGCTTGTAATGAATGCACTCTGAGTTCAAAGAATTTTTGGTGAAGAACTATGATATGAACATTGACTCCTCAGGGAAACATAAGCCTGTTAGTGGAACAAACTGTTATATTGGCTCATTAATGCTTAATATATGGTGCGGGTGTTTGTTGGAAGAGCGCACCAGAGGCGGGCATGTCCATACCATTGCGCAAATATGCAACAGTATTTTAATCTGAGACACTGGCGATATCTCACTGTTCATCAAAGCTGTAAACTGATCTCGTCTTGGTCTTGCTTTTGGGCAACACTATTCTTTACAGGACGTTAATATTCTTTATGCTCGCTTCACCTAAAGCTTTTTTTTTTTAATCAATTCATAATATCTTATTCAGTATTGATTTTTGTTGAGTTTCGAAAATACTGAAAAATATCTTGCAATATTTTTCTTGCCTTTCCGAAGTTGTTAGCAGAGCTGAATTTTGTAAATTGTGAAAATATTTTTTGTAAGTGAATCACTTATATGAACAAACAATACCTAAAAAATTCTTCAAAATAATATAAGGGAAGGAAGATTTCCATCTTTACTGACAGTCATTGCTGCAATACATGCGCTGGGCAACTAAATCAATCTAAGACTGTTGAGGATTGTTGTACAATCCTTAATAATTTATCTAGATTCAATAAGGTAACCATCGAATGGTTACCAGGTCACTATGGTATTGTTGGAAATGTGATGGCAGACAAATTAGCCAAGAAAGGCTTTCAGACAACTCCTATTACTCGAACCTTTATGTGGAATTAGCATGAGTTTAATGAAAAGAAAAATCGTGGAGACTTATTGTTCAGAAGCTAAGAAATACTGTTCTAAAAAAATGGTCCCATTCTAGGTTGTTCCTTGATGGATTCTGTGCAAAGAGAATTAACTGCTTCCGAAGAAAATTACAGGGATCTATAGAGATCACTGTAAACTGAACTATCATATAATATTGAAGGAAGTTGACTGTTCTATTTATATAACCATTTAACATTTGAACTAATGATAAAAAATGGTTAAATGTAAGCAGTGAAAAAAGTTGATTATTTACTAAACTTGAAATGAGGGACCAACATTGCAATGAGACTTAGTGTGCTTGATTTTGATGAAAGATTATATCCTTCTTAATGTAATGCTTGCATAATATATGCAGGTTCAGATAACCTTACCTGTATGTCCAGTTTTCATAAATATGAGTGCTAGTATAATTAGTTATATACATAAAATAATTGGTATTATTTAATGGTAGAGGTTACAGCAATATCAAAATTAATTACCCAATTAAGCGAAGCAACACAAGAGTTATTTGTTTAGGTTGTCCATTGAAAGCTATGTAACGATTTTTTGATTAAATGTCTGGATCCATTTTCAAGTTTGCTGGGTCAAAAAAAAATGTCAGTGACAGAAAAGGCATGAATTTAATAGGTTAGACAAGTGGGAAGGAAAAACTCATGGTAATTAATTGCTCTAAATAATATGTTGTACCATCTATGATTTTTACATTCAGTTTCCTATGTATGATATTCCTACCAGCTAAGTACAAGCTACTTCATAATTTCATAGTAGTATTATTTTATTAATTGGGCACTGATGTCCTAGTTATTTTGCACCTAAAACACCAACTATCGTTTGTCTTTTCAAACACCAATGCTTGAAAAGACCTATTTTTACTCAAAGTAGGGTGGTAACTGAAACTTTAGTGATTCACACCAGAATTTTTTTTCTGAGTTATTAATTTAATGATTGTTACCTAATTTAACAAAATCAGCTAATTTTCATCATTATCAAAACATTTATTAGTATTTTAAAAATTAAAACTGAATTAATGAGTCATTGTTTTATTTTTGAATTTCAGTGAAATGAAAAAAAGTTTCACTAAAATTTTTCTTTTTTCAAAATTACAATTGTATTGAACAAATAAAAAAAAAATCATATTTCAATACATCAGAGAGAAGTAAAAGTTGTATTCACTTGATAGTATGGAGTTACTAATTCTTGTATTAATAAAATAAAAACCTCATAGCACAATAATCACTTATCAAAAATAAGTTTTATTCCCCAGATAAAGAAATAGTTATGGAGTAAAGAAATTTTTGATTATTTAAAGAAATATTTGACGATTCATCACTGGTGTGGAGCCGGAGTGAGAATGATAAATAATTATTGTTGCTCATCTAATTTAAATTTTATGATGTTATAATGAACAATATAGTGATTTCAAATAAAGGACAGTGTTACTGTTTAAAAGAATGTATAGCATATCTGCTGAAAGAAAGTCAATTAAAATTTGTTCACACTTTGTTTTAGCCTAATGTACAAGAAGGAGGAGAGGTTGCTAAAGATATGAAACTAAAAGTTCTCCGGGAGGAAGAGAATTCACTACGTCAAGAAAACCTTATTTTGAAGGTAATACTAAAAGCTGTGAATCAAATAATTTTATGATTACTATGAAAACAATTTATGAATATTCCTTAATCATTTCATTATATTCATGAAATACTTAAAGCTTATCTTTAAATGTAGATTGATAGTGAAGTGTTCTTAAAAATTAAGGTGTTTTACATTTTAGGAAAATCATTTTTTTTTTTAAATTTCAAGTAATTTTTTTATTATTCAAAATTAATAACTGTAAATATCAGTTCTTTATGGTTTCGTATTGCCTCATTTTAAAGTGTTGGGGTCTCTCTTAGTTTGACTTTCATTGATGTAGTTTTAGGATAGGTTTAAAAAGAGCTGGGTTAACTGTTATAGGTAGAAGGTTGATAAAAAGATTTCTCTCAGAACTTTAGAAAAACAATTTTGTCAGGAGTGTTTGCAATTAATTACAGAATTTGTATATATATTTTTTTTTTCTATCTTAATAGTCAATACAATTAAGAAAATTTTAGAATGTTTGTTTGAAAACTCTTTTTGAGCTGATCTTATGAGTATGTTTTACTATTTATCTAATATTCTTGTTTTAATTGTTCTTCAATTTTTGTTTTTAGGAACAAGTTTTAGTGCTAGAAAAACAAGCTGAGGCACTGCGTAAAAGGTCACGCGTTGCTATACAGCCACAGCCAATATATCAGACGCCCCTAATTGTGGTCGCAATTCTTACTGGACTTGTTGGAATTATTTTGGGAAAGTTCCTGCTCTGAAAAGCATTTACACAAATTTCCCCTCAGACTCCTTAATACACACATTGTAATTAGCACATTCCCCCTCCCCTGTAACTATCGCTTGCCCTTCCTGCTCCAATCACATATTATTACTCCGTAATTTCATAAAATATAAACACATCTTAGACTTGCATATATATATATACATATATTATTTTAGCCACATATTTATTAACAGGCAAATTTTCCCTGTTTAAAAAAAATGAAAAGAAACAAGAATCATTTTCCTTTGCTTAAAGAAACAACTCTGAAAGAAGAAAATGCATTTCATAAATCATTTTTATGTTTTGGATTCAGAATTATGTCCAATTATTAATTACTTATTTTTCTAACAGTCCAGTGTGATAACAGGTCACTAGCAAACATAAATTAGGGATCAACATTTATAACTGATGGGCAAGTTAAGTTTTCAAAATTTTCTAAAAAAAAAAAATTGATGTGAAATATTTTGATTTTTAACTTATCAATCTGGTTTTGTTTCAGTATTAATATTTTAGAAGTATAAATATATCACCCATATTGTCAACTTTGTGATGAGTTGTGTAAATAACTTTGTTTTGTAAATTGGAATGTTTTGCAGTTATTAATAAACCTGCATTTTATAAAAACTTTGTTTTGTTACACACTGCATTAGAGTTATTTTAAATTAAAAAGAAGACTTTTTTTGATGAGTTGTGACATATATTATAATGTATTATTGCAATACCAATTTGGTTTATTTATTATCAAATTTATTTTATTGTATAGTTAGACTTTTTATCAGTGTAATATCTGATAATTATGTTTTTTTGTTTTTTTACTCAGATATGATTTAATTGAGTTATTGTTTTCTGGTGAAAATGCAATTTTATGATTAAAAGGGTTTTCATTATTACTGTTTTAAACTGCGCTCATGTTGTTAGAACCCATGCCTTATTTGTAATTTTTTTTTCTCTCAGTTTATCACTAATGAAATTATACCGCACATTAATATGAATTATTTTGCATCGATTTAATATGCAATATAGACAAATTGATTATAATATATACTGAGCCTCCCAATTTGAATAGAAGACATTTACAATGACTTATATTTGTGTAACTTATACTTCATATATCTGCTGATGGTCAGTATTCTGAACACAATATATTTATTCTTTTGTAATAAAGGTTGATGTTGCACCATTCACATTTTCAGTGACTAATTTAATTGTTTGTTATTTAATTGAATTGGTGGCTGGAGGAATGTTAATTTGCCTTTTTTACAATTACATTTTTTTAGTGGAACCTCATTTGTTGTGGATATTTGTATAGGAAAGTTAAGGTTAATTGGTTAACTTGAGAACTTAACCCTTAACTTGTCTTAGAGTGGGTATTCCACCAGAAAAAGTTAAACCAGCATTGCTCCAGCCACCAATTTAATTTTAGATTTTTCTAGTCATGGTTAAAGTTTGTAATTAACAGTTATAAAACTATAAATTCTTTGGTGTTTGCAGGAGTTACAAATTTTGATTGAATAAAGAGATGTGACATCTCCTTTTCTCAAAATTTTTAGGCCTTCATTATTTTGCGAATTTTATTTTGAACATCATATTTTTTTCATTTAGGGACTGGTATATCTTAGCTTTCAGTTTTTACTAACCTATTGTTAGTTTCACTTAATATTTTGTAAGTTTAAACTCCTATTTATATGTATATAGGAATTTACAAATACAAATATGGTGTTTTCAGGGATATTCAGCATTTTGAAACATTTTTTTTACTAACATTTGCTGTTATTATCATCTACCTACTTATAAGAAAAACGGTAAAACTAAAACTATTCAGTACATATTTTCTAATTTGCAGCTGGAGAATCACTAATTTTCGTTCTCCTTATCATTATAGTGTTTTATAATTGATTTGATTGTATTTTAGCTTATGTAAATGAATCTTTTCAAAATAAAAAGTAATCATTCTGAAAAATAATGTCTATTAATTATATATTGTTATACAGCAAGCATTTATTTATAAGTGTTTATAATTTGTTTTAATGGTTTATTGATATGCGATTTTTTATTAGCTCTTGTATTTTTCTTGGGTATTACTTTTTTTTGTTTTGTCAATATCTGCAAGATTAGAAAATATTTTCTCGTTTAACTAAAAATCTACTTAAAAACCACAACAATTATATTTTTTATAACTTTATTTCCTTTTCTAATGCTTTATAATTGATCGTTATTTATTTTATAAAATCTTATGGCTTTGTGCCTTACTGCAGTGTATAAAATTGAAGTATATTCTGTAGGTGTGAATATTTCACATAAATTCTGTATACTCGTTAATGTGATGTTCTGTTTTTATTATGTTTGTCTTTAGATGATTAATGTTATTTTGTAATAACAAAACTTTCAGGTCAAATTGTATGCTAAATTATCTATTAAAAAACTTTTAATATCTATCTGATATAAGTGTGTGTATGTGTATATAAAGAAATATATACATATATATCATATTGTAGAATAATAGGTAATAAAAGTGATGTTCATACTCTATGTAGTTGGAAAAACCTTAAGTGCTCCAAACAGTCTCTAATTAGTTGACTCTTGGCTGAAAGAGATTACAATTAAAATCAATAATAATAAAAAAAAGAAAAAAAAAGTGGCTCCTAGTCAAGCTTTTTATTGTATTAAATATAAATGCTAAAAAGCATATATTAATAAATATTTATAACTTAGATAAAAATAGTGTTAACTGTGTAGATAAGCTTAAAAGTTTATACCCTGAGTTACTTTTTCATATTTATTTGAATAAAGGTGTATTTGTTGTATGGTTTTAAAAATATGTACTTTGTTGCCGGCCTTTTTTAAAGAAATATTTAATATAGAAAATAAATTTTTTTTATATATTAAAGATAGTAAATGAGGAAAGTTGCCTATCCAAGTTTTATCCTTATTTTATTCTCATTTTTTTTTTCTGCTTTTAAATATTTTAACAGTCTTTAAAACTGAGATTTATTTTTTTTTTTTTATGAAAGGAATCTTCGACTGTTGATATTTCAAGTTGGATATTCAACATATGAAACTTTTTTTTTTTTTAATGCAATATTTATTTCAGTTTTTTAAATAAGTAATTAAAAAATAATTATGGCTTTCTTCTTTTACAAGTTAAATACTTAGGTGTGAAAAATCATTCATTTTTTTTTTTTTTTGGGGGGAGGTTTCCATACTATAGGCCAAGATGCTATTCCAAATCTTGTTTGAAACAAATTAGTGCATGGTCTGGTTGCATGTAGAAAAATAGGAAACTTATTTTTTGTGTTAACTTCATAATTCATGTTTTTATTGAACAGCAAGCACTAATTGAAAAGTTATTTTATATAGTTAATTACCAGTTATAACATCACAAGCTAACAAAATTTTCTCTAAATCGAAATACAATTTGTATTAGTTAAAACCAATCTATGAGAACTTTTAAGCGACATCTCCACTAACTTCTATTTTTTGTAAAATCATTTTTACAATTTTAATCATTCTCTTATAGATAGAACTACAGATTTTCCCCTTTTAAACAAATTTCCTGGTGCAATAATCTACAATTCCAAATTAAGTAAGTTGAGGTTTGTAACTGAATAAGCTAAGATTTGTCTCTTTAAAAAAAAAAATTATAATCAATTCCAGAAGTACTTATATTTTCAGCAAAAACAATTACAAGAAATAGCCATAAATTTTTATTTGTGTGACCGCAGATACTTTATGTTAATTAATTACTAAGACACACTTTTTATTAGTGAATTTTTGACTCCTAGCTAGTATTGTCAATGCAGCATTAAGAGCAACAAGTGTCTTCATCAAGCGTGGAGAAGAAATGACAAAAACATTTTAAAAAGCCCTCTTCAAAATTATAGCTGATAGTAAAGAAATGATCAGAAACTTTTGCTAAGAAAATTTGTTCTACTTCAGTTTTTTTTTTTTTTTTTTTTTTTATTCTACCCTTCCTTGCCTTTGAGGCTATTCAGGATTTTTCCTGGGCCAGGAAATAAGAGTGGGGGATTAATGCCAGAGTTAAAAGACCCCCCCCGGTACCAGGATACAAACTCATAATTATTTTGTTGTCTGTAACTTGATTTTCAGGTTGCCGGACAATGCTCAGTGCTGTAAACATGCGTTAGCTCACTCAGCCACCCCACCTCTAGTTCTAGTTAGATTAGTGTAGGTGTTAGTTTTTGCTTAAATAAATATTACCAAAATATTTAAGAAAGAGTAAAAAATTATCTTTGAATGACTTCACTTCCAGAATACTAAAAACCCACCCTGGGGGATTTTTATTTTGTTATACAGAATATTTGAAGGTCAAGTTTCAAAACTTAGCTAAATTGATTGGACTAATTTACATTAAATAGTCAATTTGGACAGGGGATGAATCCTTGACTAAGGGAGGAAGACATTTTTGTATTTACAAATATTGATAAATGTAAATGACTAAAGCTATACTGAACCTCTAATGTGTTAAAAGTCTGAAACAAACTTGGGTTTTGTGAGAAATCATCATGCAAATCCGATTTAATAAATAGGGTTTGTGTTATTTTAACGGCCTTAAAGATTAGCTGTAAGATTAAAGGTTTAGCTCTGTTAAAAATGTATCTCAAAAATTTTGAAATAGCCCAATATGCCAGAAAATAATTTCTATCCTAAGTAGAGCGATAAGTGAAAGTTGTATGATACAAGCACCAGATTTTTATTATTTATAATTGTCTCTTATATTTGCACCTAAAACCTTTTCTACATCAATATAATCTGGCAAGTTCAAAACAATATATTTCTTGTAGTCCTCTGGAGTAGCTGAAAATGTTGATGTAATATACCTGTTAAATATGTAATTTCAATTTTGTACGACTTTTTGCTCTTGAGCTAGACTGATCACACACAGACCATTTTGCAGAACTTGGTTATTTGGACTCAGGGAACCTCAAAATGTGGATTTTTGTTGAAAACTCGGATTCGAAAATTTCCACAATCGCAATACTTTCCTTTACTATATATATATAGGTACGTGGATTAAAAATGTAATGCTCAAATCCTATAATAGTATCACAGATTTGGTTTCACAAGGGAAAGTTAAAACATCTACAAATCAATGAAGCTTCATAGTTCACAGGATTTGTAATACATTAGGAATAAAACCTTCAAAACTTGATACTTTAATTTGATAAATAATTTTTATTTTTTGAAAAAGTAATAAATTTTAGGTCTTACAAAATATTTATAGTTTATTAACAATGAAACAGGAAAAAAAAAAAAAAAACTAATCACATTAAAAAATAAATGTTTCTGTATTTGATGTTATAGCATCATAAATAAATGTGTTATGGAGAGGTTTATACTGCCCTGTAATCAGTTTGATTGCTTCATGTGCTGCACATCCACCTGTAATGAAATAAATTTTTCATGAACTAAATTTACCTGCTGTTGTGCAGTCTGGCAAAATGAAAAAAAATAAATTAGAAAGCACATAGGAGGCGGCTTAATATCAAAGAAGGACATCTGCAATTTTCTGAAAAATAGCTTCAATTTAAGCCAATTCTAATGATTTTTTTTTTCATGATTCAACTTTTTGAGGAACAGTTTTGAGTTGAGAGAGAGAATCACTTTGCTTTCATAAAAGCTTGCTGCCCAATTATATTGGGTTGCTACAGACACAGCATACTTATCAATCGATACAATGGGCAATTCAATGAACAAATATACACAAAACAAAAATTGACTTTTTATCATCTTTATGAAAATTACAGATGTCTGTCTTTGATACAAAGCTCATATATTTTCATGTTTAATTTTATAAATAATTATTTGTATATTTAATGAAGAGAAGGATGGTTGGGGTGATCAGTCATAATAAAAATGACAAAAATAAATAATATTTATTTTAACATTTGCTGACGTTTCGACCCAAAGTTCAGGGTTGATCGAAGCAATCGCTTGCAGAGATTTGTATATTTAATAAATTGTTTAATGTTGAAAATTGATTATTTTATGTCAAATAAAAATATAAATGCTTGTTTGTTCAAAATCTTAAATCATGGAAAGTTCTTCACTGATCGCTTTGAAATTTTTACTTAACGTTAACTTAAAATTTAAATTAAATACGCGCATGGTTTTATATACCTACTATTATACAACATCAGTTAAAACTATGTATCTTTATTAAAACAGCGCCATCTGTTGGATGTTAAAGCAACACATGCTTTTTAAAATATTATATGATACTATTTCAATGTTTCAGATTTACAAATATTAAACTTGGCATTGTATTGAAACTGAGCTAAACAGTTTACCATATCGTTCATTTCATACTTTCATGTGCATTAGAGCTATCTTTCTCCTCTCGATATTTGATTGATCCTGCTTTTTCTTAAAAACAACTTGTTTAAATGTGGAGTTATAAAAATTGTAGTAGAAAAATAAACCTTAATCATGAAATAAACCATACAGTAAACAACACAGCCTTATTCCAAAGTAATGTTACAGAAAATAATTTAATTAAAAATAAAATAAACTGAAATCTATAAAAGCTAAACATAAACGGCGACAATTATTACTCAAGGGTTCACTATTTTTAAATAATTGCATATCAAGTATTTGAGATGTATCATACTACTTCTCGAATACAATGAGGAAAAATATAAATATGGATATGAAAAGCTTATAATAGTATTGATCCGCATAAGGAGAATTAAATCATTTTTTCAAATGATAATCTCCATTACTTTAGTAATTATAAAATTTTAGATCAATCAACCAAAAAAAGTAAATGGTCTTGGATGAAGAAAGAGTACAAAATATTTAAAACGCTGTATCTCTGCACAAAATCATTCGATTTCGATGATTTTTTTTTTTTTAATTTGACGAAGAAAGAGTACAAAATGTTTAAAACGCTGTATCTCTGCACAAAATCATCCAATTTCAATGATTTGTTTTTTTTAATCTGTATGTTATTCGGGAAGCTTTAAAATAATTATGGATATAATCCAGCAAAAATTGTATATTTTTTTAGTTATTCGCAAATAAAATCCTGAATTCATCACAACTTAATTATAAGGCTTCAAGGGGAAGGCTTAAACTCATTAAGAATATTTAATAGTTGTGACTGTTACATAATAAAGGAAGGAGATAGTCCGGGGTGTGACGGTCATAAATAGTGGTAAAACTATAAAACTATTTTATTAAAAGCCAACGTTTCGACCCGACTTTGCAGGTCTTCTTCAGGGAGGTATGTTCAGCAAGGAGTTTCACTTAGAACTACTATATTTTTATTAGTAAGGTAGTTCTAAGTGAAGCTCCTAGCTGAAGACGACCTGCAGAGTTGGGTTGAAACGTTGGCTTTTAATAAAATAATTTTACCACTATTTAGCCTATTTATGAACGCCACCCTGGACCATCTCCTTCCTTTTTAAACTCATATTAAAATTGTTACAGCCATTTTGTCGCTGCAGTCTATGACACAGGTTTTTCAGCCACCATTTTGAAACTAAAGGCTGGATGGTAATGAAATGCTTATAAAACACTCCTGAATTGGATTGCTACTTTTTGTTAAAATTACAAAGCAATTGGTGAAGAACTTTTTGAGATTAGAGGTTTTTAACAAGCAAACATTCACATTTATATATATATATATAATTTATCATAGGACAGATGTATACCAGAAACCTTTGCAGGAGTGTAAGCAACAACTTCCTCAAGTTTCATCAAGATTGGATGAATGGTGTAGTAATGCATTAAGGACAAACATACATTCATTTTTATAGATATAGATAATATTTGTCAATAAATACTAGAAAAATAGTATTAGTTGTGCTTTAAACATAATAATTGTTTATGTGAAAAAAAAGTGTAGAAAAATCTTAGAATTCACCCATTATCAGGGCACAATGAAAAAATATTAACTTTTTTAGGTACATTTTTGTAAAAGGATTATAGTACAAACATTTCATGGTGATTGATACTCACAAGTTGCTCATGACAAATTAAATTAACAAGAAGATATAGCTTCCACTTTCCTTTTTTTTTTTTAAACTTGCTTGATCTTAAGCCATGAAACTGACATTTTTTTTAAAGATCATTTCAATAGCTAATTTTTGTATTACTTTATTTGGGATAAAAGAAAGAATTCAATAGATATTGAAAAATTTAAAATCATTAAAACCAGAATTTAAAATAGTCCAACAGAATTTAAAAAAAAAATTTAATTAAATTTTAGATGTTTTTTCATTTAATAACATGTTTCTTGAGTAAGTGATATTGTACTAATATTATATAACAAATATTTTGTTTAGTAAGAAGTAACTAATTCAACAGAAATAAATTAATTACTTCCTTGAAAAAACGAATCACATTAAATCTAAGACTAAAATTGTTACATTCACTGTTAAGACGACATTCCAAATTAAAAGAAAGACAAAAACTAAGTAATTACACATATCTTTTAAAACCTCTTTGGACTTACGGACTACAAATATACAGAATTGCAAAACCAACTCACATAAAAAACTTCAAACTTTTCAGTCTCAGATACTACGACTAATCACTCAAGCACCATGGTACGTAAACAATCACACTTTACACACTGACCTACACGTTCCGACAGTCAATGAACACATACGAACCTACTACAAACGATTTCATAACATGTTAAACGGGCACTCCAACCAGCTGGTAAAAGAAATGGCCACAACTAGTATGCCCGAGAACTCCAGAAGAAGACTGAAAAGAGTCTGGATGAGGGATCTGCTTAAATAATGTTAGTAAATAAAAGCCATGGAAGAGATACCGCTGAGTATTGCTATTCCTCATGCCTATCGAGCCTTTTTATTTATTTATTTTTCTTTTATTTATTTTTTCTCTCATTACTACGCCAGCAGATCTGCTGATTGTCAATAATAATTGACAGGTGCGGATAAATATATGTAAGTACAAAAAAAAAAAAAAAATTACTTCCTTAATACTATGAATAACCAAAAAGCAAAGAAGTTTATGTTTTATACCTAGGAATGCTGATATGGAATGAAGTTCAGCTCCTCCATAGCGAAATATTTCATGAACATAATCATCTTTGGAAAGAGATCCACAACCCCATTCATTTAGTAACTTAGAAATACAAGCCTAGAAATATAATGAAAGAATTCAGAGAATAATTTTGCAAATTCAGATCAAATAATATAGCAGACTACCTGGTTTATTACCTTTAACTTAACAATATCATGTTCATCACCAAATTCTCCTGGCTGATGATTGTAGTCAGATATAAATCGATCTAATCCTCTTAACATGACATAATATACCATCAGGCTATCTGGATCTTCTACACCCTGAGCTAAAATGATAAATTTTAATCATCTGTAATATTAAATATACATGTGGCTTGATAATTAAGAAGCCAATACCAAGTTTTGACAAGAAACATTAGAAATTTACAAATTTCTACTTTCTCATTTAATAGTTAATAGGTAGAGTACAAAATATTAATGTTATCATACTATATTATAATATCCAATGTTGCCCTCAGGTTGTGGGGAGAAATATCTTCTCTTTTTTCCAGGCTTGGGACCAGCAACTGCAGTGTCCAAACACTACAGCAAGCGGAGATGGAATATCACCTTAAATGCTCTTCTCTGTCTTATATACCTAATCTGGAGGGAAAAAAGGATACCAGAAGATTGGAAAATTCCAATCATTGTCTCGATTTCCAAAAAAGATAATAACAGAAAGTGCGAAAACCACAGAGAAATCTCTTTACCAATAGTCCGAGAGCCCATGTAAAAAATTATATGGTATTATCTGATGAAAATTTTAGAGCATTTTTGAATATTCATAATATTTATATTAAAAAAATAAGAGTCTTCTAGTCAGATCATGGTATCTGAAAAAATGGCCAGTTCGAAACCAGCCAGGGCTGGTTGAAATTTATTTCGTGGCATACCCACGGAATGAATCTCGACCTTCCCACTGTGGTAAGAATAGGTTTGATTGTAACTTTAGAACTCCTCCCTCCTTTCTCCCACTCTCGAAGACCTGCTGTCCAATACGGACAATACGGACATGGTCATCTCTACGACCTCCACCCACAGAGTTCATGTGCAAGGAATTAGTTTTTGATTCTTTTATAACGAGTTCAATTCTTGCATTCTCTCTCTGCAGGTCGAGAAAGGCGTCCCTCATCGATTCAAAGGTTCTCCAATAGCATCGACATCATCTGCATAGTCCAGGATAATAATCGATTTGTTGAACACAGTTCCACGGAACTGGATCTTGGATCCTCGCACTGCACACTCTAGACCAAAGTTAAAAAGGAGGCATTATAGGCAGTCCCTTTCTGAGTCCCTTGTTAGTGCAAAACCCTCAGACGTACCTCCCTGGACTCGCACACAGAACCTCACTTCCTTCATTGTCACGCGGGCCAGTCGTACAAGTTTTGGTGGGATTCCCAATTCTAGCATTCCCCTGTACAGCTCTTTTCTTGATACACTGTCGTAAGTCGCCTTTGTCGAAGTCCAGAAATAAGTGGTGGGTACTGATCTGGAATTCTCTGCCCTCTCCAGTACGATTCTGAGAGAGAATATCTGATCGGTCCTAGATTTTTATAGATCCTATTTATAAAAGGTAAAAAAATTAAATAAAAATATGCATAACTCTAGCAATCTTAATAAAATAAGGTTATAAGGCCAATATATAGGTCTTTGCTTATATTTATATTTATGTTGATCTCTTGACGATTGATTGACACATTTAATAACATTAAAAATAATATTGGACCAAAAAAAAAATTGATCAATTTTTAATAATCTCGACTAAATAAGATCATAAGGACGATATATCGGTCTTTACTCAAAATTATGATTATGCAGACCCGTTGACGATTTATTTCCATATTTATTAGTAATAAAAATAATATTCAAAGTGAAATTCTTAGACTATCGGTTAAATACGGTCGTAAGCCTGGTTCATTGGTTCAAGAGGATGACAGAAAAATTTGTAGTGGTGGACAAAAGAAAATAAATAAATTAAAAAAAATAAATCAAACTTTACTAATTTTGATAAAATAAGGTTGTGAGGTCGATATATTGGTCATAGGAATATCGGAATCAGCTCAAATCAGGATAAAGGGAGGATCAGAAAAAAAAATTAAATAAATTTGTTTCAAAGTGTACCAATCTCAATAAAATTAGGTCATAAGGCCAATGTATCGGTTTTTGCTTAAATCTATTTCAACGTTGATCCGTTTACGAACGGTTGACATATTTATTAGCAATAAAAATAAAATTCAATATGAAAGAGGACAATATATCGGTAAAGTAAGTCTTTGGAATGTCTGCTTAACTTATGGAGGAGTAGGACCAAACAAATACATAAACAAAATGATGAAATTCTAATAATCTCGATTAAATAAGGTCATAAGGCCAATATATCGGTACCTTCAGATAATCAGGGGAGATGATCAGAAAAAAAAAAGGCGTTTAATATTGGCCGATGCCGATAATCGGCCAATATTAATATCGGTATCGGTCAATCTCTAGTTTTTATGCTCTCCTGTAAAAAACAAATTGACACATGACCTCCTTTTCCACTAACAGTAGCAATATGCACATTCAGTATGTAATGGATTTTTTTTCTTAAATTAAGAATCGTCAAATATGCAATCTACAATTGCGGAACTCTTTCCCATTTTAGTATTTGCTGATAAACAAAAGTTGTAGATATCAAGGTCGCATGCAGTGAGAGATTACTGAATTTCCGAAAACAGCTTCTTCCAGAGATTTTATTTGCATACGAAAAATTTTAGATCTTGTAATATAGATGTTTTTAACCAATGAAAATGGTGAGGAAACTATACTGACCTTACTTGGCAGACTTTTTTTATTTATTGCCCACCTCTGTTATTCACTATTGGTTGAACAATATCAAATATATGCTAGTTAGAGTAAATTATTAGTAGGCTCTACTAAATGAGGTAAAAAAAAATGAGAATACAGAAGAATGAAAAATAGAAAGAAAAGGAGAGAAATAAGAATTGCATATGTTATAAGTTTTGAACATTAACTACAATTTCTAAAAATATTTGAATTACATTTCCAATTAATACAATTAAGGCAGTTTTATGAAAAACTTAATAACATTTAAAACGCTACCAATCACTTTTGTTTAGATACTTACAAATCATGGACACATTGACTAATTTTGGATCATATTCATCAGCAATCTTTGTGCCACGAAATACAGCTAAATTAGAGGAATGTTTACAAAATAGTTTGGTATCACCTTCAGTGATTAATTCAGTATTTTGACCTAACTGATGGAGTAACTGTTGTGTTCTCCTGTGAACTATATCTGCACATCTCAAACTTTCTTGTAAGTATCTGAAAATAAACAGAATAACAACTTTTTAATTTTAATATATATATATATATATATATATATAAATTAGTTTTGCATTAATAAAGATAGAAAAAAGTTGTGATATTGCATCGAGGCTCTTCTAGAAGCAACATTGAAAGAAAACTTTTTTTTTTGTAATTTAAAAGATTATTAATTATTATAATAAATTAATTCATAAAAACATAATTAAAATGTAACAAATTAAGTTAATTTAGAAATAAGCGCAATTATTATTTAGATGGTTGGTGGAAGTCACACAATTGTTTATGTATCCTACCAGCAAGTCATTGTTTACTCCAGGCAATGCTGCATCTGCCCTTGCCCAGTGCACATCACTGACAGTACTCCATATCTGCACAATGCATATCACTGGCCACGAGTTTGGTTCATTACTCTTTTCTCAACATTTGAACTACATTTCATATTCATAATAAAAAAAACCTGTACCATTACAACCCATGAAGGGTCTTGGGTTCAGCACTATTAAGGGAAAACACTGTCTCTTGGTATACAGTTGTGCAAGAAGGTGATTTGACAGAGATCATACTAAACCGCCAGGTTTATCCCCTTAATTGATTATTTGAATTGAGAGTAACCACTTTATAGATGCTGGGTGTGCCCCAGGAGGATCTCCCTATCCCAGGGTTGCCTCACGGCCAATGAAACAGAATAAATAATTTTTCTGCCATGAGCCGGGATTTGAACCAGAGACCTTTAGCATTGGAAGCTCAGTACCCAACCACTGAGCAACCCCACTCCCTAAACATAAGTTTTTTAGTAAGTTATTTTAATTCTGTCACTCATTTATATCATGATGATCACAGCTGATGTTGCTAATTAGAAAGTATGATAAACACAAAACAGCCTTTGAGAAAAGAAATTCAATTAATTAATCTTGGACCAATCAGTACATTATAGATTCAAATTTATTTAACTAATCTTTTATTATTAATTTTTATTAAATAATTCCAGATAATTATCATCAATAATTATCCTGTGCCATCCCGAATAAATTTCATCCCCCAAAAAATAACATTTCAATTGCATTGAGAAGAAAACAGTTGTTTTTCTTCAAATTGCGGTTTCTGTCCAGAAAATTAAACATTAGAATTTCAAAACTATTATATTTCCTTCTATTCTTCAAGACTATGGAAAATGGCCTATTTCTTGATTTGACTTTCTTGATAACAACATATGAATAAAATGTTTTCTTGTTATAACCTATACTTCAAATAAAATAGAGATAAGATGTATAGATATCTAATTTGAGAGTTCTCACATTGGTATACTAATCTATTTATAAAACTGATTAAAGAAGTAATATTATAACGTGAGCAGTAAGATTAATAAATAAAAAATAATTTGTGAATTACATTTGTTGTAGAGCGATATATCTATTTGTATCAGCAGTCATATCAGGTAGAGTTCCTCTCACAGGAAGACAACCTTCACCTTCATTCTCAACAAAATCTCTAACTGCTTTAGTCAAGATCCAGAAAGGTTTACTCTAAAAAAATAAAATAAAATAAAATTTACATCAATATATACCTCAATCTAAATCAATATACCTCTATCTAAAAAAATAACTCATTCAAATAAGAATGGTCAACAAAACACTTTTTATTTATAAATATGCCCTGGGGGAAGGGGAAAATAAAAATATATGGTTCCAAGAGATTAAATGATCACTGCCTAATAAGATAAAAAGGTGATCTTTTGAGCTCTATAATAATGACAAGGTTGTTGCTGCCAAAAAGTAAAGCCTCGGATGGGCCATGCAGAGAGGATGGAGGACTATATGGAATAGGTCGTCAAACAAATTTCTCTATAGCTACCAAGGAGGGGAAGATGCAGAGGATCGATGATGTAGAAAAAGACTCAGCAGCATAGATAAAAGAAGATGGAGAAGAATAGCTGGTGAAAAGAAAGCTTGGCTGAAATATGTTTCTGAGATTCAGGTCTGTTAATAACTGTTGAGCAAATAAATAAATGATAAATTTATCTTTACAGTTAAAAGGTTCATTTCAAAAACTCATAAATTCCGAGATGGATGATGGAGTAATGATTGACTTTTCTAGCTATATATATTCAGGATTCAGATGATTTGTTGGTGAGTCAGATAGATATCTTTTTGCAATTATTATATTTTATCACCATTATGTGTGTTCAGGGACCAACTCCTGAAACATTAAAAAAAAAAACATTTATCAAAGGTTCTGGACTTCACCACCACTTTATTGGTCTCCATTTTGAAGTCAAATTTCCTGCACAATTAAACCTAGGCTGCAAGAAAGTGAGCCCACTCATTTATTTTGTGACCAGACATTAATAAATGAACCTTGATTTTCAGTGAAATAGCCTGATGGATGTGGAAGAAGAGGAGGCCAAGAAATCAAGATCGTTTTTTTAAACACCAAGTGAGTCACCATTCAGCATGATACAATTTTTTGTCTGAAGCAAAATTACTTCATACAAACTTGTAATTTTTTTCTTTCATCAGAAATATTTCCTACATTTCTAGAATTATCAAAATTATATTAAGTGCACAAATTTTATTTTTTGTTTGTATCCATTATATTCAATATAATCATTTGTTGTTCCACAAATATTTAATTTCAGTGATCTAAATCCCATACAGTCCACACCAATTGATACATGCACCAACCCAATATTATACACTCAGAGGTCAATGGGTAATATTTGGCACATATCAAATTACAATGATTTCACAAAGTGTTTAAACTAGAACAATAAAGACAATTTATCATAAGGATCACCAACAGGTTCTAGAGGGACTGTTAAGAAATACCCTTCAAAATAAAGCTATCACTTACCAGCTGAATACTGGTACAATATGCACACAATGCCCTCCACAATCCTTACTAATAAAGTAATTTTAATTAGAGGACAGCATTTAATGGTTAATCAAAATAATATTTTGTTTTGTCGATAAAGATGTTCAAACTCAAAATTATAGGACTATATGCCTCTTCCCAGTAGTCAATAAGATTTCGCTCTCTATTAAAGAAAGAAAACTCAGATCAATAGTTGAAGACAAACTGGAGAAGCAGGCAGCATTTTAACCTCACCATCAGGCACAGGACCACATCTTCTCGCTAAGGACAATTATTGAGAATTCATGGAACAGAGTGAAGAGCTTGGAGTTGGTGTTCCTAGCTGTAAAAGGCAGCTTTTGACTCCATCCTCAGGTAAGTAATATGGACAGCTTTAGCCACTAAAAATGTCCCCACTTAATTAATAATTGTCATAAAATCTACATACTACAACTCTAAATGCATAATCAGAATAAATGAAGGAGAGTTTGAGCCCATTGACACGAAAAAGAGAGACAGACAGAGCAACATTCTTAGTCTTCTCCTTTTTGTAATATTTATGGTAGACATTTTAAATTCCTGACTGTTAAAATAATTTTTGAAAAAAAAAAAAATGAAAATGTTTCATCCTCAAAGAAGACCTAGCGACTATGGAAGGACCAGTTCTCTAGAGAGGCCATAATTCCAAGGAATCTCGGTATCAGGATGCTTGGCAGAATTAAATCGGTACACCACCCCACTGAGAGGCATATAGGAGGATGATGAAGAAAAAGGAAACAAAGACCTGTTTTAATGAATATAAGTATTGTGTTACAAAATACATAATATTAGGGACCGGAGCGGTCAAGCACGCTAATGCTTTGTGCAAAAAACATGTTTTCTTGTCAACCTGATGATAAATCAAAGATTATGAGTTCAAATCCTGGTGCCGATAGGACTTTTATATTGTCATAATTCCTCCTTTCTTTGCCCCGGCCCGGGAAAAACCCTTTATAGCCTAACAGGCGAGGAGGAAGGGGAGACAAAAAAATAATGAACCTCCTAAAAACAGAGAAGATATGAAATATTTTATTTATAATACCTTAGAAGTGAGATTAATGCAACAATCATCCTCTAATATTTTTTTAATATCATTAGGGACTATTGTAGGCGTGACAGCAAAATTAACAGCTTTTATTGCTTCCTCAAAATTTTCTTCAGCTTCGGGTAACCCATCTTCATTAACTTTAATCCCTGAAAAATGATGTTTAATAACTTTAATAGAACATTCTGTACTATTCTAGCAAAATTTTAAGAAGACTGCACATTTTCTTATAAAACATATTACATTTTTTGTTATTATCATATGAAACAAACTAGAGCAGCATAGTAATTAATTAATTAATCAATTAGTTAGCAAGAATGATTAATAACATCACACAATTTTTACTTACTACTTTACTTTTAGAAGAAATTATTTTCTGGCAACTTTGGGCTATAATTTTTATAAATAATTTTTTTTAAGTCCATTTTTAATGGAGCTTAAACATAAACAACACATTAAGATCATCAAAACACAAACCATATTTCCTTTTGTTGACGGTAGGCAATTGAAACCTCCTAACCCCATCAGTATATTTGAACCACATAACTCCAGTCTCTGAGCTCTATATACTAAGAGAGATTTGAAAGAACGTAAATATATATTTAATATATTAATAAATAAGGAATGTAATACATAGAAAAATTGTAGAAACTAAATCGTCTGATCCCTACCCTATCTACTATAGGAACTAATCTGTATCACTTCATACATGTTCTAAATTTATTTTTTCTCTTGTACAATTTACTAAAATGGAGTTAGAGGTTTTCATTACTTACCATCAATAGCTCCAAAGTAGCCACAATAAGAATAAAATGTTATAATTCCAACAAAGCAAAATTCATCAAATTATTTGATTATTATTATTATTCACTGATTTAGTTTTCTAAAATGTCAATTAATTATTTTTCATAATAAACCAACAATATAGATCTAAACTTTTTAATATACTATTGTATCTAAAGTTATTTAACTACATTATTTTTTTTTAGGTTACAAGCATTTTTTTTACTCATCCAAAACTCTGCATGAAATATTTTTATATTCCACTTTTCTTACAAAAGAACAATAAAACAGTTTTTTTAAAAATAATGTCATTGCCTAGATTCAGAAGATCATACATACTTTTTTTGACAAGCATAAAATAAGTTGTAATCAGTTAAGGAAAGTAAACAAAAGAGTAATGTTATTTGTTGTACTGTCTCATTGTTAGATTTGTGTTCTTCAGTGAAAATATGGCTAGTAGAGCAATGAACCAACAGATTTATAGAGGAATTTAAAATGTACAAATATGTCTAACATTATAGATCAACAACCAGCAAAGATTTTGAATGGAGGATTGTGCTGATACATTGAAAATAAATAATCTCATTAAGGAACAATTCCTCTTTGCAGGACAATTTGATAGAGTATACAAAACCAATGCTTTTGAAAGTTCTCTTATAGGAATGCTCTAGATAGGGTACGCGGATAAAGAAAATAACAAAAAAATGGTTTTTGAACCATCTCGATAAAGAACAGCTTTATGTTGTCTATTTCCCAAGAATGCATTAGTTTAAACAATTTAAACTAAGTGTTTCTTGTCCTTCCCCATTTTCAAATTTAAAAGGGATTTGTATTTATAAGATCGGGTCATTGTAATTTGATTACCTCTCAACAGATAAAAATATGTCAATTGACGAAACATTAAATTATGCTACAGTAAGCACAAAACAAGTTATTAACAACATAATATAACATAAAATAAGAATTGACACAAGAATGACCATGTCTAAATTTTTTTATAACTATTTTCAGAAAACATAAGCAGGTGAATAATAAGAATATTAAATAAAGATACAAAATTCCTAAACTAATTTTAATGAGACTCCAATAACAAAGAATAGAAATAACTACCTCTTCTAATCAATTGCCGCAATTCTTCTTTTTCTTTAAAATTTGATGGAAGAGCCAAATTATGGTATTGTCTCCACTCATTTAATGCTTTCAAGAGGGGTACAACATATGGAATATGTGCATGGTCTTTAAGTTCCATTTTGTCCATATCAAAAGAGTCAACATACTGTGATAATGAAGGAAATGGCTTATCTAGTCTCAAATCTGGATTTTGTGAATCTGGGTGAGATTCGATAACAACGTGTTCTTGGAATTGAATACGTAAATAACCAATAAAACCAATGCTTTTTGCTACTATCAATGGTATTCCAAGATCCCAAAGAAGTTCTGACAAAGGTAAAAGTGCCCTAAAATCGTTGTAAAAACAGAAACAGAAAAACTTAGTTAAAATAACATAAGTAAGAAGAATTATTCTTTTAAATTACATAAATAATAACAAATTTGCCGTACCTCTCATTTAGAGACGTGGCAATGACAACTGAGAAATTAGAAAAGAAATTGGGGTTATTTTTGAGAAGCTGCTCAATAGATTCATCAACATAATCTCCTTTGACATCCGTATTCAATTCTAATAAAAGCTGAGTTGCGACAAGTGCCCTTTGTTTACCTATACTATCTATGTCTAAAAAAAAACTATAAAATACATTATATTAGCACAAAATCATAAAAACTAAAATTAAATATTGACAACTATTATAAAATCTTCACTTTATCCCAAGATCCTCTTCAGTAACTTTTTCCCCATCTACAATTGTAAATCCTCCAATGCCTGGTAGGACAAGAGATTTCAATATTTCAGTTCCTAAACCAGTAGCATTGATCAAACAAACTTGACAGTTTTCCAAAGCTGTTTGTCCATGATCTCCCCATAACCTGCAACAATTATTTTATAAATAAAAGCAGAACCTGATTTGATTTCAATACGGAATATGAGCTGCTTAGAAACCTCAATTGTCTGTCATATTTCTTAGACTTGTCAGATTGCTCAGGAGATTTTGGAGCCGGTGAAGCCATTTATCACGCCTTTGATATCTTCTGATCATGAACGATTGTTATGGATGGTAGGTATCCATTTAAACCATAGAGGTCCAATCGGTCGCTCATGAAGGAACGAGGATTACATTATTTTTTTAATCTCGTAATTCATTTGACAGTGACGAAAAAGAGTTAGATTTTCTATTTCGCATTCTTTATTTTATTGAGAAATGTATTCATTTGTATCATAGAAAGGCATGTCTAATATTTATAAATCCAGAATAATACTTATCCATTGAATTTCTTTTTCTTATTTTGCCACCTCTTTAGTACCATCAGCCTGTAGGAACAGCCTCGGCCCATCTCGTCCACTGATCCCTGTCACTGCCCCTCCTGCTCATATTCACCATGGTGCTACCTCTGGCTCGCCCGAGTCTCTCCTTGTAGTCAAAATACAACAGCCTGGGCCTGCCTCTAGGTCACCTTCCCTCTGGTTTTGCTTCTAGGAACCATTTTGCCATCCATTTTCATCCATTCGGTACACATGGCCAAACCACTTCAGTTGGCGCTCCTTCATGACTTGTTTTACAAGCCTTATATTCAATTCCTCTCTTATCCTTTCGTTTATTCAGTGGCCTCTTCGTGTTTTCCCAAACTCTCCTGAAGTATATCATTTCTATGGTCGTTACTTTACTTGTATTATATTCTTCCTTTCACAATATGTTATGTTACAATGTTTTATGTTATGTTAATTATCACTCGTTGTGTTTTTACGTAATATAAATTCTCGAACCTTTGTATTTACACTTGTAAAAGTGAATACGGCAATATTCACATTTATTAAAATGAATACGCTTAAATTTACAGAAGTGAATGCAAATATTTTCACACAACCTTATTAATGAATACTCTTATTTATTTAAAAATATAAATATTTATTAAATCCATGTGTGCTTATTATGAAAGTGGAATAAATGTGGTGAAATAAAATCACAGCCTTATTTCATATTACATATAGTTATTAAATTACTTATTTAAAAAAAAATACGATATATCACATTTTATTTTTATATATAGTATTATCTTCTTCGAGCATCGCCACCCTCCCTTCCCCAATAAAATTTAGTGGAGGTTAGAACATTGTAATTTCTTAATGAGCTGGTACTGTCTTGATAAAAACTTGAAAATCAAAATCCGGCTCATCCAAAATCCTGCTAAATAAACAGACTCAGTTTTGCTATCAACTTCATATATTGTTTTATATGTAATACTTAACACATTATCACATATAATCATACATTACACTTTATTACACACTGAATGGCAGATCCGGAAAGGTAACTATCCAAATTTGACAGACTTTGCCTCCTTGCTTCAGCATAAGGTTGTCGTGCACACGTATTCCCCCTAGGAATTTCCAGGGTATCGTTCCGACTGTTGTACCTAACCTGACCGTCCATCAAACTTATCTTTATTGCCATTAGCAACCCGTAAGTAAACAGTGTACCGAAAAGTCTGTACGTCTATGATCATAGACGCAGACTTTCTATTCTGGTACGGGAGAGGGTGGGGATAACAAAAATTCATAACAAAAAAAAAAAAAAAAAAAGGCTTTGGAGTTTATATTATGCACAAACATTACGAGTGATAATTAACTTAACATAACATATTGTAAAACGAAGAATATAATACTATATATAAAAAATAAAATGGTATATACGGTAAATACATTTTTTTAATAAATAAGAGTATTAGTTAATAAGGTTGTGTGAAAATATTTGCATTCACTTCTGTAAATTTAAGCTTATTCATTTTAATAAACGTGAATGCTGCCGTATTCACTTTTACAGGTGTAAATACAGCCGTATTCACTTTCACAATCCTGAATACGGCCGTATTTATATTTACAGCTGTGAGTACGTATCGTCTGTATTCATATTTCTTTTTATGAATATAAATATATTCATATTTATAGTCGTTATTGCCATAAATATAAATGGTATTCGTATTTATATTTTTGAATATAAATATGCCCATCTCTTGTCTTCAACATCTTGGCCGACGAGCACACAACCTTACTTTTTGTAGGGTTTATTTTCATTCCCTTCCTCTGGAGTTCTTCTGACCATCCATTGACAGCCATCTGTAGGCTTTCTGGGGTGTCGGCAATGAGGACCACGTCATCTGCATATAGCAGAGCTTGTGCCTGCACAGAAATTAAATTTCAGTACCTCACTGTTGCTCTGGGTGCCCTTCGCTTGCAAACCTTCTATACTTCATCCATGTATATGATGAATAATAGTGGGCTTAGGCTTTCACCTTGCTTGACGCCTTTATAATATCTAAATGGCTACGATTCAGATCCGTTAAGCCGCATTATTCCCTTGTGATCCTGGTATACCGATATGATAACGCTCATGACATTGGATGGCATCCGTTTTTCCTGTAGAGCATTCCAGATCTCTTGGCAAAGAATCGAATGAAATGCAGCCTTCAAGTCCAGGAATGCCAAAAACAGCCATCATCCTCTATCCCATGCTTTCTCAACAACCATTCTTAATGAGAAAATGTGATCCTGGGGTTGTTTCCCCAGTCTAAAACCAGCTCCTCTTCCAAATCATGCTGATGAAAGTTTGGCATTCTTCCTTTGTTGTGAATCCGTTCCTATAATTACGGACTTATTTATAAACATTCATTTTTATCAGTGATTTATAGTGTATTAATTCTCCTTTTAATAATTTTTTTAAATTTTAAATTAGTTTATAATTTTGTCAATTAAATATTATTTTTTAGTGTTCAGTATTAATTAACAGAAAGTGAGCTAGGGGCCCCACTCTATATCACTCACTTTCTTATAGGCGACTGGTTCCTGGGCTCATAGGCAACATTAACAGTCTGTCGGCTACATCTGACCTCATATTCGTCTTTAGCAGTCCATCGGCTACACGCATTCGGACTGTAGGAGACAGCATCGATGAGCTAGAGGATAGCAGCTTCACCCGGAAGATAAGCCATTCTTTCTAAAGGCATGACACCAGCCATCTCTTATTCTTGTATGTAATAATTATTTCCATTTGACAAATTCCACTAAAGTCGATTGCTCCTTCATGAATACTGATTGAAACAGTGAGCGGAATTAGCTGAACGATTTACCAACAATATTCTAGAACCTTTGTATATTATATTTAAGCAAGAAAAGGGCTATTATATATCTTTAATAGAACGTTCTAATGCCACATTAAATAGAACATATGAAAGGGAATCGCCTTGTTTTAAGCTCAAACGAACCTCAAATTTTTCGGATAAATAATAATCGATTATAACTTTATTGAATGTTTCAGACATTGACAAATTTTATATATTTGTGTATTCTTTAATTTGAGTTCTCTGTTAAATAATATTATTTAGAACCTATACTGTTGAAATATTGAAATCACACCTACCTTGATTATCAATTTCCAGCCATTGGAAGATAACCGATTTCGAGTGGAGTAAGTGAACTACATTGAAAATGTTGGTACTCAGTGGACGTGGAATTCTACAGGTCAGAAAACTCAGCTGTAGAACGTTTATTTTATGAGTTTTTCCTCTTAAGGAACTCATTTCCAAGTGGCTGAACCATTTATAGTAATTTATCTCGGTTTTGAGAAATTTGGTAAAAATTAGCATTCGTTTTATACCATACCACTTAACCAAACTATTAAATTTAGGTACTCACTCATTCGATGCACTATTTAATGTTCTTTAATTCCTATTAAAAAAAGTATGTTTTTCGCTTCGATGCAGCGTCCAGAAGTTATTGATGACAAAACATATAAAGATCGAAAAAAATCTGGATTTTTTGGTTGCAAAAAGTTTTCCTTTGGTTGCTTGCGTTAGAATTTTTTTTTTCTTTAAATGCTTGAATCCATATACAAGGTAAAAAAAAAAAAAATCTTAAATTTATCACAATATAGTTTCAGTTTCGATCCTGAAGTTAATGGCCTAATATTCTTTAAATCAGCCGCCATTTTTTAAAGCAGTGGTTTCGGAATCGCCTACGATGGGTTAATTTTTGGATCCTGGCTATAGTTCAAAGTTGTTTTCCTCTTGAACGGAGCCAAAAATTTTAAATAATTTGTTTCAGTTACTAGCATCCTTGACTCATCAGCTCTGATAAAGATTCTGACTCACTTGCAAGAACTGGGCGCACTGTTTGGCCATACCTCCTGTAGATTTCGATTTTGTATTATGGAAGGAGGGTCCAAATTCAATTTCATAAAATTGAAATTTTTTATGGCGTGGCTTATGAAAGTCAAGGTTTCGCAACAGTCACAACAAAAACTTTGTTATTCGGCTATTTGTTTAGGTACCACACAACTTAACCGACCATCACCAATCCATTAAAATTTGTTAAATGTTTAATTTTCATTTATGATGAAGAGATTGTGGAATCGATTAATTAATCAAAAAGAGTTGTAGTCTCTCCACGTATTTACACTCTGCTGAGTTATTCGCTGGCAATAACCAAAATAAAATTGAACATTGAGTCACCTATATCGGTGTAAAATTAGAACTTGATCTGAATATTGTGGCGGGTTGGATGAAATTTTTCCCTGATTTATGGCTAATCCGTTTGGTTAACCTAAAAATGTATACAACATTTGTTAGGCTCGGGAAGTTGACGCGGATGACACATTGAACGGGAAGATCGGACAAATTTTAAAAATGAGTTTGTTTTATACGGTAACGCGTTACAGATATTCGGTATTCCGGATTTTTCCCGTTGAGTTGTGATAATTTTTTTCATCAGTTGAGTAATACAAATTTTAAATGTGGCTCACGATAGAGTAGGTTGGGATGGGAATCGAAGTATGCAATTGCCTAAATGGGATCTCTAGACAAATTACAAAAGAATTAATAACTTTGGTTCTACTCAATATTTGGTTTTCATTTAAATCCTACGTTTTAAGTCAAGTAAACCTTAATATAATGTCAAAAGTCTACAATAAGCCATTGCTGAGCATACTCCTGACAAAATTTTGTTGCAATGCGAACATACAGACAGAAAACATTTTTTTATAAGTGGATTTGGTGTCTGCAATTTATGAAACAGAAAGATATCATAAACCAGGTTGATTCTATTCAATGTACAGACAAAACCTTTATTTTATTTATATAGATATTCTATGTTAAATAATAGGTGTTTTGTGCAAAATAATTAATTATTTCATGCAGTATAAGCATTGCAGTTATAAGTATTTAACGTAAAATAATTTTTTTTAAAAATATTCCCGATAGATACCAATAAATTGATTAAAATCCATGTCTTGTAATTTGTACTGTATTCATTACATTGTTCAGAGATTTTATAATTTATTATATATTTCATAACGACATAGTATACTAAAATATAAATATATAAAGTTACATGTAAGTAATAATAAACAACATTTTTTAATTTATTTTTATTTTTTTAAATTTAGCTATTAAACTCGTGATATGTTTATAATTTGGTCAGTATAGATAAATAGTTGTTATTTAGTCAAAAACTCGATCGATAGTAACTGGAATACGCAAGTAAAAAAAAAAAAAATAAATAAAAAGTAACGGTTGTCACTCTAAATTGTTCCCACGTGTTAAATTCTCAATGGCCAGTTGGGGCAAGGTCTGAAAACTGTTTTTAGACGTTCAAACCTTTGTTAACAATAGGATCTATCTAGTTTTTCGAGCGATTTCGGGCGATTTGCGAAATGGACCAAAATTTCTAGCAATTGTTTGAAACGTCGTAAGAACTATGTTTATTAATAAAAACCGATATTTCACCTGCCTTAGGATGCACTAGAAGTACCTAATTCTGCTAGACATACCACTAAGTTTGAACAAAAAATACCGGCAAATCAGCTCTAAATATAAAAAAAGATGATTTTCATTCCTTCTCTTATTATCTCACATCAGGGCATTATTAATGCGCCAATTAAGTTAAAAATTATTGGACATGACGGAGAAAGGATGTTAGTTTGACACTAATGGAGTAAAACTTTTAAATTTTAACTTTTCTTTTTTCTCCCAATGTCCAATGCGCTCCTGTGTGCATCGTTTAGAAGTTATACGTGAAAAAACAAAAAAAGATGGAATAAATCTGGTTGATCAAAAAAAGATGGAATCAATCTAAAAATTTTAGGATTTTTTGTACAGTACATTTTAAATATAATTATGCTAAAGAATAGAAAAGCATTGTTAATATTGTTTTTTTATTATAGCATACTATTATATTAAAGCTAATAAGAATGATACTCATATTGTGCATATCGTAGTTCTTTAAGTGGAACTTCGAAAGAACAAAACATTTTGAATTTTTATTTTTGCCATAATTTAATGTACAATTAATTATTAATATTGTTTACTAATTAGGTAAAATTTAAAATTAATGAAATTTTAATTTTGAAACTTTCTTTTGCTCAGCTGAATTTAGGATTTTCTGTTACGTGGTTTCACATTGAGACTAAGGATATAATGCTTGAACGAAAATTATAAATCGAATATATGATTAATAATGCCTATAACCAGAGTTTTAAATCGATAATTATTTTTCCATAAAATTATGTAATAACTTCAACATTTGATTTTTTATTTAAAAATCATGCCTAACCTATGAATAAAAATTTAAATCTATCTTTGATGTTTAGTGATTAGATTAATGAGTGAAACGCTTTAACATGAATAATGATGATTAAATTATGATAAAAAATTTAGATCAGAAAATAAAAATAACCTTTTACAAACAAATAAAATAAAATATTAATATGTATGTATACGTTATTGATGTACTTATTTTTAAAATATTATGTTTCTGAAATAGTTTTAATTGTGCATACGGTACCTACAATATACACATATATATATATTTTATTTTATTTTTTGTAAGCCAAAATTTCTAATGAATTGCGAATTGCCGACAACAAGATTCTCCATCTATTATATTTTTGATTTTAAAAAGTATTACAAAAGATTTATTATTGTTGTGAATTGTAAAAATTTTGAAAATGATCAGGATATGATTTTTATCAATTATCATCAACAATAAAAATCACCAAATATTTTTTTAAAAATTGAATCTGATTCTTATTTTTTTTAATTATAGATTTAAAATCCTTCCTTATAACGAAAGGGAAATCAAAAGACAAACAATAGTACTATTAATTTATTTACAGCAATTATTCAAAAATATGACTAATGAGATTAAACTTACATTAATTAAGAGCCATTTTAACTCCTTGCTATTCATCCTCCAGATTTAATATAATAAAATATTTATTTACACATTTATTTATAGATTCTTGACTAAATTAAGATCGTCACAGTAATCAATCAGGATGTAATAAGATTCACTGATAAGGTGTTCGGATAGACTTCTCTACATTTACCGTGCACAAATCTAGATCCTGATGGGCATTGCCTCTTTGGTACAATAATGATGCTGGCCGACATAGTCACTGGGCGTTTGTACTGAGGTTCGATTTCTTTGGTAACAGCGTCTACTGGTGTTCCGAAAACAAATCCACGGAAGAGGTAAAGAAACCACATCGCGATTGCAGCGCAACCCACAAAGAGAACAAAATGGGCCAAACTTTCGACCGTGGAAGACATCTTTAGCGTGGAGCACTCAAAAAGTCTGTGCAACGACGGCTCCAAAGCTAGCTAGATATACGATGAAAATGACTCATTCAAGGGAAAGAAATGTAGAAACTTATCTTTATTACGAAAATATTATTAATTTAATTTTGATGATCTTCATTACAAAAGGCTGTATTTTAATTTGACCATATTGATTTAAAACAAGTCATTAAAAAAAAACAACAGAAATACTGTCATTGAAAAAAATATAATTACGAATATTTTTAATGCTTTCCATAGGTTAACTAATAAGTATTATATTTAAAATATATCGGCTTAACACAGATTTAAGTAATAAAGTTTAGAGTTTACGCTGCTATATTTATCTGTTCCCCTTCCACCAGTCACTTTTGTGTTAATTTGTTCACACCTAAAGGCTTCTTGCCCAACAGGCGGCCTAGCTTAGGATAACTGTATAACAATCAACGTACAATTGAACTGAGTCAATAATGATATCTCTAAAGCTTATAGATAGATATCATGCACTCAAGATATTTTTATTTAGCAATGTGATATCATCGGAAAACTATTTAAATATTTGAAGGGTATATCTACTGATAATTTGCCAAATAAAAACTAAAGAAATTAATGGGTACAAAGTAAAAAAACATAAATAAAGCGAACAGTTTTAACAACGTCTGTCATACAAGTAAGTATGATCTCCAAAGATAATCATTATTGAATATAAAAATATTAAAAGAAAAAACATGTTTCAGAAAACTACAAAAGAGTAAATAATAAAATAGTGAATAATTGAAGAGAAGAATGATTGGTGCGATCAATAAAAAAAAAAAGTAAAAATAAATTAGTATATTTATTTTAATTTTTTTTTACAGGTTTATCAATATCATATATCAATATATCAATCGATATCAAGAAAACTATCCATCACAAAGACAATGACGTTCTATACAAAATTAAAGATGATGAAATTTGCATCATCATTGACTATATACCTTTTTTTCTATCCCGCTTAGTTTTCGAGATACCCGCCCTGATCTATCGCTAATGTTGATAAAAAAATTAATTTGCCTCGTATTTATTGCTGTTTTTCGAGTTTTCGTTTATATCAGGAAAACTATACATCGCATCGACAAAGACCTTCTTGATTAATACCTTTTTTCGCTATCTCGCTTAGTTTTCGAGATATCCGTCCTTAGCTATCGCTAATGTGGAAATAATTGTTTTTACCCCATGTTTTTTACTGTATTTAACAAGCTAACATTTGATTGCTTCGTTTTACTATTAAGTCATGAGGAAGAAGAAAGAAGAATCACATTCACACTCTATGTACAATAAATAAAATAAATTATACAGAAAAATAATATTGTATGTAAATTAAAAAGAAATATTCTTGATTAAAATATTTTATTTAGAGCTTTTCAATTTGGTAGGACCGAGGCAATTTTTTCTCAGGTTTGAGATTAGGTTTGTATCGGCGATAGATTTCTGACATGACGACTATCCTCTTGTGAGAAGTCCATGTTTTCCCCTCCAAGTTTGAATAGCGATGGCCATACATATGGGACACCACAACAGGAATTGTCCTTTCTTCTTCCTTTAATCAAAAACAGTGAGTATGCCCTAAACTATGCCAAAGAAGTATTTGTATCCCTTATAATTAAATTATTACAATTTTCAAGAAACCTATAACCACATTTTTACTTTCACTCACCTGTATATGAAATATATAGTAAGGAAAAGTATGTCGATCGCGAAAATTTTCGAATCTGAATTTTCAACGGAAATACAGGTTTTGAGTTCCCCATAGCCGAAATAAATAAGTCCCGCAAAATGGTCTGTGTGCGTGTGAGTATGTCTGTGTTTTGTGTTTGCGTGTGTTAACAGTCTAGACATACGAAAAGTGAAAAGTCATACGAAAGTGAAATTGCGTATTTAAGGTTTTTATATGTTCGGGATGTTACAGCAACTTTTTTTGTCAAAGTCGGTTAACAGGAAGTGGTACTTTATATCATGAACTAAACACATTTTTACGATATTCTCGAAAACAGCACTAACGATTTTGATTAAATTCATTAAATCAGTATAAAATTAAGAAGTTTTAAATAAATGAAATGAAAAAATAATTTTATTCTGGGACAACTGTCCCCTAAGAATAATAACAGAGTTACAAATTTATGTATCTTAGTCTGACATAATAAAAATACCAACTAATTTATTGTTAATTGTTATTTCAAGTGTGCAATGGATTGAAATTAAACATTGTATAGATGCAAGTAATTTTACATGTTAGGGGAAGTTTGAATGTGGAGTAGGTGTTGGAACAGGAGTTGTTTGAAGGAATTTGTGGATAAGGATTGACGCATGGGGGTAGGAAGTGAGTTCCATAAGGAAGCAGCACGAATGACGAAGGATTTGCTGAAGGAGGAAGTTTTATGGGAGGGAATACATAAGTCTATAGGTTGAGACCTAGTATTGAGAGAGTGGATAGAGGAGCGCAGAGTAAGGAGTTCCAGGATGTAGGGAGGGTTTTTAGTTCTGAAGACTTGGAAAAGGAAAACGCCAAGAAGGAATTGTCGTCGGGAAGTAGGATAAAGCCACTTCAACTTGGTGTACCATAGTGAAACATGTGAACGTCTGGGGATCCTGAAAATATATCTTATGAAACAATTCATGAGTCTTTTTAGTGTCATTTCCAGCCGGGTAGATAGCCCTCCATACATCAAGCAGCCGTAGTCGAAGTGAGGGAATACAAGGGAGGTTACAAGGAGCTGTCCGGTTTTTAGAGGAATACAATCACGGAATCTTAGGAGTTGTTTAAGGTCAGTTATGGATTTTCGGGTAATCTGGGAGATATGATTATCCCAGGAGAGGTTCTGGTCAACGGTTACTCCTAGGTTTTTGACTGTAGGGAATGGTTATTGATGGGATGGTTATTGAGGTAAAGTAGAGGAAAGTAAGGAAGGGAGATGTCTGTTGAGATGTCTGGACCCGATGATAATAGCCTTGGTTTTATCTGCATTCATCTTTAATTCATTTATTTCTGCCCATCTGTTGATGCAGTCGATGTCCTATTGTAGCCTCCGGGCAGCCTCAGGCATCTCAGAAGGTTGGAATGATTGGTATATTTGGAAATCATCGGTATATCGGTAGGTGGTATTTGAACAATTGACCATTTCACACTAATCTCTAAAATAAAAGATAGTTAAATGTAAAATATGAAATAATTTGATAATTAACTAAAGGAGAAATAAGAGATCGTAACGGAGAATATTTGTAATTGAGGAACCAAAGGATTGAGCTCACCCGACATCACCCAAAAGATGAGAACACGCTTACATCCGTAACATGAGCTTAATATAAGAAGGACTCCGACAATATTATGTAAATATACATATGCGGTTTTCATAAATGCTATTGTTGGTATTATGAAATATTTAATTTTATAGATTATAGCAATATAAATATTAAAATTTGTATATATTAGGGTACTTCTACTAATAAAAGTACCCACAATGAAATATAAATCAATATAGCGTTTATAATTTGTCTGAAAATACTTATTTCTGCTAAGAAGAGATACCATATTAATTGGTATGAATTTAAAGTAGCGATAATCTGTATTCATCCTAAATATATATCGTATCTAAGTAATAGGCTAGTAAGTATCAATTTAAATCAGATAGTAGACTCAAACAGTTTTAGATAAGGTAATGTTTTTGATTTTATTAAATTAAATTAAAAGGAATAATGACATAAAGGATGCTTTATACCATTATATATTTTCTATGTAAGACTTGAGAATGGCTCTAGTTTAGCCGAAACTATGCGGCGTTGACCACGCGTCGTCGAATTATTAGAAAACAAAGCTGAGTGTAATGGCTATCTGATGCTTAAACACGAATGATATTTGTTTTTTCAAACTATAACAAGTCAAATTTATCAAAGATAGGGGGTTTTCACCACTCATATTTGTTATTTACAATGTTAAGCCTGGCTTAAGGTTCTTTGTCTGATTGTATATATTATATATATATATATATATATATATATATATATATATATATGGTTTTAATTTACTTATATTTAGGTTATTTTATTGCTTCCTCACTACCGAAGGTAGGGAAGCATTGTGTTCGTGCGAGAAATAAAAAAAAATTTTTTGCCCAGAATCGAAAATTTTCACTCGCGTTTTACGTTTCAGACATCAAGGATCAAATTTGGTTCGGTGTCTGTCTGTCTGTCTGTCTGTCTGTCTGTCTGTCAGTCTGTCTGTCTGTCTGTCTGTAGTCAAATCGATGTGACGGGCATATCACCTAGTACCGTTCATCCAATCTTCATGAAATTTTCAGGGATTATACTGATCGGTGCCTAGATGGTCCCATATCAATTTTATCAAATTCCACCCAGCACTTCCGCTTACGCACGCGCAAACGTATATTTTTAGATATGCCAATATTTCAGAAAGGGCTCGTTCGATTTGGCTCAAAGTTAGATAAAAGGTAGACTTTGGTGAAAAAATAATGTAGTGTCAATTTCATTGAATTGCGTCCAACACTTTCTCTTATATGTGCACTACTAGTCCGCCGTCCGCCGTCCGCGCATTTTTTCTGAAACTACTAGACCGATTTTTTTCGAATTTGGATATAAAATCAGAGGTCACACGAGGATCATCCTCCTTCAACGACATTACTATTCGCCTTCTAGTTTCAAAATGGCGGCCGAAAAACCTGCGTTGCTATAGACTGTAGCGCCTAAACGAATGAACCGATTTTGATGAAACTTCGCTAAAGTCATTTTCTCTACGCCCTCTAAATTTATCTATACTACATACTTCAACGAAAAGAAGCTCAAAAAAAGTTACGAGGGATGGTAAAATTAAATTCCGAATAACTCAAGAAGTATACACATTTATGTCAATATTGTATATAGTTTTTTAGAAGTTTACGGAATTTCTTAAAAAAAAAAAAAAAAAATCGTCAAAATCGGACAATTAGGAGCAAAGATATCGTCTCTAGTTTTTTTTAGATGTGCTATTGCAAAAGGTTTATCTTTTTTTTTTATTTCTGAATGTGTTACTGAAGTAATGCTATTTTTTTTATCATATTACTAATGATTAAAAAAGATTTTAGTCCAATAATTAGAATCACCTTTTATTTATTTTTCTTTATAACTAGGAATTTAATGTTACTTTATATGTATAATTGTTTGAAAATAATATACCAAAGAGAAATAATTTGCAGTGGTTTTTTTTCAAATTAATTATCGTTATATATATATATATATATATAATATATATTAATTATAATATAAATATTAAATCTTTCGTGCTGAAGCCCCTCCTCCAAAATTAAATCTTGATTCGGTAATGTATATACTATTATTAGAGCATAAGTTCGTATGTAATAATTTTCAACTTTAATTCTATGTGTATTAAAGGTGATATTTTGTAGTCTGCAACTGATATAAGTAGTCTGCTACTATGGAAAATAGCAGATGAAAATAAAATATGAAATTATTCTAATAAAGCATAAAGAAATATTGAGTTTTTATGCACTCTTGTAAAACAATAAATACATTTATACATAAGATCTTTTGAACTAACAGTATTGAAATTCATGTTCAGTGTGCATTTTTTTTTATTTATTTGTTTTTTTTTATTAAGCATAATCAAGTATGGAATATTCAAATACGACCCTCTGTTGTTGGATGTTGAAGGGTAACTGTAATCAGCTATTCCGATTCTGCTTCTCTCAGAGATTTTATTCTCATTCGAAAAATTGTATACCTTGTAATATACAACGGAAACGGTGAGGAAGCTATACTGACCTTACTTGGCAGACGTTTTTTTTATTGTACATAGTTTTCGATTATTATTTTACTTTTAATTTTATGTGTACTGTATATATGGTGTGAATGTGTTCATATCTCACTATAATTATTGTCAACGTGACAGATTATTATATTTCAAAAAAAAAAAAAAATAATAATAATAATTTTACAGTATGAAATCGGTTCTAAAATCCACTATATCCTCTTCAGTCAGCTTTGTCCTCAATCCAACTACCTTGGAAATTGAATAAATTTGGAAGAATAAATAAATAATAAAATAAAATAAATAAATGAATAATAAAAATAAAAACATAATTCAAACCTATATAATTTTTTTTTAAATATTAATGTCAGGATGAATGTTCTGGAATATTCGGCGAACGTAGTTTGACGCATCGCGGGCCGTATTTCGTACAATGAGTTACAAAAACAAAACTTGTCTGAACATTTTTTTATTTTTATTTATTTATTCAGTGATATAATATTCTGTCACACGGACATTAATTATTGTGAGTTAAGAATACATTCACACCATATATAGAGAAAATATAAAATAAACAGAAGCATGTATATACAATAAATAAAAATAAAATAACGATAAAGATAAGTAAATTTAAAAAACACAGACATACCTATATACAATATTTACAATCAGGCGATGGAACTCCAAGCCAGAAATTAGAGGGAAAAGCAGAACTTCAAAAGATCGCTGTGCTACTATCTTAACTGCGACACTGGTGCTAAAACCAGTTTAGGCCTCAATATTAAAAGAGATATAAAGAAATATACGATAAAACATAGAATGATGATAAAAATTAAATGAAATACAATTAGAACTTTTTAGAATAGAAAATTACGTCCCCATTACTTTAAATTATGACAGGATGTATTTTTATGAATATCTGGTTTAGCCAGATGAAGAAGACCTGACTTAATTTATCACGCAATAATAGTATATAATAACTAAATGTGTTGTCAAATAAATTACGAATAAAGGTCGGTAATTTTCGAAACCTCCACGCTGAGAGGAAGTAAGGAGGCTGATAAAGAAGAAGAATTATCAGAACTTGACAAAAGAAAATTGACCTACCTCCTTAATAATTTTATTTCTTATGTCTTTTATTTTGACTTTTGGATCGAAGTCATCATCAGGATGGAACAATCTGTCATAATCATTCCGGAGCATTACGTCAGGTTCACGATTAAAATAGGTGACACATTTTTTTTTCTTAAATTCCTGAAAGAAAATAATGAGATCCATAAATTTCATTGTAACACAATGACAGATTAATATAATGTCCGATGAAATTAATTGTTATTGAAATAAATAAATTAATGATTAATTAATTGTAAATGTATAGAAATAAATTTTCGATGAGGAATGCTTCATTGGAAATTACAAGATTTTATCTGCAGATGTATTAACAAAAACTTAAGCACCAGCATTGGGAAAAGGAAGGCATGACACTGACAAGTCCCACCCAATAACACTGGCAATGGATACATACATATTGATACATTGATATTGTATCTCATCTGAAAACAGCCTCATTTCATGGTTTTTGGTGTGAGAAATCCTAATTTTCACATGAAAATCATCAGTTAGCTCTAGTTTCAAAGATATAGTTACTTTTGTGCAATATGGGGAAATTTCCTGCTCCTGTATTGGTATTGATATACGTCTCTGAATCGCAGGAAATGCTGTCAATCACAGAACCATTTTGTCCTTTCACCCAGATGATCAAGACAGCATACCACAAGTATTTAGGGGTGAAGGTTGGTGACCAAGATAAACCTTGGGCCCCGCACATCTGCTGCATCACATGCAGAGTAACCTTAAGAGAATGGTTGAACACGAAAAGTTGTTCAATGCGTTTTGCTGTTCCCATGATTTGGAGGGAGCCTACTAATCACACTGACAACGGCCAATTTTTCATGACCCTTCCTCTTCATCATGGAATGTCTCCAAAAAAGAAATCTAAAGTGAAGTACCCTGACATTCCTTCTGCTATATGGCCATTACCACACGGGAACGAATTGCCTGTTCTTCCTGAACACTATGACTTAAATGAGGACGAGGATACCGAAGACGAAAATCCCATAGAACGAAAAGTCCACTTGCTTACTCAAGCTGAACACAGTGACTTGATTCGGGACCTGGATCTGCTCAAAGAGAAAGCAGAACTTTTGGGTTCAAGATTGAAGGAGTGAAATTTCTTACAACCTGGTGTAAAGATTAAAATGCACAGAAATCGTCAGAAAGACTTGATCCTCTTTTTCACAAACCGTGACAACCTGGTTGTCTGTTGTGACGTCCCAGGTCTGATGACAGCATTAAATCTCAATCACAACCATTCTGAATGGAGGTTGTTCATAGATTCATCAAAACTATCCCTCAAGGCAGGTCTGTTGCACAATGACAAATTACTTCCCTCTATCCCTATTTACCACGCTGTCTATATGAAGGAAACTTAGCAAAACATCTAAAATCCATCAAATACCAAGACTACCAATAGCAAATCTGTGGAGACCTGAAAGTGGTGCCAATTCTTCTAGGCATGCAACAACTAAGTACTGTTGTTTCTAATGTGAGTGGGACAGCCGCGACAAAACATCTCATTACATCAGCAAAAAATGGCCTCAAAGAGAAATCCTGACCTCTGGACAAAAAAATTTTCTCTGCCCTCTCCAATACGATATTTCACAATAATTTACTTAAGAAAACAAAAGAAAATTGAATATTATTTTTAATAATTATCAATATTAATATTTAATTAATAACAGAAAAACAAAATAAAACGCAGCAATTATTACACAATGGTTTATTATTGCAAAATATAAAATACTAGCTGCTGTACCCGTCGTTGACGGGTGTATATTTAAAATTTGAGTCTTTTTTTGAGATGGATTTTGTACTATAGGGGAGGAGGGAGGAGGGGAGGTCCAAATTCAATTTCATAAAATTAGGTCGGGAGGGGAAAGTGAAGTTGTTTTGAAATTTTTTATGGCGGGTTTATGGTATTTTAAGTCAATGTTTCGCAATAGTTCATAGTTCATTCTATTGCATGTACAGACAAAATCTTTATTTTATTTATATAGATGAGTGGTGTGTCTCACAACATCACTTACCACTTGTGAGAAAAATTTAATACGACAATTTCACCCTTAAGAGAGTCTATCAAGTAAGGTCAGTATAGCTTCCACGCCATTTTCATTGGCTAAAAAATATCTATATTAGGGTGAACGCACCAGTTATAAACAGGTTGGACTTTAAATGTAAATAATAAGATTCCATGTTGATTGCAAGGTTCAAGTTTTTTCTAGATTACAGAACAATGCGCTCTATCGATAACTGTACGAACAAAGTTCCCAAAAGAATATTTTAGAAGCCTATCATTGTTGTTTCTCTTTACACCAGTGTTTCACTCCTTCCTGCAAACAGTTTTGGTAAGAGTAAGTTGAACATCAATTTTATCTTATCTTTACAGTTAAATGAAGATTTTAGAATTTGTCTGAGGTATGTCTATTACTGGTACCGACCCCCTGTCCATTACTAGAACAATTGAATTTCGGGGTGCCCATCACTAAAGTAAAAAGGTGTTGACTGCTTAACCGAATATTTTTTAATTTTAAAGTGTTAAATAGAAAAAGGAGACTCTAGAGATTCTAAAATGTCCAACGGAGAAGTTTATAACTATAATGATTATGGCGGCATGAGCCAAAAAAGACAAAAATTTCCTTGGCTATGTCCATCACAGCTGCGCTTTACTTACAAGATCTAAAATTTTTAGTATCATAATAAAATATTTGAGAGAAGCCGCTTTCGAAAATTCAGTATCTCCTCAACATATTGCGGTTTGATATCCACGCGTTTTTCATCAGCTAATACTAAAATGTGAAAGAGTTCAGGATTTGCTGATTGCATATTTGATGAGTCGTGATTAAAAAAAATCCAGTGCATACTGAACAAGCATAACACTATTGTTAGTGTAAAAGGTCATATTTTTATTTATTTTATTTTATTTAAGCACTATCCTACCGATAAGGCAATACCGGTATTATACAGCAGTGACTAGCAACACATTCTGTTCGGTTTAGGGGTCAAATATATAACTAACTATTATAACTGATCCCTAGGTTCGAGCTAGAATAACTTGAGTACTATATTTTGAAATAAACTTGCTTTTATTTCACTAAAACTTTTAACAAAGATTTTTAGAATTTTACACTTTTTGACTTTTATAACAACAATAAATTATTCACATATGCCTATTTGAACAATATGTGAAAATTTTAAATATTTATAACATAAATATTACTTTTGATTCCCTAACATCCTCCCACCTGAGGAGTTTTAATTGTTTCATACAATTCAAAAGTAATAGGGAAACAACCGACGGAACTCTCTTCAATCTTTAAATCCTAGAATTCCTTTTTTCTTTTTCTTCTCTTTTTTGAATGCTTCTTTTTCTTAGAAATACCTTTTTTGGTCCATTCTGTTTCAGACGAAGATGACTCACTGTCTTCATTTATAGCAGATTTCTCTATGAAAATTGGTTTGGTTGGTAGTGAGGGACCATACATTAGTTCTGGAGCAGCCGTATCAGCACCTGATGAATTTTGAATATCATTTATGTTTTGTATTTTGATTCCATCAGTTTTATCATTCTTCTCTTTTCTTATCCTTTGAGGCAATTTCCTAGAGTGAATAATTTTCAAAGTATCGTTAGCTTCTATCTTTATAAAGCCAAGATATCTTTTATATCTCACTTGTTTAGCATGATCACCAATAAATGGTCTAAAACTTAACTCATCAGAACTTTTGTCTTCTTCAGTCTGTGTTTCTTCATTGAGATCAGTTTCGACTTCCTTTCGATGGTCAGGCAATGATTCTCCTAAAATTATAGCTCTTTCAGAGGAATTAACTAAATCTTCTCCTTTCACTGCCTGGACACTTTCAACAACTTCAGGACTAAATCCTAATTTTCTTTGAGGAATGTTTGGATCAAGGTTATGTTGTAGTTCACAAGGTGGATAATATTTCCTTCTGTAACTTTGGATTTTAGCTGGTATACGTCCTTCCATGCCATTGAAATTTTCAGTCACTACGAGCATTTCTTTTTCTTTTTGGCTTTCTTTCCTCCTAGTCTCCTTCAAACTAGCACACGCTTTCGAAGAAACCTCATCTCTGGAAGTATCATTTTTAACATAAATTTCGCCATCTTCATCCTCAATTGCCTTAATTGTCTTCATTAGCATCATCTTTAGCACATCTGTCTTCAGCTTCATCCTTGAATCTTCTAATGCTATCTTCCTTAGCATCAACTTTACCATACATGTCTTCATCTTCATCCTCAAAAGTTGTAATGCTATCTTCATTAGCATTATCTTTAGCACATATGTTTTCCTCTTCATCGTCCAATGCTCCAACACCAAAAACCTGGCCATGGATGGATGATGTCTTTTTATTTTCACAAGCTTTCAAAGGAGTTTTAAGCAAACCAAATCTTATTTTGTCAAAACCCAAATTAACACAATGATCATTATTTCTAATAGAAATTTTATCACCTTTAACGACGTTCTGGTACTTAATTTTAATAATTTCATACCTTTTCCTGATTCCATTGGCCTCTTCCAATTCTGACATTAGTTCTTCTTCGAATACATAATTTTCTATTGATAGATCAAATATTTCGTTTTCAAGTGATTCTAAAATCACTGACTTCTTCCTCAGAAACTCTGAATAAGCGGATATTTCTTCCAAATTAGGAATATCACAATTGAGCAACTGCTCTAATTCATTTGCGTACCTTGTAAACAAAGTGCGGCGAATCCGTCTCTGCGTCTTCTTATTTTGCATTTTGAATCCAGTAAAACTAAAAGATGGAGTACTCAACAGGTCCTATCACGGCCGCCACTTATGTTCGGTTTAGGGGTCAAATATATAACTAACTGTTATAACTGATCCCTAGGTTCGAGCTAGAATAACTTGAGTACTCTATTTTGAAATAAACTTGCTTTTATTTCACTAAAACTTTTAACAAAGATTTTTAGAACTTTACACTTTTTGACTTTTATAACAACAATAAATTATTCACATATGCCTATTTGAACAATATGTGAAAATTTTAAATATTTATAACATAAATATTACTTTTGTTTCCTAACACATGCGTTACAACTCACTGCTACATTCAGACCAATTACATTCTTTTTATTTTTTAGCTGTGCACACAGCCTGCTTTTATTTTCAGCCTACGTCCTCTTCCATCCTCGCTGGTGGTTTTCCGGATGCTGGTCCATCTCTTCTTTGCAATGAAAAATGGGTTGAACCAACGAGTTCCTTCCACAATTATACTTTGGATAACTATTGATTTGGAATATTGGTATCCAAATAACTGGTAAGCCTAGTAGTAAGGGTATTTCGCCTTAGTCATTAGTTGAGTCAGAACTTAAAGGCCCGTTTCCCTCTCATCGGGAATCATCGGCATAGAGGTCATGGGAGCAGTGAAGGATTGATTAATGGTCGTTGCTATAAGAACTACAAAGAAGAGGAGATATGCTAGAGCCCTGGGCCACTCCTGAGGACCGAGTAAGATAGGAAGACAAAGGTTGATTAGGGATAGCGACAGCTTGTGAGCGTTGAGAGAGGAAAGATTGAAACCACAGGATAGAACAATCGGAAAAGTATAATGATTTTAATTTGGAAAAGATAATGGGATCGTTAATAGTATCAAAGGCTTTGGAGAAGTCAAGGAGTACAAGAACAGTTAGTTTTTTGTAATCTATGGCGGACTGAACATCACTAATGATTTTGATTAGGGCGGATTCTGTGGAGTAACCTGGTCGGAAACAAGATTGGTAATCTGGTAAGGGTCAAATTGATTAGACTGTTGAAGGAAGTTGGAAACTTTGGATTGCACTATTCTCTCCAGGGGCTCAGAAGGGTTGAGATTGGCCGGAAATCTTTAGGGGAAGACGAGTTATAATTTTTATTTAAAGGACGGACCGTGGCTTTTTTTTTTACATAATTTAGGGAATTCTGAATTTTGAAGGGAAAGGTTATAGATGAAAAGGAACACCGGAAGGATTTCAGGGAGTCATAATTTGATCCATTTGGCGGGAATGCTATCCGGACCAATATAATTAGAATGTGATTTCATCACGGCGGATATGAAGTCTGTGGGAGAAATATCTGAAAAGTAAAATATCTCCTAAAAAAGGGTTTGAGGACATACCTTCGGAGACAATTTTTTCTTGTTTTGAGGTCCTTAGTTCATTTTTGCAGTTCGGCCCCTTAATCCTGAAACACCCTGTATAAAATCTTTGAAGTATGGATCATTTTCCTTATTAATGAGCTGATGGAATTCGTTCTCCGCAGAGCGCAGTTTCCATCGTCGGAATGGCTTTGAGTGTCTCATAAGCAGTGCAGGATACAATTATGTGTTCGGCGGTCTTCGGTACTTTACAAAGGACATAGAGGTTTAATGTGCTTCCCATGAGCAGCGAGCTTTGCTCTATATACTCCATGCCCTGCGAGCAGTTCTGAGACTCAGTAGTCTGGTATATCCCACGTTGCTTTTAACATCGAACAACGGTTGCCCATTCTGAGGTCGGTTCTATTTTTCAAAGGTATTCTCGCGAAGAATTGTATTCCATTTGCTGGATTCTTCACTGATCATCGTTCGGAGATTCTCTGGTTGGATCTACCGAACCTCCCCTCTTCATCTGGTACCTAAACTTGTAATATGAGGTCGAAAAGAACTCCTCATACAAGAACCTTCACTGCCTCATGAGATACACGATGGGTCGAAAAAAAAAAGATTCTAGGTTAGTTATAAATATATACAAAACAAAGACTCATGAATAAATAATTGATGAATAATATTTTCAAACACAATGATACATGCATACCACGATAATATATATAAGAGAGGAAAAACAATCCTAAAATGAAATGAAACGTTTTTGAAGCAGAAAAAAAAATAGCGAGAGCAGCAGAGCTCCGTCACTAAGGTTCCATTTTCCAATTATTTTTAATTAAAAAAATGAAGCGATTAAATTCCAATTATTTTCCAAATGTTCTATTGTTGACCATTGTTTTGTCTAAAAGAAACTGTATGACGGATCTTTGTAGTTACTGGACGGATTTCATTGTAAGTTTTTTTATCATTCAGGAAAATTAGATGCCTTTAAAATATGTTCTTACCCTAAATGGACACCCTTTTTGAGTTATTCGCAAATAAAGTTTTGTATTTGTCAAAACTCTTTTTTTCGAGAAAGTATGTTATTTTTCATAAATGTATAGTGTTTCGTGGGAAATACCTTAGGAAAGTTTTTATCAATACCGTTACAGCCGATTTGGCGCTGTAGTATAAAGAGAAACAGGTTTTTTCGCCACCATCTTGAAACAAAAAGGCAGCTGGTGATGAGACTCCCCAAAGGCACCTCTCCAATACCAACTTAATACATTTGCAAAATTTCATCCTTCCAACTTTGTTAGGAAGAGCTGTGGAGATGCGCAATACTTTAAAAACAGAGAAAAACGTTCTTGCATGCCGAAATTTTTCCTATTAAGTCTAATAGTATTGTTCCGCCTGGGAACAAACTCTTATGTATAATTGTATATTTAATTTTATTCGGTCAAACAGAGACCGCTGCGGAATCCGAAATGTAACGGAAATATATATATATATATATATATATATAAAACTGGCATCTCTAAAAATTGCAGAATCATGCTCTAGGAGTTCCAAAACGGATAGAAACCACAATCCTGCCTTCCACTGACAACTTTCGATACAGTGCAAATAGTCTATTATTTCCGAAGAAAAATAGACAAAAATAATATTAATATTAAATAGTATAGCTGTTGATTGAGATAGATACCTCAAGATCGATATCTTCTTTTTCTAATTTATTCCAAGTAGCTATGGCAGCTTCAGATTTTTGCCACGGCGTTTGCCAGTACCCCTTCGGGGCAACCATATTCTTTGATGTTTTTGTTTTTTTTCCCATTTTAAGTAATTTAATGAGTAATTTTATATTAAGAGAAGTCTGGTTGAAGTTTGCGTGTCTATGCAAGACTGGACTATTTAAATCAAAATTCTAAAGTTGTTAATTCAAGAACAAAATCTTTTATAAAAACACATGTAAAAAAAAGTACTCAGTATTGTCTTTTTTATTATAATATATTTATAAACAAATTGATAAGAAATGTTTCAATGTACATATGTTATTATTGAATATATCGTTGGTTTATTGCAAAACGTCATTAAGTAATATTTCAGAACCAAACAAATTAAGAATATTATGAATTTCATCTTTGTGAAATAAAAAAATTGTACAGTAACAAGCGGAGGCTAGAGTAAGTGGGTCATCAAAATATTGGACACATATCTTGCTTTTGCTTCAATGGACTCTAGGAGCCGAGAAAAAAACAAAAACATCATTTATATAATTTGAACCAAATTTATGTTATTTATTTCTTCCATTGCATTTCTCTGTTTTTTAGGTTACAATAAATGTATCAATCGATTTTTTTTTTTGTGTAGAATAAGAAATAAAAATCTGGTGTGCGCGCATTACCAGTGTTGCCGTTCGTATGAGGATCCTCGTATTTGTATAACGTCATGACGGTATTGTATGAGGTACGAGGGTCGACCAGCTGCAGGTCCAGGTGGCCCGGCACCTATGAAATTCCGAGTTGAAACCTATGCCAATATTTAGTACCTAATTTGTACCTCAAAAATTACAATTAGTACCCCTCAGGGACCAGAGATATAAAGCTCGTAAAAGTGACGGGCCAGGGACATGATGGTCCGGCACATATGGAATTTCGAGTTGAAACCTATGCCAATATTTAGTACATAATATGTACTAATTTGTACCCCCAAAATTATAATTAGTACCATAATTTAATAATTTATATATTTTAATTTTTTTATTTATTGGACCGCACCCTCGACTAACTCCTTCTCATATAATTAGTACCGGTCAGGGACCGGAGATATAAACCTCAAAAGAGTGCCAGGACCGGAATTTCCATGTCCCTGGCCGGCACCTATGGAATTTCGAGTTGAAACCTATGGAAATATAATTAACCAGAGCAAAATGACTTTCAACTTCTCCAATTTTGTTGTAAAGACCATCAGTGTTGAAATTTAGGATCTTTAAATTGCTGATCATTTTGTATGAATGAGATTTATAACTGTTTGCATTAGTTGCGTGATTAACTTCATAAACATTTTGATCCCTCGTGTGGTACTATATATTTTTCCACATATTTCTTAATGAAATAAGTTGTAGAATGTGTTTTGGTGGTACGCTAAGAGAAGATGGAAGAGGAGCGTATCATCATGTTAGTAAATTTTTCCTTCCATAGAGGTGGTTGTTAGCTTTTATTATTTACTGAGTTCGCATAAGTTCTTTGTTTGTGACGAATATTCTTCGGAACATGAGGAGTCTCGTGTGGGGTTGTGGTTGCACCTGATTATATCCTTCTCTGTTTATATTTGGTTTCTAGGTATAAAATTTTCTGGCACAGCATCTATACAATGCTATATGAGATCCATTGCAATTGTTGCATTTCGGACTTTCTGGCATCTCCAGCACTCAGATATTTCATGTGGGCCCAAATTCTTGGCACCGGTAGCACTGAGGAATACATCTGTTCTCCTTATACTCTACAGCTGTAAATATAACTTTATTTATTGCACGGACTCTTTTGAGGTCTTCAATTGCGGTTTCTGATGAGGATTGGGGATATGTCCTTTTTTGATCCATCTGGTGAAGATTTCTTTAGGCGTCGCATATCCAAAATACCATTCACTTCCCTAAAAGCATGCTGAATATTTTGCAGATTCTCTGTCAAATCAATTTTCAGTAGTAAATATTTGTTGGTATTGCAAACGCTTCCTTTTGGAGCAAAAGTGTGAAAAGCAAAATTACTATTTTTTAAACAATGTTACGATTTTCGTATGATCTGATAGGTTCTCTGTATGAATCCTGAGGCTATCAGAATAACATTTTAGTTATATATTATTTATAGAATTTTTCCTAAACTCTTGAATTATTTCTTTGGGCGAGTAATCACTGCTAATAACTATTTGTTGGGGTCTAGGAATAGACCATTTGAGAACTGTTAGCGGAATGATTATTACTGTTACTTGGACTATCAGCACTCATTTCACCATTTTCTGTGTTTAAAATTTCATATTTATTTGAGACAGGAATTTCCACTCTCTTTTCTAAATGAGGGCCTACCCTCTTTGCAACTTACCTCCTCTAGCTTCGCTACTTCTCTGTTTACTGGTTTCTTCATCTGTCTTTCGACTGTGTGATTGCATCTGTCCTCTTTCACCAGACCTGCTATAGTGCTAAAGCAAGGTCAGTGTCCGAAAAACCACAAGTGGTTTATCATCAGCACCAAAAATATTTAAAAACAACACAAACGCTATTAATTGCACAGGTAATGCAATATCAATAGCTAAAAGTGGTTCTACTAATAAGTTAGATTAACTTAAGAGAACTGGTTCATATCAATAATAATGAGAATTAAGAAAACAAGAAGTAAAAATAAAACAACTTTATTTGGTACACAAATAAAGAAATATTTTTTCATTTACTAATTTAAATTTTTCAACAAAGTTAATAACTGTGATTGTATTAAACAACCTTTGAATACTAATAAGGAGAGCTTTAAGTAGCACTGGAACACTTAAAACAAACAAAAAATCACAATTCACTATTTTCAAGTTACAAACATTTTATAAGTCCATTAGATTCACTGAAAAAAATGACTGTTTAGCATTCAAATCACATTCTAAAATCATTCCTGTCTTCTAGACTATGAATTGCAATAACACTATAAAATATTAAATGTCTCCATTATAAACAAAATAAATTAAATATATTAAGCTTATAAAAATTGTATATTACTAATCTTAAGCCAATTGTTTATGAATCAGGTAATATGCAATGTTTCAGGGCACCAGGAAATCCTGAAAAGAGAATATGTATAAATATACATAAAAAAAAAATTATTGTGATGATTAATTTAAAAAAAAGCAGGAGTTCAAAAGGCATTTTGAGTTTCACTTATCTATATATAAAATATATAATAACCCTAACCCTTTCACTGAAATTGACTATCTGGAAGTGCCAGTTTAGATCATAGATTTTACAATTTTTTTTTATAATTTTCTCGAAACAGTTCTAACAATTTTGATTAATCTTATTCAATTTAATCCCAGAGGGCCGAATGAATACAGATCAATAACTGTAGCATCCGTTCCACTACAAACAAAATTTTGTCGCGATTTAATAAAATGAAGCTGTTCCACACAAAGCAGTATGTATTCATTGCTATTGAAAATGTTTTTACACTGCACTCTATGATGGAATATTCAAAACAGAAAAGGAAAATACATATACAGCCACCATTGACTTAGCCAAGGTATTTGATACCATTAGCCTTTATACAAAATATTGAAGTGGAAAGGGATTCAAAAGAATTCACTGAATATATTAAAAAATTATACTAGAAAGATTCTATACCCGAATAACTTATAACAAACAATCCAAAACCACCTTTTTTAAAAATGGAATCAGACCTCTATCACTGTGTCTCTCAATTAACTTGGTTCTAGATTGGGTGATTTAATCTTTATCCGAGGTTATTGGTTACAAAATGACGTGGTGGTCAACTGCATTTGCAGAGGATAATATCACGATCTCAAGAAAAATGAAGAGATTATTAACAAGTGTGATCACAGCGATGTGGATCTTGGAGTGAGTATAAACAAAGATAAATGCTTCATCCTGCCACAGATTAGGTCGTTGCTTAGAACAAATTGAAAGACTGATGTTTGCTATCAACAACTTTCATCTGGGGAGTTCGTGTTTCTAGGAGAGAGCTTTTGTCCATCATAGAAACAATTTGGGAAGGGCTGTTGAAGACCCAACAATGACATCACTTTGTGAATGTTTCTCATTCTTAGGTTTATTCACCTGCTAACCTTCAGTAAGTATAAGGTCTAAAAGCGGGAGAGACTCGACATTCTGATGAGATCTGCAGTCCGAACATGATTAAATCTACTCCCAGAATACTTCCATATCTTATTTTCATGCATCATGGCCTAGAAATAATGAAACATGATTTCACCATTCCCTCACTTAAACCAAAAAGACTACAATGAATGGAATATTGTGGATTCCAAAATATGGCCCGTCCTACATTATTCAACTGATTAGGAAAATCTCCAATCAAATAAAGGCTTGGATTCTAAAAATTTCTGTAATCAAGAGTAAAAGCATTTATGGGCCAGTTATATGAGAGTATTAAAAGGAAAGCTATTAAGAAAACTGGTTAGTGTTACCCTTCAATGAATTGACTATCGAACTATGTATCTGTAGCTCAGGGTTAAGTGGGACCATTCAAAATATGAATTCCACATAAATGCAATGCCAAGTACCAAAAATCTTGTGAGGTGCGCACATCACACTACTTTCACTTACCGACCTCTTTTTTTTTTTTGTTCTTTTTTGGTTTTAAGACTTGTAAAAGCAATTCCTATTTTGCCAATAGAATATTTTAATTGCCATTGTAAGATGTAATTATTCTGGATATTTATTGAATATTTCTAGATAGATGATCTCTGATTGTAACTAAATATTGAATGTAAGTTATATAGAACCTAAGAAAGCTCCATCATCCGTAGTTTGCGATCCTAAATTTTATTAGTAGAAGTACCCTCATATATACAAATTTTAATATTTAGATCGCTGTAATCTATACAATTAAATATCAAATAATACCAACAATAGCATTTATGAAAACCAAAAATATATATTTATATAATATTGACAGAGTCCGTATTGTATTAATCTCATGATACGTATGGAAGCGTGTTCTAATCTTTTGGGCGAGCTTAGATTCCTTTGGTTTCTCAATTACAAATATTCTCCGTTACGATCTCTTATTTCTCCTTTAGTGATTTATCAAATTCTTTCATATTTTATATTTAACCATTTTTCATATTAGAAATTAATGTGAAATGGTCAATTGTTTCAAACAAAACAAATTAAAGGTACTTTAGAGGAAGCTAATATTGAAAATTAGCCATTAGCCCTGTTATAGAACATCAATCAGAATAAAACATTTTATTTAAAACTGCTTCATTTTATACTAATACGATGAATTTAATCAAAATCGTTAAAGCGGTTTTCGAGATAATCGTAAAAATGTGTTAAGTTCATTTTATAAAGTTCCATCCCTGGTTAGCCGATTTTGATGAAAAAGTTGTTGTAACATCCCTAGAATATAAAAACCTTAAATATGCAATTTTACTTCCTTACGACTTTTCGTTTTTGAGCTAGACTGTTAACACACACACACCATTTTGCGGGACTTGGTTATTTGGACTCAGAGGACCTCAAAACATGTATTTCTGTTGAAAACTTAGATTAAAAAATTTCCACGATCTCAATACTTACCCTTACTATATATAACATATATAGGTAAGCGAAAGTAAAAAGAGTTAGGACTTCCCAAAAACGAAGAACCAAGATGGAGACAAAATGCAAAGAATGACTACAAACTAGACTCCAAACCATGTTACTTATCCTCTGGTCGCAGTGTAAAATGTAATGACACCATCGTAAACCTGTTAGCACAAACTCTCAGAAAAAAAGATTATGAGATTGAAAAAAAAAAAGAAAAAGAAATTGTACATTGGCAGCAAAAAAAAAGTAGAAACCCGATATAGTTAGTTCCAGAGTGAGGAAGAAGTATATAAAGATGCCCAGATCATTGGAGACAACCAAGCTCCTTCTACTGGCACAAAAGGTAAACAAAAACAGAAGTATATATATCGAAGAATGGCAATTGGATGGGCAATAAAAGTGGCATTTATGGATATTAAAGTCTATTTTTGCACTCTGATTTGAATAGAAGTGTGATTTCAGGCCTCCTTTCGAAATCTTTTAACTTAAATACTAAAGAGGACGAAATACAAGATAATCTCATGAGTATTAAAAGGAACAAATTTATATCACAGATGGCATAAATTTTTAAACAATAAAAGTGCAGATATGCTTAAAACTGTTATATTTAAGATAAATACTATAGAAAATTTCAAAGAGCCAGACCCTGGAAAAAGAGAAAATATTGCGTTGGCAAATAAGTCCTTTTGGTTTTTCTGTTTATTTTTATGTCACTAAGATACACTTCTTATCTGATGAATTAATCTCTAAGGTGGATTTTTTATCCTATTTGTAATATGTCAACAAATATATCTGTTATCTCTTGTAGAAACTAGCTAAGTATTGTGTTTGCTATTGCACTGTGAATATAGAAGAAAGTATCATTCATTATTTACTCTTACTTACTCCTCGGTGCTATAGTCCGCGTGGGACCTTGGCCTCCTCAACAATATGTCGCCACTCGTCTCTGTCCAATGCGACAGCCCTCCACCGCCTGACACCAAGCTGTCTCAAATCCGCCTCAACATCCTCCAGCCAACGGAGTGGTGGCCTTCCTCTTGTTCTTGCTCCTCCAGGTTGCCCATACAGTATTTTTCTCGGTACTTGGTGAGCTGCCATCCTTTCCACATGCCCTAACCATCTTATTCGTCCTGCCTTAATGACACTTACGAGATCTGCATCCCTGTAGAGTTATCGCAACTCCCGATTGTATCGTGACCTCCAAACACCATCTTCGCATACGGGCCCGTAAATCCTCCTAAGATTCTTACACTCCCGCACTCCAAGAGCTCTCTCATGTTTTGCTGAGATAACCCACGTTTCGCTTCCGTATGTGACTACCGGATGAATCAATGCTTTATAGATCGTCAATCTGGCATTCCTTGATAGTCTTCGAAACATGAATAGTCGCTGTATGGCATAAAAACATCGGCTTCCCGCAGCAATCCTGGCTCCTATCTCAGCTCCTACATCATTGTCTGCCGTCATAAGAGATCCCAGGTACTTGAACTCTCTGCTTACTGGGAACTCGTGTTGGCCTCTGTTTAGTGTCCGATCTTGATGAGGGCGATGTCTTGAACTCTTCATGTACATCGCCTTTTGCTTGTTCATTTGTAGACCTCGAGCTGCTGCAGCGGTCTCAAATTCCTTCAATGCACCCCCCAGCACTGGGAGCGTCCTTGCCACAATCTCTACATCATCTGCATACGCCATGTGCTGTGTGAAGCGGTCAAAGATGGTACCTCCAGGGTTGGTTCTTATGGCTCTTGCCGCCTTCTCCAAGGTCATGTTAAAAAGGGGAGTAGCCTTGGTGTCTCCTTGCATTATTCCCGAAACCACAGAGAACTCCTCTGACAGCAATCCTTGTAGTTTCACTCTGCATCTGGTATCTGCCATTGTCATTTTTATTAAGCGAGTGAGCTTCTTTTTTATGATAGCTCAACATGAACAGAAAATAAATTTTATTCAACAATGAGCAGTGTATGTGTAAGCGGTAAGTGAAAGTTGTGTGTTGCTCATTTGTCATGACCAGATTTTTAGTCATAAAGGTAGCACCAAGTTTAGGAAAATTGAATAATAAACTAAATGTGAATTCCTAATGTGAACAAGTATGTGAATTACTAAATGAACAAGTTAAATGAAAATAAGGGTCTTAACAATATATATCGTCCAACAATGAACTAAATATTGAGTAAAGTTAACCTAAACGAATGTGATATTGAGCATACCATTAGCTTTCTCCAAGAAGTTCAGCTTGTTTCAGTTCTAAAATTTTCTCAGCCTTTGCTACATACATGTCCGCAAGATGTTTAATCTGAAACAAATTTTGAATGCTAAATAACAAGAAAATGTTGGAATGAAGTCTCGTATTATGATAACAATGATTTCTTAATTCTCAACACAAATATTAAGTTGTAGGAATCTCAAAGTTCCCCAGATACTTTGATTATTTTGTAATTATTAATATTTTGTTTATTTATTTTACTTTATATTTATGTAAGTTTTTATATCTTTTTATTATCTGTACTTTCATTTTATTAATAATCATCCTGTAAATATTTAATGGTATTTTATGGACACACCAGAATATTAATATATATTCTGTATTTGTAATTTGTTCTAAAGGGACACTAGTCCCAGAATAATAAAATTATTTTCATTCATTCATTCAAATAATACTTCACTCAGCTTTAAGAATAAAGAAATTATTTTGAAGTAAAGACTGGACATGAGATAAGGAAATTAACAATAAAAAAAATGTATATATATATATATATATATATATATATATATATATATATATATATATATGTATATATATATATATACCACTAGGACACTCACTTCTGTGGCATATTACGTAAGTAGATTATTGTTTATCAAATATATATAAAATAATTTATATTAAGTTAAATAAAAATTTAAAATATTATTAATTTTAAAATTATGAATGACTGAATGAGATTTAACATAGAATTTAAAATGTATTACTAATATAATTTTAGATGCTGAAGAGGTGTACAGAGATTCTTCAAAACATACATTGATAAATAATAATCAACAAATTAAGAGTAATTATTTTATTGAATCGGCCTATAGGGAAAAAACAGTGAAAGATAATTCAGAAAAAAAAGGATAAAACTTGAAAATAGTAAATATACATATGTATAATTAAGATTTCTTAAGTGAAATAGACATTGCCGGCCAATGATTAGACATTCGGTGCACCTATGCAATGACATCATCTCCCCCCTTACTATATATTTCATATATAGATGAGTGAAAGTAAAAAAAAAAAAGCAACATACACAGAACATTTTGAGGGACATGGTTATTTCGACTCAGGGAACTTCAAAACACGTATTTACATTGAAAACTTTCAAAATCGCAATACTTTACCCTTACTATATATTTCATATATAGATAAGTGAAAGTAAAAAAGATAAATAAATAGCAACTTATGTTATTTAAAGATGTATAACTGATTTAACATAATTGTTTAGCAGATGTAATAAATAAATAAACCTAGTATCAAACTATAAATCAATGTATAGTTGTGCCATCACCTGACACACTCTCAAAAGAAGGTAGTGGATCAGCTGATGGGAAGGTTGTGCTCTCAAATGGTCTCTCAGTATTTGCCTATTTTTCAGCAGAATCTCTCTGATTTTTCATTGAATACAGCTCACGTGTACATCAGAGCACTTGTTATTTGCTGTTTGATATCTTTTTTTTCTTTTTAATTTTTTTTTTCTTTCTTCTCTTATGATATATGATATTATCAACAAATGATGGCCGGTAAGGTGCCCAGGAGGACTCGGTCAGACGGCGTTAGTACACCTCGTGGTTCACCAGCCAAACAAAGAACTCGTTGGCGCCTACGAGAAACACCTCCAATAACCAAAGTGAACACTTCAGAACCAGAACCCCCAAACAGGTACATCTTTGCAAGAAATGATCGAAGAATTCCCTTTCTTTACTCCAAACCCCTAACAAGTGCTTCAAAATGACCGAGAGGTAATGGAGTCTGCAGCCATACTCAGTGAATCAAGGCCTCCTCCAATATTTGTGAAAAATATCAACAATTTCCAGTTGATCTACACCCAAATAAATAAAATTTGCTCAGGCAGTTATTCATGCCTTAACAGGACCAACAATATAAAAATAACACCAGATACTGCTGAAACCTACCGAAAAATAGTGAGGTACCTATCAGGAACTAATGCGAATTTTCATACATACCAGCTTAGGCAATAGAGATTGTTACGAGTAGTAATAAGAAATTTGCACTCCTCAATCCCAACTGAAGTGATTAAAGAAGAACTAATGACTGGATCACTAAAATAATCCTAAAACCCCATCATATTTCACATACTCTCGCTCTTGGGCAGCGTCTGATGAAGATAAAGCCGAGGAATTAGCCAAACATCTTTCCCTTACATTCATCTCTCATCCGGAATCCAACCCCACCCACACATCAGCAGTCAAGGAATTCCTTAATTCACCCATCACCTCTACCGAGAGTATGTGAAAAATGATGGGGTTTTAGGATTTTAGTGATCTTCCGTAGGGAATTGTCATGAGTAGAGAGGGAAGTAAGGTAGGAGTTGAAGGATTGGAATCTGAAGGTAACTAATTCCTGCTTTAATTTTTTGCATAAATAATTATAGGATTGATGATTGGTAGGGTGTTTAGTACGTTGCCATAATAATCTGGCACGGGGTATGGTGTGGATTAGGTCTATGAGGTGTTGAGATAACTTATTTTTCCTGGAAGTTCTTGAGGCGTGGTTTGGAGAGAAAGCAGTCCAGATTGTTTGTTGAATAATGGTGGTAAAGAAATGTACGGCATTGTCAAGGTCTTCTGGAGTTTTCAGGGTTATTCTGAGCTCAATTTTATCGGAAAGGATTTGGTGAAAGAGTTTCCAGTTAACCGGGCCTCTGATGGCAAGGACAGTGGAGAAGGCTTAGTAAGAGGGGCTAGAGATAATTGGAGTAATAATGGACTATGATCTGAGGAAAGTTCGTCAAGACAGGTAAGGGAATGATTTAGGGGATCTATCCACTGTGGATGAAAAAATCAAGGATATTGGGATTGTGGTTAGGTTCTGTGGGCCAGTATGTAGATGAGTTAAGAGGAAGGAGACTGAAACGTTGGGAAGTGAGTGCAGATAGTAATGTTCTACCACGAGCATTCGTGGTTACCCCATTGATGATGTTTGGCGTTTAAATCTTCATCCAGGATGAAGTGATGTCCTAAAGAGTTGAGAAGAGAACTGAACTGGACATTGGATGTGGATCTGTTAGGAGTGCAATATGCTGATGCTACGGTGGCGTGAAAGGAGAAGGTTTTGATTACGATGGCGGTGGATTCTAGGAAATCTTGAATCGGTAATAGGAGGTGGTGATGAGAAGGGGATTGGTGTATAATATCAGCAGTACCGGCATGTGCTCTACCGTCAGGATGGTCAGTACACTATGTATGTTATGTATTGAGACATTTTTAAAAGCTGTTTTCTGCTCAGTCGAGTTTCTGTAATTAGTTCTATGTCAACGTTCTTGTCCAGTAGTAAAGCTGTTAGTTCGTCAATGAGATTTCTAACACCATTTGCATTCCAAAGGAGAATGGATATAGGTTTTGGGATGTGAGTCATTAAAGATTTTTTGAAGGAGGGATGAGGTGAAATACGAGATTTGTGAGGAGTAATATGAGTGGAGTAACTAGGGATTTGAAATCGGTGAGAAAAAATGCTAACAAACTGGTGAGATCTGTTGCATTTGAAGGAGAAGGCGTATGATGAATTTGTTTTTTGATGGTTAGGTATATTAGGATCAATAGGGTTTTGAGGTTGAGGTTGAGGTTGTTGCGGCAGGGCTTGACATTTATCGGTTGTGTTCTTACCTCTAAATAGCTGGAAAAATGATACATTATTGTTCAATATTCTTGAAGGCTCTCTCTCTCTCTTCTTGGTCTTATCGTTTCATCTTGAGCCCGGTATTTATGGTGTCTGGATTTGAGATTCTTGTAAATTTGGCAGCATTTGTAGTTGGCCAGGTGTCCCTACAGATTTGTGCTGTTCACCGCATTTCAAGCAACACGGCAGATGGTGACAATAAGTCTTCGTGTAGCCGTATGCCTGACAATAATGGCACTGCACGATTTCTTTCTTGGGGTATAGTTTCTCTGCTTTCACCATTGTGTAATATAATCTTGTGTATCATATATTTTTTTGATACCTGGTGATGGCTTCAAGTCTACAAAAAACAATTGTAGAGGGATTTTATTTCTTAACCCTGGCTCCTCCTTGTTCTCCTTTAAGAAGTTGGTTAACTGACGTACGTTGACACCAACCGTCATTAGTTCTTCTTTAATCACTTCAGTTGGGATTGAGGAGTGCAAATTTCTTATTACTACTCGTAACAATCTCTATTGTCTAAGCTGGTATGTACGAAAATTCGCATTAGTTTCTGATAGGTACCTAACTATTTTTCGATAGGTTTCAGCAGTATCTGGTGTTATTTTTGTATTGCTGGTCCTGTTAAGGCATGAATAACTGCCTGAGCAAATTTTAATTAGTTGGGTGCAGAACAACTGGAAATTTTTGATATTTTTCACAAATATCGGAGGAGGCCTTGATTCACTGAGTATGGCTGTAGACTCCATTCCTTAATTCACCCATCCCACTCTCCTTACCGCCAGGTGTTCCTCAAGGTAGCGTATTGGGTCCCGTCCTTTACATCCTATATACTGCCGATATCCCTGTCCATCCCGATACCTTCCTGATGTAGCGGTTCCTGCTCTTTCCCGCTATCAGGCAGCGCTCTACAAGCTCGCCCGTGCAACCTACCAAAAATTGTATCTTTTATTTCTTATTGTTGTATTATAAATACTTAAATATTAAATTAAAATATGCATATTCATTGTAAATACTTTTTATTAATAAAGTTTAATGGCGATAACATATACTGATCAAAGCTAAAAAATAACTGTTATTGTAACGGCTCTTGGTAGAAGGTTTAGTCTTGGCGGAATGAATAACGCAGTCATAACTCAAATTGTTAGATCTTAGGATCACCACTCCTTCAGGGTGTAGTCCTTTATGCAGATGGTCAGTATATGTCTCATATGAGCTTTTGGTTCACCTTAATCTGCTCTTCTTATTTCATGATCTCCACAAACCTTTTTCCTCTTCTCATACTCCATGCAAGTTGGACGCTGATCCGCCCGCTAGCAGTCCTTTATACTGAGTCAGGAGATTGATCCCTCCGTCAGTATCTCATCCTCCCACAAGTCCGGAGTTTGATCACTCTGGTTGTGGTTACCATCCTTGCGGAGTGTAAGCTTGATCTCTTAGACCGCAGGCCGAGAGTGATTGGGTGCTGATCCGCCTGCCACTTTAGGTCATCCCTCTATACATCTTCCTTCATCCTATCAGTCATCTTACCCTCTATAATGAACACGCACTGTCAAGGCCTTCTGGTAACTTGCACACTGCTTCTGCATATATACTTCAACACTGGCAACATTTTCTGATGATACCGCCATCCTAACATCCGAAACAGATCCTTATATAACATCCTTAAACCTTCAAAGATACCTATCCCTGATTGAGCACTGGTGTAATAAATGGTGTATTAAAGTAAATGAATCCAAATACCAACACATTACCTTCACACTCCGACGCAGTTCCTGTCCACCAGTACACTTTAATTCCATCCAACTTCCTTTCTCAGACACAGTCCGGTATCATGGCTTTCTCTTAGACAGACGACTGACGTGGAACCCTTAAACTAGACTTAAAAGACAGGAACTTAACCGACGATACGGCCAACTATACAGACTACTAAATAGAAAATCTAAACTTTCTATTGAAAATAAAATACTTATCTACAAGACAATACTGAAACCTACTTGGACTTACGGACTTGAACTGTGGGGAACAGCAAAATTTTTTAACATCAAACGCATCCAATCCTTCCAGTCCAAAGTCCTTCGAAGAATAGTCGATGCTCCTTTCTATGTAACCAACAAAACCCTACACCATGACCTTAGTATCCCATTTGTCCAAGACCTTATCCCAGCAAAATTCTCCAAATTTCATCAGAAACTTACCTATCATCCGAATCCCTTTGCACAATCTCTATCCATAGCACCACTCATCCCTATAACCCTCCAAGAAGATTGAAACGGCAATGGCCCAGCGACCTTGAGTGTATGAGGCTAAAGCGCTCTCGCTTAATCTCCACTGGGTTTAGAGAAGTGCAGGGATCGCCTGGAGCTTTTCCCTCCACAGTTGATGGGACAAGTCTTGCCCGAAAATCTCTCGCCTGATTGTAAATAGTGTATATGGTGTATGTATGTGTTCATTTATTTATTTATTTTAAGGTTATTTTATTTTTATATATTGTATATATATCATTTTTCTGTATAATTTATTTTATTTATTGTACATAGTGTTAATGTGATCTCTGAACACTATTATAAATGTCCTTTGAGACAGATTGTAATATTTTTCAATAAAAAAAACAAAAAAAACAAATAATAATAATATTAAACTCTAATCAAAGCCACTATATAGAGTAAATGGAATATGCATTCATATATCTTACATAAAAAAATAAATCCTCATTGTATAATACATATCTAGTCAGAATCTATTAGCTCTGTAAATAGGAACTGGAAAAGGAGAGTTATAAATGAGGGGGCAAGGCGAATTTTCAGAGGGAGGGAATTACAAAATGTGGTGGAGTGGGTAAAGAAGGAGTTTCGGAATAAGGCAGGTCTATGAGATCTTGTGTAGAGGGAGTAGATGGGCGATGGTTATTGATTATTTGGTGAAGGAATATGACCAGGAAGTATTGTCTTCTGGAGGGAAAGAGCCACTTTTACTCAGCATAATAGTGGGAAACAAGGAAACATCTCGGGGTTCCATAATTGTGTTAGTGTCTCTAACATAATTTTTTCAACATCAGATGCATTCACTAGCACATTTCTTACTTGTTCTGATAACTGATAGCTTGTATCTTCAGATAAACCTTCCTTCACTTTATTTTTCACAGATTTCAAATATCTGTTTTGAATATTATGGATGGCATCTCTAGATTTGATGAATTGAGCTTTAGCATTTTTGGCAAGACCTTCTCTATACTCCTTGGTAACTCTATAACATACGATATATGACAAATGACAAAAATAAATTTTCTTTTAAGTTAATGCAATATAGAATATTCAAGAATTCAAACCTACGAGTGGCTTCATATCAAAGATGGTTTATAGGTTCAACTCACACTGTTTTTCATAATTTTATTTAAAAATCCTTAAGTCGAATTACCAAAAACAATGATTAGAATTGATCTTAATTAGAGCTGTGTTACAAACATTGACTTTTTCTCAACTTCATGAAAATTACAGATGCCTTTCTTTGTTATGAGGCCACTCATATGATACATATAATTCAGAGTAGAAGAATAGAAAATATAATTTTTACTTAGTGCTTTTAGTTATTGTAGTATCTCTTTGAATGTTGAAAGTCTATAAGCAAACTAAAAAAAATTGTAAATAATAACAGATAATGATATTTTTCTTTATTTTTGGGAAAACTTTTTTTTGAGCTATTTGATGTGATGTATGGCAAATCATGCTGTTTACGCACATGGTCCTGCTACATCAAAGGTTATAACCTTGTTGATTATGAAATTCTAAACATATTCTGTTCAACCAACCTTAATAATAAGTTCCAAAAACTACAGCAGGGAATTATCAATGAATGGGATGACATCCATACCTGATGAAGTAATTTATAAATTATTGAAAACATACGGAGGAGAGTTGAAGCTGTCATTCAGGCCAATGAAGATTCTACATAATATTAATAAACTCATGAAGTTGAAATAGTAATTTTTTCGAATAAAGCTTTTAGAAGTTGTAAAATTAATTGTAAGCTAATTAAAACTAAATATTTTTAAATTATTTAATTGGGTTAACTTTGGCTCAAAAAATGAAAACATATTTATCTACCAGAATTAGACAAAGAAAAATGACTGTTGCTTATTTATTACTACCTATTATTAGTCATGTTAAAAATATTTTAATTGAAAAAAAAAAGAATTACAGAAATTGGGAAATTCTATCAACCCTAAGAGAATGTACTTTCATATCTACTTTAAATATTTGTACATGTCAATTTCCATATCAATTTACTAAGATGTTTCATTAGATATGGAAGTGCATTCCCTCTGGGTGGATAAAATTTCCCAATTTCTGTAGTCGGTTTTTTTTTTAAGATTAAAATATTTTTTTTTTTATTGCATTTTCAGTTTTAAAAATATTAATAATTCATTTTTATAGCACATGTAATCATTTCAAGTCAATTAATAATTAAGATACTTAAACTATAATACAATTTTTTTTTCAGTATTTTGAGCTTAAATTGTTTCAAAACATTCAATCTAACTGAGTAATTACAGCCCTCAATGTTAAAAATCGATCATATCATCAGCTCGAAAAATCTTTATGTGCCTTTTAGCAGATTAATTAAACACACTAATTTGACAGAATTTTGAGCACAAATTATTTCAAAACCCTCATGGATTCTCATTGAATAATTTGAGCCATCAAACTTAAAAATCGATTCAGCCGCTCGCTTAAAACATTGTTACATACCTTTTAGCAGACATCCCGAACACATTACCCTTGTGTCATTTCACTTTCGAAACAATCATGGGACTTGGCCGAACAATATAATATATCAAACTTAAAAATCGATCCAGCGATTCGCTCAAAACAGCGTTACAAAGCTTTTTGCAAGTTGATTAAACATATCTTATTTAATTACGGGTCAGTGTTTTTATCTCAAATTATTTCAAAATATTCAGAAGATCTCACCGAATAATTTGTGCCATCAAACTTAAAAAAAACGATCCAGCAGTTCGCTCAAAAAAGCATTACATAGCTTTTAGCGGAAAACCCAAACACATGACCCTTGTTTCACTTCGCGTAGTCGGGTAATAAATAAGCTAGTAATTGTATCATTTAATTACATTAAATACAGCTTATAAAATCTTTTTTTTCGTATTTATGGGCAAATTTACCTCAACTGACAATATGAGATTTCTCTTTAAATTACCTGCTTCAAATGTTCAGCAGTATTTATACAAAACTGAAAAACACACAAATGTTTTAATGGCATGACACACTTATAGATACTCTAACAATAAACTAACTTGGGAACTGGAATAAATAAAGTTGTTCCATCTTGCTGGGGATTTAAATTCATTCCAGAATCAGATATAGCTTTTAAAACAGCTGGTATGGCCTGGGGAAAACCACCCATGTTAACTATGACTGTTTTGGGATTTTTTCTTATTACTTGCCCTAATTCCATCAGTGTGTACTTCTTGTCTTGAAATTTAACAGTTAAGTTATCGATAGCACCTACAAAATTTAAAATATTATTTAACAGAAAACAGATAAATAACAAATAGTTACTTCTAAAAATGAAAGATAACTTTGTTTGATCTTGAAAATGTTACTATTTTGCAAGTGTTCATCCACTTTGATGGGTGGGCACAGAATCTCACAATAAATGGAATTTCGAGAATGGCTGAGTATTGACGTGTTACATCCCTTTATTTAGATAGCAATTTATCACTTCCAATGGGTCTTTTTCAACTGAGGTTGCAGTCTTCCCAAATGGATTGGCCAACTTGATCTACTTTTGGATTCACTTTGTCATACTCGGAATTCCATTTATAGTGTGATCATGAGATCTTGTGCCCACTCATCAAAGTGGAGCAACACTTGCAAGGTAGTACCTTGAAAATTATGTTATACAATTAATCTTTTTTAAACAGAAAAATCAAGTATAAATAATCAAAGAAAAAAATGTGTACAGTCATACATTTTTTATAATAATATCAAAAAATCTATAAGTAGATGATATCGTTTTTATTTCTAAACTAAGGATTGAACAATATGATTTTGAGTAAAATCTAATACATTATAAACTTGGTCTGAGGATTAATTATTTTAAAACATAAAAATTAAGCAATTTGTCATTAATTATCAGCAGTACCTGTTGAAGATCTCAATGAAAGTTGTGTGATAAAAACCTCTTTTAATCTTGTGACAGAATTCTCTAATTCAGACTTCAATTTTTGAAAATTAATTACTTCTTCAAGTAATGATTCATTAATTTCTATATTTTTAGTTTTACCTTTTCCTATAACACATATAGATCACATAAAAAATTAGAATCACTAAGCACATAAAACAAATAATAATAAAAAAAAAACCTGTACTATTACAACCCATGAAGGGTCTTGGGTTCAGTATTTAGTAAGAAAACACTGTTTCTTGGTCAACGGTTGTACAAAAAGGTGATTTGACCGAGATCACACTCAAGCACCAGATTTTCCTCCTTAATTATTTATTTAATTAAGGGTACCCACTTTATTGAGGCTAGGTGTGCCCCAGGAGGGTTTTCCGACCCCAGGGTCAATACACAGTAATCGAAACAGAATAAATAACCAATTTTTCATCAGCCGGATTTGAACCTGGGACCTTGAGAACAGGAAGTCAGCACCACTGAGATATCCCACTCCCGAATAATAAAAACAAATAATATTGCCATAAAAATATGTTTAGTAATTTAAATAAAAAGGAGTACTTAATTTTGTAAAAAGTTTTAGTAAATCTCAATTGAATTATTAAAAAAGTATATAGTTGTTACATATTATTAATTTCTAATTTTAATTTTAAAAAGATGCTTGTGAAAGATAAAAAAAAATCTTGAAATATCAAGCATGGTGTGCAAGCATGATGATCTTTGATAGATTTGTTTAAAATAAGACCATTTATATGACTAATAAGTATATGTAACTACAAAACGTATATTAAAGGAACAAAATTTGAAGTTTTTTACTTTAAATGATAATTAATACCTCAACAAATAAATGAGTAAAAGTTTGATAGAAATAAATTATTTATGGTTGATCACCTAAAAATTTTATCACCATAAATGTCATAATAGCAGAAATGTATTTGTGAGACCTTGTCGATTTAAGAGATGTTTATTGATTCCAAAAATGAGAATACAACTTAACTTGAAACTATGACTGACTAAAGCTAAGTAAAGGAATATAGGATGCTAACAGGTATCGAGAAAAAATCTATTATGAATTATCTTTAATAAATGGCCATTAGTTAATCAACAGACCTTTGTCTTCCTTAGTTTTATTCTTTCCTTTGGCATAATATCTGATTGAATTTTGATGCTTTGTTAGATTTTCTAATATTACATGTTTACTAGTCAGATGTTTACAAACAGATGAAGGATGGCTGATACAATGTCGTCCAATTCTATTACCAAACAATCTTAAAACAACCGTTCTTAACATAATGCATCCAAACAGTGATAGAGCATGTAGAGAAAAAAGTATTTTGCTGGAACGAGAAGTATGTTTATAACCTACTCGATAACCACAAGAAAACCCAACACTTTAGAGCAGGGCATGGCACAGGCGGATTTACGGGAGGGGGCTTTCGGACTGAAGCCCCCTCCCCCCCGCCAAAATGGTAAAATATAACCATGTTTTTACAGAAATAAATATCAAAAACTATCTGCTAAAGTATTCTTGTTCGTTTAATTACATTCAATAGGATTTCAAGAACCACTTAAACACCATTTCATGTAGGTAGTGAATTTCTTTCTTTTTTTTCCCTAATTATTTATCGTTATATGTATATGAAAAAAAATCTTTCGGGCTGAAACCCTCCCCCCAAAAATTAAATCCTAGATCCGTTAGTGGGGCATGGAGAACTTGGATTCATTGATATCTAACTATCGAAAGAAACACAATATCAGTAATTTCGATATTATTAATATATCGAGAAAAATGTGGATATATTGGCCATCGATATTTGTAATTTTAAAAAGATGCTTGTGAAAGATAAAAAAAGTTCTTGAAATATCATTTAATCTAAATAGTTTTATAAAAAAAGGTGTGCAAGCATGGTGATCTTTGATAGATTTGTTTAAAATAAGACCATTTATATGACTAATAAGTATGTGTAACTACAAAACGTATATTAAAGGAACAAAATTTAAAGTTTTTTACTTTAAATGATAATTAATACCTCTATAAATAAATGAGTAAAAGTTTGATAGAGATAAATTATTGATAGAGATATAGATATGGAAATTTCACGCCTCGATGTTTTCATTATTTAAAAAAGAAGAACACGTAATATCAGTTCCGTACGACTATTCGTTTTTAAGCCAGATTGTTCACATACAGACACACAGACCATTTTATTGGGCTTGGTTATTTCAACTCAAGGGATCTCAAAACGTGTATTCCCGTTGAAATCTCAGGTTAAAAAAATTGAACAATTGCAATACTTCCCATTACTACATAAGTAAGAGAAAGTAAACATATATTGATAAGGAAAGTTTAAATCTTGCATATCTGCAAATTTACTTAGTTTACTATTTTGATTAACGAAATGTTGTCACCTTCAATAAGTTTTTAGCATTTTGAAAAAGAGCTGCTTGTATACAAACTGCTGGCACAAAACATTTGTCTTAATTTTAATAAATTTGAAGTCAAATTATTCGATCTCAAAAATACGCCTTTAGGACTTTTTTTCCTTTCACTTACCTATATATATATATATATTTTTTTTTTGGATCCTTCCCTTCCTCCCATTTAAGGCTATACGGGCCTTTCACAGGCCAGGGGATTTGGACGGGGATTCAAAAGACTCCCCCGGCACCGGGACGCGAACTCGTGACTATTTTAAATCCATTGTCTCATAGATGAGGTTGCCGGGCAACGGGTGTGCTGTGCACACACGTTAGGCTCGTTCGGACACCCTGCCCACCTCACTTACATAAGTATGAAATATATAATAAAGGAAAGTATTGCGATCGAGAAAATTTTCGAATCTTAGTTTTCAACGGAAATACACGTTTTGAGGACCCCTGCTTAAGGCTTATTAATTTTACTAAAAATACTTTATTTTTTTATTTTATTCTTGGCGCTACGTTCCTGTAAGAACCTGGGTCACTCTTATGATCCTTCGCCACTCCCCTCTATCCCGAGCGAGCATTTTCCATCTTCGAATTCCCATCCTTTTCAGGCTGTCCTCTACCTGGTCTAGCCATCTCAGGCGTGGTCTTCCACTTCCACGTTTTCCAGCAGGCCGTTCCTCTAGTAAGCGTTTGGAAATCGTGTCCCGGGGCAAACACGCCACATGGCCCAACCATCTGATCTGGTTTTCCCTCACAATTGAGACCAAATTCGGCCTCGCATACATTTCATTTAGTTCTTTATTTGGGCGAATTCTCCATTGTCCCTGTTCGCACACCGGGCCATAGATTCTGCGTAGAACGCTTCTCTCCCATGCGAGTAGTCTTTTTACCGATGCCTTAGAGATCACCCAAGTCTCAGAGCCACAGGTGACGACGGGTCTGATGACTTTCTCATACACCACGATCTTTGTTTTGTAAGAAAGAGATCTGTAATTTAACATTTTTCGCAATGCGAAACAGCACCTATACCTGACAGTCATCCTTGCTTTTAATTCTTCCACCATTTCATTGTTTTCTGTGATTAGTGCTCCCAAATATTTAAAATTTTCGACCACTTTTAGGGTGTGGTTACCAATTGTGACGCGTTCGAAAGTTCGACACTTGACTTTTTTGACGTTTGCATGTAAACAGTCTTGTGTTTATTTATTTGTAGCTCTAGTTCTTTAGTTGCAGTTTCGAATTCTTCAAATGCTCCTGCTAATGATGTTTTATTTTTTGCCGTTATTACAACATCTTCAGCATAAGCCAGATGCTGTGTCATTCTATTATAATATTGTGCCACGAGTATATGTCCGGAACGCCCTTATTGCATACTCCAACGCAATATTAAATAGGGTTGGGGATAAAGGATATCCTTGCCTAAGCCCATCTTTCACCTCGAAATCCTCCGACAATTGGCCATTAATTTTCACAACTGATCTACTACCGCCTAGGGTCATTCTTGTCAAACTGACCACTTTTGGGAGGATCCCTAATTTTTTCATTGTAAATTAGGGATTCAGTAATTCTTCTCTGCTTATACTATCATATGCCTGTTTGAAATCTATGAAAACGTGATGTAAGTCCATTTGCTATTCGCATGCTTTTTTCTAACAGTTGCTTTTAACTATGTGATCTATAGTTAATTTACCTGGTCTAAAACCACACTGATATTTACCCAAAACTTTCTCGGACCGAAATTGAACTTTTATATTCAACAGAACTGCAAATACTTTGTATACTGTATTTAACAATGAAATTTCTCTATAAATGTCGCAGTTTGCTTTTTCTCCTTTTTGAAAACAGGGCATATAATAGCGTTAGTCCATTATTTAGGAATTTCTTCTGTTATCCAGACTTCCATCATTAGGTTGTAGATCTCTCTTAATAATAAAGGCTCTCCGAAAAATACTGGAAGGAGAAAAATTCAAGGGACCTTTTCAAGATCATCAATAGGAAGGGAAGAATTCAAAGAAAAGTACCTGAAACTTGTAGAGACAAGGATGGGAATATAGTGCCCTGCAAGGATGAGGTCCTATTGCAATGGAAAAGCCATTTTGATGAGCTTCTCAACTCAGCCACCTGTGAAACACACTGGATCAGATACATGAGAGGACTTGTTGCTGGATGTCAGGGATCAGACCTTGAGCCACCTGATGATGAAGAAATAATGGATGCCATTAATCGGTTAAAGAATAATAAGGCACCTGGAGCTGATGACCTTCCTACTGAACTCTTCAAGAACGGAAGTAAGGAACTGTTTAAAAGGTTCCAGAATTAAGTCTGGACCATTTGGGAGGAAAAGGTTTTGCCTGAAGACTGGAAAAAGTCAGTTTTATGCCCTATCTTTAAAGAAGGTGACAAACTCCAGTATAAAAATTACAGGGGTATCTCTCTTCTCTCTTCTGGATATAAGATTTTATCTAACATCCTGTTCCAGGGTCTTCTACCCTTTGCAGAGCAGAGGCTTGGTCCGTACCAATGCGGATTTAGACAAGAAAGATCTACGACGAACTCGTGACTATTTTTTTATCAATTTGTCTTATATCCGTCAGGTTGCCCGGCAACGGCGCACATTGGGACGACAGACGGGTTTTCGTGGACATGGGCCCAGTTGAAGCCTAGAACTCGTAAATGATGTTTGATTAACTTGATATTTAGTACACTTATGTTTTCAAAGCCAAGAAACACGAATATGATGTCAGAGTTTGAAATTTTTGACGGGAAACAAAAAAAAATCTGTTTCTTGGTTTAAACGTGGGAATTTTTAAATTTGGCAATAAATTAACTTTGAAAATGATAGAGACCTCTTAAAATGCATAATTTTAGATACCAATTACTGCTAAAAAGCTATAAGAAATCAATTTTCCAGAGGATATCAGAGAATATTTTAAATCGCAGTATTTGTAAAAAATTGATTCAAAAATACCTATTTTTGTTAACACAAAAGAAAAAAGTTAAGCAGAATGACAGTAAAAAGTGTATAGAGTTTCAAGAAAAATTGATCAACCATCAGCTCGAAGCAAGTAATTTTAGAAAAGCTACAAATCATGTGAAATTCCACAAATTAACTAGGTTTTCAATTGAACTATTAACTGAAAACAGCGTAAAATGTTCATTCTGCCAACTAAAAATATTCTCTCTAGCTACCTAAGGCATCAATTAAATTAAAGTTATAAAAAAATATTTATTTTTTAATCGATGTGGCAGGTATTATATTACTCGGTCCACTGTGCGGAGGTGTTGTGCACATGCGTTAGCACGTTCGACCATCCCGTTCACCACAGACGCCTTTATAACTAAATTCTCAACCTTATTTCAGCTGAATAATATGTCACCTGATTAACATTTGCACCAGATTATTATTATTTTTTTCCCCACGCCACTCTCTCCAATAAGGGTATACGGGGATTTTACCGGATCAGGGGAGAGGGCGGAGGATTAATGCCCTAACCTAAATTCTGCCGGAACCGGAACGCGAAATATTCATTATTTTATATTTTGTAAACTTCGATTTACAAGATATAAAATACCTATTTATTCCAACAGAAGGGTGATAAGTGAAGGTTATGTGATGCGTGGTCCTTAGCATATTTTTTACTTTGTATCTTTGCAGAATAGCGATTGTCCGAAAAAAAGAAAGAAAACAATTGGAATTAAGTTTTCATAGAGCTGCGAAAATTTGATTTATCGATATTTGCTTGGCGTGACTGCTTATTTGGTTGTATATTGTGACGTCACTTTTTTTTTTTTTTTATGAGACCAAAAAACCAAAACTCGTAGTTTTTGGCTAGATATGTTTTTTTTTTTTTTTTTTTCATAATTCTTCTTGATGATCTTTGTCCCAAAATAACAAATAATAACACTTTCAAAACTATACTTTCCTTTATTTGAAAATATCTATTTCTGCTTAGAGAAGGGTGGTAAAGTTGTTTGATGCGCGCGCCGCGCAAGATTCTTTTACTTTGTGTCTT